GGTCGAGCGATCCTTCATGGTCGTCTCGCCTGTCGCGCCGCCAGGCGGCTCGAAGCGTTCGGCCGAGCGCTGCAGGACGTAACTTACCTCGTGAGCAGTCTGTGGCAGGAGAGCAAGCGTGTAAGAACATACCCATGCCCAGAGGAGCATCGACTTGAGCTGGAGGACGTCCGACCGCCAGAGGAACTTGTCCTTTATCTGCTGGCGGAACTCGTCGCTCACTGCGCAACCACGTATAAGTCAGCTCGCCCACTCCTCCTCATCGCCGGTAATCTCGAGGATGGCAGTCAATCTTGCGCACCTTTCCAGCACCTCGCGACGTTCTCAACGCTCACAAAGTCGGTCGCGACTTTGATGCAGTCGGCCTTGTTGCAGACCTGGTGCGCGCAACCGGCGGGGATGAACACCGCTTGGTTCGGTCGCTGATGGATGCGGAACGACTTGACGCCCGTCGACTTGTACAGCTGCTTGCGCATGTCGACGTCGAGGAAGAACTTCTGCGTGTGGATTGGGCTGCAGAGCGTCGTCAGCTCGCGAGCTTTGGTCGGGCAAAGGCATCGGCACTCACTCGTCGAACCGCTTGATCGCCTCGTCCACCGTCAAGCCCTCCTTTTTCGCGATGTGCTCGTACAGGAACCGACGGATCTGTGCGACGGGACGTCAGCCCGTTGTTACGAACTAGTGAGGCGGTGTGACCTCACCTTGTCTGCGTCTTCAGCCTTGTAGAGGTCCCACACGGCGACGCCGGGCGATCCGTCAGGTCCATCGCTCGACCACAGCATGATGTTGACGGCTGCAGGAGGTGAGGCGTCAGCTCCACAGCCTGCGAGTGAGAGAAGGATGGCCGAACCGTCTGCGACGTCCTGCAATTGGCGAGAGAGAGGGCAAGCAAGGCAAGTCAGCGATCAATCCGGCGCTTCGAGCGCAGTGTCGACGAGGCGTACCACTGCAGGCGGAACAATCAGCTTGTAACGCGAAAAAACGATTGGGAGGGACGCACTGTGCAACTTAGTCGTCCCCTTCGCTCCCTTCCGGTCATCCGACGCCTGCGCGAAGTAGCCCTTCGGGCCAAGGTCGGGCGGGTTGGCGTTGCGCGGCGTGTGTGCGGCGATGTCAAGGACGCCGTCGCGACGGGTGATGCTTCCTGCGGGCAGGATGGACATGAACTGCGGGAGAGCAGCGGGATCAACGACGTGTTGCGCAGGCTGAGGAGGGGCAAACTCACGTCCTCCCAGAGCTCCGGGTACGCCGAGCGGAAGTCGTTCGTCGACGGCCAGTCCTAGGGGGGCAAACAGGCGGTCAGCAGCATGTCAGGGGTCGAAGGGATGGCGCTGCGCACCTTGATTTTCTCGACGTCGCCCGTGTCCCGCTCTTGTCCGAATGTCGCAAAGAACGCGCCAACCGTACCGTTCCTCTCCTTCTCCCGTTCGCCGTCTTTCGTCTTGGCAATCACGCGCGTGCTCCCAATCCGGCATACCTCGTGGCCGAATTGCTCGATGAAGTAGTCGGGCGTCCAGGGAAGCGAAGGGTAGTTCTCCGGCGCGAGGTCGATGAGGAGCGGCTCGCCGATTGACCAGAGGCTGCGGAAGAGGTCGTGCTGGGAGAGGGCGGCGAGGGCGGGAGGAAGAGTGTTCGAGCGGTACGAGGTGTGAGTGCTAGACGAAGTCGAGGCGAGGGACGCGGTGGCGTTCGCCATGTTGAGCGTGGGCGGCGGCGGTGGAACGGCTTGATGCGTGGAAACGGGGTAGACAACCTTGCCATCCTCCTCTATCGCTGTGCTCGCCCGCCGAGCTTCGGGAGCGACTAGCGGAGATCCCCCGTCGAGCTTCGGCGGCAGGATGTCGCCCGGAAACCGCAGATACGGCCACGAGTTCTCCTTTGCGCCTGGGTCGAAGCGGTGCTGCTGGAGCCAACTCGTAGGCGGCTCCTTCGGCGGAGGGAGGGGATGCTGCTTGCCCCACAGCTCCATCTCGTCGACGAGGCGACGCAGTTCGTGGCGGTCCATGCGAGTCAACGGGACGAAGGGACCTTGTCGAATGGCTCGGTCCGCCTTCTCGGGAAGATGCCGCGACTTGACGCAGCGCGTCAACTTCTCGATGGCGCCGATGTGCAGTCCGCCAATCGGTTCGAGGAACTGCGAGTGTCCCCACAGCGGGACTGCCTCGACTGCACCCTGGTCGAGCGTTTTAAGAGCGTCGAAGCACTCGAGGCAGTATTCCCGCGCGCAGGTCGTGCAAATCCAGCTGCCGCAGAGGATCGAGGCGGCGCATCCGTCGCAGCTGTGGGTGATGCCGAGCGCAAGGCGAGTGCGAGCTGAGTTTGGCTGGATGGCGTGTTCGAGCTCGCGGCGGAGAGTTGGCAGGAGGTAGGTTGAGCAGGCGGACCTGAGGAGAGACGCCTCCACGATGGTGAACGGGCGGTCGAACAAAGTCGGGAGCTCTGGCGTGTCGTCGACGGCGGTCGTGTCGAGGAAGACGGGATAGGGCAGCGGTTCGCCGCCCTGGTTTTCGGGCGCCGAGAGAGGGAAAGAGCGGACGGATTGGAAGGCGCAGGTATAGGCGGTCTGCTTCGATGTGCAGTCTTGGCATCGCGAGACGAGAGGGAGAACGTTGCGACACGGATTCGCCAGGGCGCGAGAGGTGCAGTAAGACGTCTGAAGGATGTAGCCGTATTTACCTGCGAAACGAGGCGAGTCAGTCCCGCACAAGTGACACAATCCATTTCTACGCACCGTTCTTCGCCTCCTCGAGATCAGCGGCTTGTTCGGGCGTAAGTTCTGGCTCGGCAGGCTCTTCCACCAGTTCCTTACCCTTGCCCTTGACGTCCTCAACAGCGTTCACGACAATTGCAGCGACGTCCTCTGGGTCTTCGGTTGCCAGCGAGGCGCGCAAGCGTGACTTCCGCGACGAAGTACGGGTCGGCACGGCTGGAGCGGGCGCCTCTTCGGGATTCCCTTCCTCCACCTTCGTCGATGCACCATTGCCCTCCGACTTCGCCCCGGTTTGCTTCGAGGCAGAGCTTTTCGGTCGGACAGGGATCTCCAGCTCGAACGAATGCTCGATCGTTTTCCGTCTGCTCTTCGGGCCAGACGACACGGACGTTGAGGCGCCGTTCTGCGACGGAGGCGACACGCGTCTTCGTTTCGACGACTGCGCTGCGGTGGTATGCGAGGAGGAGGAGGGTTCGGCAGCATCGGCAGCATCGCCGTTGGCGACAGACGAACGGCGGAGAGGACGCTTCGATGCGGTGGCGGGCCTGGACGACGGCATTGGCTGGACGCTGTCGAAGGACAGGGAAGCTGGAGGCGGGGGGAACGAGAGCGAGGCGGGCGGGCGCGAGGAGGAGTCGGTTAGCGGGCCAAAGGGTGTGACAGTGTAGGCGCCTGCGCCCATGTGAAGGGATGCGGGAGGGGGAAGCGAGAGACTGGAGGGAGGCGCGGGAGGTGTGGAAGTCGGCTTCGAGGGTGGTCCTGGTGCCTGAGTCGGCTCGCCAGACGATGCAGTAGATGTCGAAGTCTCCTGCACCGCTCTGGGAGTAGCGAAACTTGAGGCTGGTCGGGCTGGCTGAGGAAAGGCGAATGAGAGGGAGAAGGGAGGCGGCGAGAAGTCGTCTGTGCGTGGCACGCATGCATTCGTCAGGCTCCGCGTGAGTGTAGGATATTGTAGGCTTGCGCACCTTCTTCGGCTTTCGTTGGCGCATCGACAACGGCTGCGTTTGTCGAATCATGATTGGGAGGACCAGACGGCGGCACCGCCCACGCGCTGCCGTCGCGACTTTGCGCACTGGGTGTCGACATCTCCCTTTGTGAGCGTGAGCGCGTGCAAGACTCGTACGAGGAGGTTGTCGCGCCAGACAGGACTGATGAGGAGGGCGAAGTGGGGAGGGTTGGGTGGCCGCGCTTGAAGCGACGCGGAGCAGTCCGAGCAGGCTAGGCGGATAGACAGGTATCCTCTGCTGGTCTGACAGCCTCAGTCTGCCTTCTCGAGCGAGCAAAGTGTACGGTCAAGGCGAACTCGCTTCTCTCGAAGTCTCGCTTCGCCAACACCGCTCGCACTCGCTAGAACGGGCTGACAGGGCCGCATACGATGCAGTCGCTTGACTCTGCGGCACACCCCGTGCTGCCAAAGCTTGTCCCGCTCTCCGACTTCCACCCCATCCGCATCGCTTCACACACCAAGATCACGCTCGTTGTCCAGTTTGCACTGGATCATCTGCGGGTACGTGGCCGCCAAAAGTCGATATAAGGGCTTTGGGACGAACTGACACGGTCACCTCGCCTCACGCAGCGGAATGAGGATGAACCGCTCGTCCTTCATTGCCTTCCCCCCTCCACCTCCTCCTCCTCCGCCAACGCCGGCCGCGCAGGACCTCTCACCTCTACCCAACCCGACTCGAATCCTTCACCAGCTCCCGACCCGACTCCCCCTGCGGCAAAAGGTAAAGGCAAGGGAAAGGCAACAGAGTCTCCCTCCTCGACATCCGTCGCTGCCCTGCCGAAGCTCGTCTCGATCGCCGAGATCATCAAGCGGGAGTGGTTGGACGTTGAGCTGAAGCATGCCACGGGCGACTCAATCCAGGAGGATACGGCTGCACCGGCGAGGGAAGGCCTGCACCAGTACACGCTGTTGACGACGCTTGAAGCGATTGATTTGGCGTCGGATACTATTGCGACTGACGAAGTAGATGGCGACGTGGAGGAGGAGGAGATGAGGCGGCAACTGATCGAGATGGAGTGGTTGAGCGGCAGGGCTGGCAAGGATCGAAGGTTCGTCCTTTCCGCACGTCTTCCTATCTTCCAGAACTCAGACTGACCCACACCCAACTCTTGCGCAGACCACGACGGAAGCATTCGCCTTGCATGCTCGTCATCCTCTCGCGCGCGCCAACAGAAGCGCTGGCATCTCGCTCCTCCTGGACGTGCGTTGCATTATTCCTGCTCCGGCGTTCCTGACTCCGCTGGCCCTTGACGAACGCTCGCTCACGAGACTCCCCTCTTGCGTTCTTCGACGAACAGCCATCAGCCTCCAGCTCCGCCGGTACCCCGGACGACGAAGCGCCGTGCAACAAGCGAGAACGCTACTGCTCCAGAAGGAGGCACTGCAAAACGCAAGACGCGAAGAAGACGGCGTTAAACCCCCGGGACACAGCAGAACCAGCGAGCGTGCGGGATAGTCGAGACGGTTCTGGTCCGGCCGGAGGTTCTTGATTTGCTTGCGAGCTTTCGCTTGACAATAAGCATGCGCCTTGACTCTCATACGCCAACAGTCGTCGAGAGTATCTTCCATTGCATGAGCGTTCTGCCTATTCGAGCAAGCCTTGGTCCTGCAGAATCGAGCAAACTTCGTCGTCGTAGTCCTCCAGCTCAAGCAGTGCGATAGCTTCCGCCATCTCGTCGCACTCCAATACTTCACACCGATGCTCGAGAGACGCTGCTGACAAGTCGATCCAGCGAGCCTTGCCGACGTTGTCGACCACGATGTTCCTGAGCGCGACATCACCGTGTTCGAATCCGCCGCAGTGAAGCCGTGCGAGAGACTCGATGAGGTCGAGCCTGTGTCCGTCAAGAAGTGGTCAGCTGCAGTCTCGAAGATTGACCGGGCGGAACGCACCGAGCAGGCAGCGTCAAGTCCGCCGCACACGATGGGGAAGTGCCTCCGTCGACCATTACGGTAAAGAGACGGCCTTCCGCCGTTGCGTAAAGGTCGCACGCCGCGATGAGCGAGTCGGTGTAGTTGTGCAAGAGCCGACCAAATTTGACCTCGTGCTTGAGGTAGTCCTCCATTTCAGGCTTGGCGAGCTTGAGAACGACCGAACCTTGTGTGTGGTTGTCAAGCCCGCGGTACACGAGGCCGACCTTGCCTTCTCCGACGAGACTGTCAAGTTCGATATCGACCGCACAGTCCTCCAGGAAGAGCAAGTCGTCCTCTTCAGGCGCTTCGTTCGACATGTCGGAGCCTTCACCGACGCTGTCTGGCGGCGCTGTCTCGTCAATAGACGTGTGCGAGCCATCTTGTCCGATTACTCGGCCAACCTCGACGAGGTCGTTGGGGTAGGCGAAAGCAATTACCTTGTCCTGGAGTTCTCGGAGGTCAGCTGAGCGTGCAGGTGCATGAGAAGTGGAAACGCACCGAGAGGGAGAAAAGGCCCCTCTTGGCACCGCTCGACAAGGTCTTCCCGGAACTGCGTGTTGGCATCCTCTCGATGAAATCTGGATCCGCAGCGGAGCGACTGCTCTCCATAGTCGCAAGGACTTCGTTCGACGGAACGAGCGAGCGAAGCCGGTCCGGCTCATACAGGTCCGGAAGCAAAGCGAAAAGGTGCAGCTTGAGGTAGGACGGGTCGCCGAGGACCTGCGGGACATGTCGGTGCAGGGGACTGAGCAGAACATCGAAGTCCTCGTTTGGTTCGTCGTTGACGAGGGCTGCGATGAACCACTGATAGCTGTCGGACCAGAAGGTGATGTCGTTCCGGAAGATGCGAGCGGCCGAGATTTGCTGCAAGTGCGGGCGTGACGGTTGATCAGCAGTCTGCAGAGAATGGCGAGGTGCACGGAGAAGTCATGCGCACCTTCATAAGCAGAGAATACTGAGCCTTGGTGCGCCTCCTTTCGCCCAGCTTCTTCAGCGCGGCCCGACTGAGAACCCCGTCGTGCGACGCGATCGTGCTGAGCGTCGCCTCATAGATGCCGTCGGGCTCGGTCGCTTGAGGCGTCTTGATCTCGCTTGAAACGATGACGCCCGTCTTGTCGTCCTTGGTCTCCCTCCCTCGACGCAGGACCAGATCCAACCGAAGTCGCAGTTTGACGTCAACGCCGTGGATCGTGCCGCCGCCGGCTGGGACGGTGTCTCGCTGAGTCGTCGAAAAGATCGGTTCGGGTGCGGGACGACCGGCCAGGGCATGCAGAGGCTCGTCGAGGTTCGAGACGGCGCGAAGCTGAAGTAACATGAGATGCACAAGTTCGGACTTAGCGTAGGAGCTGACGGCTTCCCAAGACGCCTCAAATTCTCGCTTGATCTTGTCAAACGTGTTGGGCAAGAGAACTGACGAGCTGCCAGGCTCGTGGGCCTCTGCATTTGCTTCGAGGGCGACCACGCCTCGGTCGACCATCTGCTCCAGCCGGCTAGCGAGGTCGGGAACAAGCTTGACAGACCTTGGTAAATAAGGGCGCACGTCCTGATTATCGCTCAAGTCTGAAGAAGGTGAAGGGCAGTACATCGCGCCAGCGGCCAATGGGCTTGATCACGAGATCTTCGGGGGGACGGAGCAGCGCTGTGACCTCAGAAATCTTCATCACCATCTGAGCAGTGTTCGGAGAGCCTGAGCGAGTTGAGCGGCGTGAGAGTGAAGGGAAGGAGGGAGACCAGCGAGGAGGAGGAGAAGGAGGGTTCACCTCGCTCGGGCGGATAAGCGAGACTCTGGATGAGTTCAAAGCTAAATCAAAAGCGCGCTACGACTACCGCTGGTCTCCCTCGCTGTCGCCGTCCCGCTGTTCTCCTCCTCCTCCTCGCGAAACTGATGAAGACCTCCCTGACCTCGACCACTCACTCGAACTCGCTGAGAGCGCGCTATGAGCATCGAGACGCTGCCTGTCGAGCTCCTTGAGCACATCATCGAAGCCGCCCTCCCGCCCATCACCTCCAGCGACACCGTCTCCGCCCGCTACAATACCCTGCGCACCTGCTGCCTCGTCTCGCAGACATGGCGCAGCGTGGCTCAACCTCTGCTCTTCGACTCGATGCACCTTGGCAAGACGAGCCCAATGAACCACGGCGCCGTCTTGGGAACGCTGCGGCGGTCGCAGAAGCTGGCGAGGAGGGTTCAGGTGTTCAAGGTCTTCGATATGCGCAACATGACCCGAGAATGCGACGATGAGATGGTCGCCATTATGCGCGAGCTCTCTGCGGTCGAGGAGATCTACCTTTGCTCGCCTGGAACGCTCGACTTGGCGCTTTTTGCGGATATCCCCTGTAAGCTCATCCGGCTTCTATCTCGCGCACGAGATAGACTGACTCTCTGCATACTCCGCGCAGCACTCCAGCATCTCAGCATATACGCCGGCAGATTCACGAGCTCGGCTTTTACGACTTGCCCCTTTCCTCGATTGCGAACGCTCTCGCTTTGCGGCTGCGACTGGCTCGAATCGGCCAAGCCAGTCCTCGCACCCGCTCACCTCCCATCACTTTGTGCGCTCGCATACCTCTACTCCCCAACTTGGCAGCCCGACCTCGCCATCTTCCCGCCCTCGCTTCGGGTCGTCTCCAACTACAACCTTCGACCGACGCACGGTGACACAAGCGACAGGACGCTGTACGAGAACCGCTTCGACATCGTTATGGAGACGTCGGAGGAGATCAGCATCGCCGACTCGCTGAACGCACCGGTCGTTCGGCACCTCCTCTTCACCGACATCTATGCCCCCGATCCTGTCGACAGCCTTGCTCAGCTCGTCGCGCGGGATCCAGCTCTGCGGCACCTCGAGACCGTCTACATCTCCCTCGCCAACTCGCATGCGGCCGGGGACTGCGCCGGCGCCAAAGCAGCGCTCGACCACCTCGCCAATACGCGCTCCTTCCGCATCATCGAGCTAGAGTGGGAGGGTCAGTTCCTAGAAGGATCACTTATCCCGCCGACGTTCCTGTAACTATCGACCGTCGCTCATGCGACACCGTTGCCCGCTTCCCGGCGCGGCGCAACTGTGCTTCACTCGGCTGTCGATCTCCAGCATCGACGAGCGGTCTCGCCATCTCCTACCTTTCCTGGCGTCTAGATGCGCCGTTGGCAAAGTGCAGAAGCCGGTCCTGGCGAATCCTCCTCATTTGAGCTGGTCTCCTGTCGTGTGCGCGGGGTCCTCCCCTCTCCTCCGCACTCGAGGGAGTTTGGCTCGTCGCAAGCAGCATGTCCAAGACTCGCCCCGCATGGCCTCTTATTTGCGACAATTCAGCCCGCCGTTGCACAGCATAGGCTCCGGTTAAGCCTGAATCTCGCTTCGCTTGTTCTCCCAGCTCAACAGCAGTCTCGCCCGTTCGCTTTGCCTTCGCTCGCTGAGATTTTCCAATCGTTCGACTTTGCACGCCGAGATCGACCCATGCCTTCGCTCGCCTGGCTTTCGCAGACTGCTACGGCAGATCCTGCCGAGGCAGCCTCGCGCCCAACGATTGGGTCCTCTCCGTTCCTGCGCGATCGCCTTCTTTCTCCCTTCAACCGGAGCGACCTTGCGACGTATCAGCGAATGTGGGACGATGTTCTTGCGAATGCCGAAGGTGCGTCTCCTTCTGTGTCCTGCGCTGTTTTCCTTCCGAAGCGTGCCGCTAGCTGCGGTGTCGGGTCCCTCGCTAACGCTTCGCAACGTACCACTCTGTCTCCGTCCAACACAGCGCACACGCCGCAGCACGTACTCGACGACCTCCTCACCCTCGTTCCCCGAATCGCATCTTGCTGGGCCAAGACCGTAACTCTCCCGCTCGAGGGAGAGCGCGAGAACGACGAGGCGCGGCAACGACGGCTACGCTTGACGTACGCAAGGCTGAAGCGGGATGAGACCGTGGCGGAGGCGGACAGTGAGGAAGTACGGCAGAGAAGGGAGCGTGAGTCCAGCTTCCCCGCAGCTCTGGGGTCCTTCTGACGCTGACAAGCTTGAACTCCAGCCGTCAACCCGCCCCCTCCGTCCCTCATGCCTCGACACGACCTCCTCCTGCCCTACTTCCTCGCCGCCGCCGCCCTCGCGCAGAAAAAGCGCAAGTACTTGGTGCAGCGGGCTCCTTGGGTCAGAGGAGAACGAGCGAAAGGGAAGGGTGTAGCCGTGGAGGAGCTGCTGGTGAAGAATCGGACGGTCCAGCGGCAGGCAGATCAGGCGGGTCAAGCAAGCCCGTTCGTCCCGCTGAATCGGCACCTTGTTGCCAATATCCCGCCGCTCTGGCAGCGATAGCCCTGGGCCAATGAGCGGCACCCGAGCGTAGATAGGCGCTGAGCTTTGCAGCCGCAACTTGCTCTCGCTTTTTCGCACGTCGAAAACGCCTTCTCTTGTCGCCGAGGACAGTGAGAGGTCAAGCGTGATCGGTTTAAGTGCAGAGACGTTTCCTACAGAGTTGCTAGCGCCCTCGCATTCGCAAATCTTACCGTCAAGCGCCAACCGAGTAAGCCCATTCCTCCATGTCCCAGTTCTCAATCCCGCGAGGCGAGAGGATGCGGTACCTGAGACCAGCGCCGCACGCCTTGCAAGCCTCGCGAGCCATGTGCCGCAAGCCGGGCAAGTCCTCCGTGCACAAGAAGGTGAGCGAGCGCAAGGTTGGCGGGATGAACAAATGCTCGGCTTCCCAAGGGAAGTTGTCCAGGAATGTCGAGACGTCTTCGATGGTGAGGGCGAAGTGCTGCAAGCGAGGCATGAAGGAGATCGTCTCTTCGAAGGTAGGAAAGTCTCTGTTCATGCAGAGGACGCGCAGCTTGTTCTGGCTCGAAAGTATCAAGCCCCAGTCATCCAAGTCGACGTTGTTGAGAATGAGAGTGTCGAGGTTATCACCGAAAGGGACTGCCAGTCCAAGGATGTCGAGGGTGACACTGTGCAGGGCGAGGTAAACAAGACCGCCGGGGACATGTTTGAACAGGTCCCAGAGATAGCGGCCGGGCTCGCTTTGAATGTGCAAGCGCTTGAGGCCTGCAAGAGTTGTAGTTCGTCAGTGCTTGTCCGTGATGCCTAGCCGCCGACTCACTCGTAACGCCGAAAGAGGCGAACTCTCCCGTAGACAAGGTGATCCACATCTCTTCGAGGGCGCCGAGGTCGGCAGCATCGTCAGATTTCCTCCACCCCGTCTCGGTGATGGACTCGCTGAGCCAGATATCGACGCGCTTGAGAGGCCATCCACCCTGCTTCGCAGCGGCGATGCGGTCCTGTGCAGCCGTGTCGAGGACTGCGGGCTTGTAGTAGGTGACAGTAAGGTGCTCAGGAAGTCCGTACTGCGCCGCCTTGGTCCAGTTGCGGTGGACGAGCGAGAATGCCTTGCAGAGTCGAACGCGCTCGTCGAGGTTGCGGCGGATGAGCGGCGGCAGGGCGAGCTGGAGAATGTGGAGCTGGAGTTCGAGCGGCAGCGTGGGAGTCATTGAGCTGGATCAAGCACGACCAGAGCGAGTTGAGCGGTCTGCGAGCGAAGGGGAGGAGGGAGAGCAGCGAGGAGGAGGAGAACAAGGTGTGGTCATAACTCGGGCGCGTGAAGGCAGATGTGCAGGTACTAGAGAGCGTGGTACGGATGTATCGCAGCCGTTTCCACCCTCTTTCGCTGTCGTCGTCTCGCTGTCTTCTCTCTCCTCGCCAAACTGGTGAAACCCTCCCGCAATCCTCCGAAGCTCACAATGCTCGCTGTACACTGTGCTGACGTACTACTCACCTCTTGCTCGCAGCCGAACGTGAGGAGACGGCACTCCTCGCGCTCGGCAAAGGAAGGAAGGCACTGCAATGTTCTTCGTTTCGTGGAGTTCGCTCGTCAAAACTGCTGGGTGTATACTACAAGCGGGGTGTCGAAAGTAGCGACGACCTCTACGCATGCGTGAGCAAGGAGGTGTCGATCTTGATGGGCTGGACGTTGGTCGACTGGCCGTGCTTGTACGCGAGCTGGTCGTCCGAGAGGAAGTGCTGTCCGCGAAGGGTCTCGAGAATCTTGTCGTGCGGCTTGGTGAGGGCGCCGGCGACCTTCTGGATGATACCGCCAGACTGAGGCGCGATGGGGTGAGGGCGCTCGGGAACGGCCTTGCGCTTCTGCTCGAGAAAGAAGGCGAGGCGGTCAGCAAGCATTCGGGCGCCTTTGACAGGTGAAAGGGCAGCTGAGCAGCCGAACGCACCGTAAGGAAGTCCTGCGCCAGCTTGTCGTTCTCCTCGGGCGTGAGTTTCTCCTTGAGCCTCTTGAGGATGTCCTCCTCCTCGCGGTCCGAGTGCTTGATGAAGAGCTGGATCGCGTGCTCGAACTCTGCGGTGGCGACGAGGGAAGAACAGGTGCAACGGAAGAGAATGGGAGGATTAGGAAGGTCAGCGATTGTTCCGGTTCCTGCGAGCGCCTCGCAATGTCGACGAAACCCCGTTAGAATGCCTGAACGAGACAGTCGCAGTCGGAAACAGGCCGACGGGAGAGTCCGGCGGGAGGACGAGGAGAAGATTGGGGACGGGGCGGACGGGACGACGAGGAAAAGGGAAACGCACTCGGCTCGAACTCGCTCGAGTCGACCTTGGTCCAGTCGACGCTGTAGAGAACCTTCTCGAGCTGCTCGTGCTCGTCCCTCAACTCCTTGCTCTCGCCAGCGAGGCCGCGCGACTCGAGGTCGTTGTAGACGCTGACCTCCTCAGCCTCGGAGTGGACGGCAATCTCGCGGATGACTGCGGGCAGACAAACGAGCATCAGTTCGCAGCCGTCGAGGGGGAGGCAAGACGGGGAAGAGTCGCGCAAGACGACGGAACGCACTGGTGTTGACGAGGGTGCCCTTCTCCTCCTTGCTCGTCGCCTTCTTGTACATGTGGAAGAGCTGCTTGACATTGTTGTGGTCGACAATGACTTCGCTCTGTGCGGAGTGCGAAGGAGCGTCGTCAGCGTCGACGTGCTAGAACTGCGTGCGGAAGAAGCGGCAAACTCACGACTCACGTAGGTGTCGAGGTGTCCGGTCATGGCGCCTTTGTCTGAGTAGGTTGCTTGTGGGTGAGGCTGGAGACGTGCAGATTGCGTCGAGAACAAGGCGACGGCGGGTCGTGGGGAAGAAGCGACAGCACGGGGGAGGACGAGCGACGAGATGCGGATTGTGCGGGCGGCGAGCATGAGTTCCTGTAGATTGGGCAGGAAGACTGGGAAAGTGTACTGACGGAGGGAGAGAGTGTGAAGAAGACGAAAGAGCCAGCGCAACCGGATCGCTCTCGTTGGCCAACGCAACCTCGCGAGCCCCACTTCGTCATGCCTCCGACGAGGCGAGCGAGCGCGGTCACTTTGTCCTGGGCGGTGCAACGAACCGTGCGAACCACGTCGCTTCCGAAGGAATGCGCCGATCGAGCAGGCTCTCTGCCATCACGCCCTTCGAGCAGCATCGGCGACGGGAGGAGGTTGCGAAGGTCACCTCTGATTCCTTTCACAGGCTTACTGAGGTCGTGCGAGTGGCTCAGCTCCTGGAAAGCGTCGATTGAAGACGGGCCAACAACCCCTCGCCGGCGCAAAGGGAGAGGAGGAGGCGCGAGAGGTCTCCGCCTGTTTGCCAATTCTCGACGAGGTCCACTCAGCCTTTCTCGCTCCCGCCCCTCCGTAGCAGCTCTACCACCAGCGGTGGAGGCTGCAGATGCGTAGCAAGAGTAGACGGCAGACAGAGAGCAGTGTTGAGGAGGCAAATGTCGGATTGAGGCGGCGCTCCGGGCGTCTCTCACTCGCTGATTTGGCCTCACTGCCACGCAACGCTCTTTACAGTGACTGGGGCCGGAAAAGATATGCAGACTTGAGTGGGAGGCGCGGGAAGACGCGCCTCAGCAACATGAACCCGCTCGAGTTGGCAAGGGGAGGGAAGGCGAAGCGCGACGTTACATCTCCAGCCACTGCGGCGGAATGACCGATCCCTCCAGATGTTGGTCGTCATGTCCCATTTCCACATACCTGATCCCTCGCTGCTTGACGTACTTGATGAAATCGCGAAGGCTGGCATCGGTGGAAGGCATTTCCTCGTTGGAGATGAAGAGCGACTTGAGCTGGGGCATCTGCTTGACGAGGTGGCGCAGCTGCTCGTAGCCGTCCTCCTGCCCTTCCATGTCGTAGCAGATCTCGAAAATGCGGAGATGCTGAACGTCCGCCACGCGCAAGCCGTTGACGAAGATTCCCGCATCGAGAGCATCATACAGCTCGCCAATGTCCGTCTCGTGGAGGATTTCGTGTCGAGTGTCGAGGATGTACTGTGTGCTGATGCTGACCACGAGCCGGAGAGAAGGCGGGAAGGCGGAAAAATCGGCCGTCCACGGCCGTCGCTCGAGACCCCACTCAGATCCGCCTGCTCTGTCGTCGTGGTAGAGCGCAAGGCCCTGTATGGCGGGAAGATGGGCAGGCGAGAAGAGCTGACGCGCCATGTCGTCCCACTCGGCGAAACAACTCGAAAGGATCCTCAAAGCGGGAAAGATTGTCGACGCAGGATTGCCCGTACAGGTCACCAGCGCAAGCCATACGCTGAATATCTCGAGTTCTGTGTGAGGGCAAGCCGTCAGGACTTGTCTGAACCGAAAAGGAGCACGGAGAGCCCCCAAAAACGTACGAGGCAGACCAGCCAAGATTGCGATATCTACTTTGCCACCCTTCCCGACGTAGACTTCCCTGAGTGAGCGGAACGAGCGGAAGGTTGCGTCGGTAACCTTGCCGAAGTGGTAGACCTTGCAAAGCCGAACATGGTTCGCGAAGTGAGGGTACTGAGCGGTCGTGGCGAGGAAAGCTTGCGTCGCGCGGGGAGTCGTGAGACCGGCCTCGGCGAACAGCGCACGCTGAGCGATGCGCCTCCATCGCTGCGAGACGAGCGAACAGGCGCGGAGGGTGAGGTATCGCTTCTGACGGTGTCGCGGTCGGTGACGGACGGGACGGCGGCTTCGATGATGTGCTCGAGGAGCTCGACAGGCAGCGTCTCGATGCTCATAGCGCGGTCTCAGCGAGTTCGAGTGAGTGGTCTGAGCGAGAGAGGACTTCATCAGCTTGGCGAGGAGGAGGGGGAGAAGAGTGGGACGGCGACAGCGAGAAGTATCCGCCATAGTCGTAACGCGCTCCCAACTCAGCTCTCGAGTCACAAAGAGTCCCACTTGCCCGCCCGAGCGTGGTCGACTCCTTGTCCTCCTCCTCCTCGCTGCTCAACTCGCTCAGACTCTCCGCACTCTGCTCAGATGTCTCCCACGCTCCCGCTCGAGCTCCAGCTTCACATCCTCGAGCTCGCCCTGCCGCCGCTCATCCGCCGCAACCTCGACGAGCGCGTTCGACTCTGCAAGGCGTTCTCGCTCGTTCATCGCGACTGGACGAAGACGGCGCAGCGCGAGCTTCACGAGCATATTACCGTGACGTGTTGGCAGCTGGATTCTTTCATTCTGGCGGCGAGGGACCGAATTCTTGCGGCCCACGGAGGAGGTTGGTCTGTCAAGCGCCTTGACGCACGTCTGCGAGGCACGGGAGGCGCGATTATCTTGCTTGAAGAGGGTCAAGGAGTTGAGTGGAGCGCAATTGAGGAGATGTGGGTGAACATGGACGAGGGTGACTTTGCCGAGTTGGGCGCTGATGGTGAGTTCACTCGACCCTGATTTCCTCGTTCGTGCTAAATGGCCGGCTATCGCAGGGCTCCGCCGCCTGCACATCTATGACGTCTGGAGACGCGGCTTGCTCGGCTTTCTTCATGCACTACCTACTCGGCTCACCTACCTCGGCCTACACAACGTGAGCCTTCGGGATTGGAGCGCCGTACGCTTGCCCGCGCTTGAAGTCCTCATCCTTGATCTTGTCGCCGACCCACTTCCGTGGGCCACCCTGATCCCAAGCCATGTCAAGCTCCGTGTTCTCGCATGCCGGTGCAACTTCCCACGCATCGACACCGACACTCTAGCCAATATGCCTCAACTCCACCACTTCATTGCCGTCTTTGATACGACATACCGCGCCGCGGATCTCTGGCCTGCCTTGTTTGACGCACCCGACCCGCATTCGCCGCCCGTCCGCCTTCCTCAACGCCTGCAAACCTTCACCTGTCTCGCGACGAAGTATGATCCTCTTCCAGACGATCAGTCAGGCTTGACGTCGCTCAAGATTGCCTGCGAAGAGCTGGGGACGGTACTCGCCGTTCGTCTCGACCTGACAAACCACGAAGTGCGGGTATTCGATTTGGAGGAATGGGCTCACTCCGTCGGCGTCTGATGCCCTCTTCCCACTCTCTTCACCGGCCCCTCTCGCTCACCTTTTAGTCTCTCGCGCCGCCCTGACTCGCCTTCCTTCACCTCTCATCCTCCCCACTCGCCTCCCTCACGCTCTCACAACTCCTGCGTCAAGGCCTCTTTCGCAGCTTGACTGTCCCGTCTGTCTCTAAGACTTGCAACGCACGGAATTTCGTCACGACGTGATGTCCTTAGCCGATACCTGCGAGAGACGAAACGCAAGTCGAGCGAGTCGAGCCAACTTGGCAAGCCTTGCGTTCGCAGTCTCGCTTCCTTCCCGCCCCTATCCACTCTCGCTCAACCGTTCCGACATCACACAAAATGCTTTTGCACGGCCCAAACCATGACAATTGGAGCGAGAGAACGAGAGACTCGGGTTGCTCAAAGCTTCCCAGCCACAAGCGACCCACCGTCCAACGCGATCGTCGCCCTATCACCCATCCACAAACTCATCAGCCCACCCATCACATCCACAAGCTCTTGAGAGAAGGAAGCGGCCACGCACCCATTGACATAACTGCCTGCCTTTGAGCTCAAAAAGATACACGCGCCCGCGACGTCGTCCGGTTCGCCAATTCGGTGGAGCGGGACGCCGGAGATGATGTGGTCGCGACCGGCTTCGAGGGTGGCGGCCATCACTGCGCGAGCTCGCTCGCGTCAGCTTGCTCGCTCAACGGAGGAAGGGAGGGAGGGGGGAAGAGACGTACTCTTGGACTGGAACGGCCCGCACGCAAGGGTGTTACACGTGATCCCGCGTTTTCCGAGTTGCGATGCGAGGACGCGCGAGAGTTGGTGGAGCGCGGCTTTCGAGGACGAGTAGGCGTAGGTCTCGAGTGTGGGGACGCGGATACCGTCGACTGAGCCGATCATGATTACGCGGGCTGGGGGGCGAGGTTCGTTAGCGAGGAAGAGGGGGAGGGGGAGGTAAGTGAGGTGGGAAAGGCAGGGCGTACCGGGATCAGCCCACGGCCCCTCTTCTTTCCCTCCGAGGGACTTGAGCATCAACGGCGTAAGCTTTTGCGTGAGAGTGAACACTCGACGGAGGTTGAGGGTGAGGACGCGTTCTGCGTTGCGACGAGCGTCAGCGAGTCGCGAGGGAAGAGTGAGGAGGAGAGGAGAGGGGACGGACCCCAGGCCGAGTCGGGGTATTCGTCAAAGGGCGCGCCCCAGTTGTTGCCGCTGTTGTTGACGAGGACGTGGAGGCCTGCGTGAGGGAGACAAGCGTGGTCAGCGCGAAGAAGTTCTGGGAGTCGTCGCTTCTGCGCTCGGCGCAAAAGCGTTCAACACTGCAGCATTCTCGCAAACGCACACTTCTCCCTCTTCTCCAACTCGGCGACCAGTCCCACAACACCATCGTACGTCGCCAAGTTGGCGACGAGCGGGACACACTTTCCCGGGTACCCTTGCGCGTTGAACTCGTCGGCGGCCTGCTTGAGGGACTTTTCGTCGCGCGAGGCGATGTAGACTCGGGCTGCGCCGGCGCGCATGTAGCCGTTTGTGATCTGTGCCGAGTGGGAGAGGGGGGTTAGCGAGGAGGTGGGGAAGGAGAGAGGGGAGGGAGTGGTCGACTGGGATGGAGGCGGGACAGAGTGAGGGGAGAGAGAGAGGTACGCACGCCCCACCCGACGCCCTTTGCGCCGCCCGTGACGAGGACGACCTTGTCCTTGACCGAGAAGAGGTCTGCCATTGCGAGAAGCGAGTTGCGAGTTGGGTGGAGCGGGGTGCTGGTTGCGGGTGTGAGTGTGAGATGGAGTGTGGCTGAGTGTGTGCACGAGCGAGTACGAGGAAGAGCGAAGAGCGAAGAGAGCGAGGCGGAGAACGAGTGCGGCCCCGGAGCTGGCGGACGCCGGGCACGAGACAGGGGGCAACTCACACACCCCTTCACTCTCGACAGACTGTGTAGCGGGCTGAATGTGCAGGCTACAGAGCTACACTGAACTCTGGCAACACCCCTCACACGACCCGACTTGTTCCCGCCGAGCGACACCTCCTCGTGTCATCCTCATCAGCAGCGCACAGTCTCGCTTCCTGGTTCACTACCACGGCAACTCACCCACTCGCTGGGCCCGCCTCACACGCTGAGCATACACCGCTGACCGACCGACACCCACCCGCTCGCCCACCGCAGCCCGCAACCGCCTTCGCACCTCGCGAAGAGTCCATCGACAATCTACACGCGACTCGCTCGAGGTCCACAGGGCACGGAAGCAGTCGCTTCACTCGCCACGGTCACAAGGACAGCTGCCAAGACTGAGCAGAGCCAACGGGTGGACCTGCGACTGAGCCCGCGTCACGAACCCGCTCGCACCTCCTCCTCGACTCGACCTCCTCGACTCCTCCACCTCCTCGAACAGTCGTTGCTCAAGGGCCCTCGCGTAGGCACGAGTAGGAAGAAGGGAAGGGAAGACCGATAGACTGTAAGGAACAGGTGAGTTGGAGGGTCGTCCTTGCGGAGTTTCGGGAGGACGACGCGGGTTGCTCCTGGACATTCGCGCGAGACGGCTTGGACGGGCGCTTTGTGAGCGGGGCGTCAGAGTCGTGGGAGTGGCTGAAGGGCTCAGAAGCAGCGAAGCCCAATGGGACGAGGGGGCGAGGCTTCACACAGGCTCAGGCGGACCTCCTCCTGGCGAACCGTTCAACAGGCACTGACGCTCGCCTCGTACTACCTTCCCGCAGCTTCCTCTCACTCTCAACACGACGACGACCACGATGTCCGCCTCTCTCGCCGCGACCGACCTCGACCGCTCACCCTCCCTCTCTTCCGCCTCCTCCACCTCTACCTCCTCAGGCCCAACCAGTCAACCGCTCACTCCCGCCTTGTCCTCCGCCTCAGCCTCAGAAACCTACCTCTCCTCCTCCGCCCTTCCGCCAAGCACGCCCGAAAAGACCCCCTTCCCTCGACTGAGCAAGACACCCACCTCCTCCTCCGCCTCAACTTCGCCATGGAAGGCAGGTCATCGCGCGAATGGAGCGGGGAGCAAGTCGTTCGATGCTGCGAGGGCGGCGTGGGCGAATTTGGAGAGTGAAGCGGTGAGGAATCCCTCGCCCGAGCGGAAGGCGGTTGGGACGCCCTTTGCCGATTCGTCCAACTATCGTTCTTCTCCCACCATCCCTTCGCAAGCGCCCGGATCGCCTAACAGGTTTTCGGCGTCCCCGACGAAGACGCGACCTGCACTTCCGACTATCCCCTCCGACCGTCCCTCGTATTCTCCTTCTTCTCGCGCACCCGCCTCCCCCTCCCAAACACACTCAGATCGGGTCCTCTCAAGCGCAATCTTCGCGACCCGTCCAACAACTCCCTCTCTCGGCCCAAGCAGCCCACTGATCGGAAGGGAAACGAGCGTGAGAAGGGCTGGGATGGGTCACAAGAGGGCTATGACGCTCCCGCACCTTGGCGCAGGGTTGGGGAGGGATGGGTTGCCGGTACCGCTTTCGGCGGGCGGAGGCGGAGGAGAGGGTGGGTTGGTTGTTGAGGAGGATGTCCCCGGTGCGTTTTACCTCGCGCTCTCGTCGTCGAGTGAAATTGAGGGGGGTATTGACGTGATGATGGTGCGCGACGCAGGACTCCCCGGCCGCGCACGCCTCTCTCGCCCCGCCGACTCTCTAACTCCCTCACTCGGACCCTCCCCCTCCTCCGTCTTCCACTCCTCGCACGGTCTTCCCTCCACCTCGACGGGTCCGAAACGCAGCACGACGATGAGTTTGTTGCCGAGTATGGCGGTCAAGGCTATCGATAAGCAGAGGCAGGGGTTGGTCGCGTACGAGTACTTGTGCCATCTTGCCGAGTGCGTCTCGCCCCTCCCTCCCCTTCCATTCCTGCTCGGTCTCGAACTGACGCATGGGGAGGACGTAGAGCGCGCGACTGGCTCGAAACGCACCTCACGACTCTCCCTTCCTCCACCCCGCTGTGGGACCCAAACGACACCATCAACGATTTCGAGCAGTCCCTCCGCAACGGGTATGCGCTCGCGCACTTGGCGAGGAGTCTGGGAGGGGAGAGGTGTCAGGGTCCGATTTATAACGTGCGTTCCTCTCCCCCGCCTCTCTCGCGAGCGAAGAAGGTGGGATCGGGCTGATGGTGAAGAGTCGATGGGGAGTAGGACCCCGTGAGGCATTTCCGACACACGGTCAATATCAACATCTTTTTCCAACTCCTCGACGAAGTCGGTCTTCCCGAGGTTCGTCCCCTTCTCCTTCTCTCCCCCTCCATCTCTCTCGAGCTAAGCACGGTATGGGCAGATCTTCCGCTTCGAGACGGTCGACCTGTACGACGCCAAGAACCTCCCGAAAGTCGTCTATTGCTTGCATGCGTTGTCGCATCTCATGGCCCGCAGGGGGTTGACGGACAAGATGCACGATCTTGTCGGACAAATCGAGTTTACGGGTGCGTTTCCGCTTCCCCTTCTCCCGAGAGATGAGTTTGTGGGTGCTGATGTGAGAGGGTGGGTGGGACGACAGATGCGGAAGTCGGTGCGGCGCAGAAAGGACTCAACGACGCAGGTGTCCGGATGCCCAATTTCGCGGGAATCGGCAAGGCGCTCGATAAACACGAGTCTCCTCCCTCTCCGCCGCCTGAGACGGACGAAGAGCGGAGGGAGAGGATGTGGAGTGAGGCGGAGGGGGGAGTGAGGGGGTTGCAGGCGAGGGCGAGGGGGGCGTTGGTTAGGAGGTGGGTGGAGAAAGAGAGGAGGAGGAGGGAGGTGGAGGAGCGCAGGAGGAGGGAGGAGGAAGCGGAGGAGAGGAGGAGGGCGGAGGAGGCGGAAGCGCAGCGGAAAGCGGAAGAAGCCGAGGCGCGGAGGAGGCAGGAAGAGGAGGATGCTCGAATCGCGGCGGAGGAAGAGGAGCGGCGCTATCAGGCTGCCGTCCGCGAAGCGGCCAAGACGCTCGTTGGCTTCCAAGCTGCCGCGCGAGGCGCGATCGAGCGAAGGAGGTTCTTTGCGCCTATCGAGCAGCTCGCGGTGCACAACGAGGCGGTCACGGCGTTCCAGGCTGCGGCGAGGGGTGCACTCGCTCGTCGCGAGCTGAGGCAGGAGATCGTCGACCTCAAGGACGCCTCGCCCGCCGTCACCGCCTTCCAAGCTGCCTGCCGCGGCGCACTCGCTCGACAAGGCCTCCTCGACCGTATCCAACACCTCCGCTCCGCCGAGTCGTTCATCGTCGGCGTCCAGTCTCGCATCCGCGGCCACCTCGCCCGGCAGGATTACCGCTCTAAGGCGCGCAACCTCCGCAAGACCGAGGTCGTCAAGTCTGTCGGGGGGCTGCAGTCGCTCGCTCGGGCCGCACTCGCTCGAAGGCGTGTCAAGACGCAGCGCCAGGAACTCGGGTTCGTCGAGCCCGACGTTGTCGGCATCCAAGCGCAGACGAGGGGGTTCCTCGGTCGGACGGCGTTCATCGCCTGGCATCAACACGTTCGTGCGAACGAGGGGATCGTCGTCTTCCTCCAGTCGCTCATCCGCGGCGCCGTCGCCCGCAAGAAGTACTTCGCCATGCACCGGCACCTTCAGCAGAACATGTCGAACGTCGTCCGTCTCCAGGCGGCCATTCGTTCTCGTCGCCAGGGATCGCAGTACCGCCAGCTCCGCGTCGGGAAGAACGTCCCGGTCAGCACGATCAAAAACTTCATGCGCCTGCTCGACGACTCCGAGTTCGACTACCGCGGCGAGTTGCAGCTCGAGTCGCTCCGCAAGGAGCTCGTCAGCGCGATCCGCGAGACGCAGGAGCTCGAGGACGACGTCAAGGACCTCGACACGAAGATTGCGCTCCTCGTCAAGAACAAGATCACGCACGAGGTCGCTCGCGCGCAGCGGGCGAACAAGGGCACTCTCGCCCCCCTCAAGCGCAGCTCGCTCCTCTCGGCTGCGAACGACCCGTTCGCCGGCGGCACGCTCGACCACCACACGCAGCGCAAACTCGACCTCTACCAGCAGCTCTTCTGGCACCTCCAGACCAAGCCCGCCTACCTCGCCAAGCTCTTCGCCAACATGAGCCGAATGCGGGTCAGCGAGAAAACGCAGAAGCAGATCGAGGCGACCACTTTCGTCATGTTCGGCTATGCGCAGGGTCACCGCGAGGAGTTCCTCCTCCTCAAGCTCTTCCAGGTGCGCCGCGCTTCGCTCGTCCGGTCTCGCCGAGTAGAGGCTTACCCTCTCCTCCTCTCGCAGCGCTCGATCCAAGAAGAGTTCGCCAGCCTCGCCAACATGGCCGCCTTTGTCCGCGGCAACTTCACCTTTGTCCGCCTGCTCGTCCACTGCGGTCGCGGGGTCCAGCAGCGACAGTACCTCGCTGGCGCGCTTGCGACGGAGATCAAGGCTGTCATGGGTCGGCAAGGGCTTGACCTCGGGACGGACCCGATCGCGGTGCGTTGGCTCACGCATGGTCTTCAGCGACTTTCGACTGACGCTCGTACGTCGACGCAGATCTACCAAGCCGAACTCGAGCGGGAAGAGTCGCGGACAGGCTTGCCTTCGCAGCGCCCGAAGGATGTTGACTACGCCCACGCACTCGCCGACCGCGAGACCAACGCTCTCTTTATCCAGCGTACATCACGCCTCTTCGCGCATTCCTCGGAGGAACGCTGACGTGTTCCGCATTCAGACCTCATCGCGCTCCGCAAGGCCACGACCGCCTTCCTCCGCGCCATCTTCACGTCGACCGCGCGAATGCCCTTCGGCATCCGCTACGTCGCCCGCGAGATCTTCCGAGCGTTGCGAGCGAGGTTCCCGAACGAGCCCGAGCACGAGTCGTTGCGGATAGCGGGACATGTCGTCTACTACCGCTTCCTCCAGCCCGCCATCGTGTGAGTCGAGCGCGTCCACCAACTTTCGACACATTCCGCTAACTTCGTACTCCGTAGCGCACCCGAGACGTTCGGCATCGTCGAAGGCGTCGTCCCGCCCATCCAGCGCCAGAACCTCGGCGAGGTCTGCAAAATGCTTAACCAGATTTCGGTCGGCAGGCTCTTCGGCGCCGATCAGGAGTATCTGATGCCCATGAGCGACTTCATCACATCGAGCGCGGCCGAATTTACGCAATGGATCTTCGAGCGTACGGTCCCTTCTTTCCGTCGGCGCGCGCAAGTCTCGCTGAACTTGCTTTGTCCCGCAGTCATCCACATTGAGGACGCCGAGACGTACTTCCGCGCGGACGAGTACGTCGATGCCGCAGCCTCAAGGCGGCCAGTCATCTACATCTCGCCGAACGACATCTACGCAACCCACAGCATTCTGGTCGAGACCCTTGACGTCATCGTGCGTACTTTCTCTTCCTCGCTCTAAGCCGCGCGCTGACCCGTTGAACCGCAGGCTCCGGAGGACGACGACCCGGTTCGACAGATCCTCGTCGAGCTTGGCGGCGTCCCGACTGCGAGCAGCGCGGAGCTTGAGCGTGCGCGAGCAGACGAAGTCGCTTTAACGCTCGCCACTCGCCTTCTGCCTCACGAAGGTGCGTCATTCGCAGTCAACGAGAGTCTGCCCGACTGACCCGTCTGTCCTGTCGCAGACCCCGATGCCGAATCGAAGCACCTCTTCAACCAAGCCAAGCGCCGCGTGCTCGCCATCCTCAAAGTTCAGCACGGCAACGACCTCGAAGCCGTCCTCGCGCAGCAAGTCACGCCCGAGGACGAGGATGCCTGGATTCGGATCGTTGAGGAGGAGGAAGAGGAGGAGCGGAGGTTGGCGCATGCGCAGAGGAGGGCGGTTGTACCGCAAATGGATGATATCCGCAAGTGAGTTGGGCTTGGTCGTCTCGATTCGTTCGTTACGTTTTGCTGACCTCGGACTCGTCGAACAGCATGTCGTTTCACCAGCTCAAGATGGCGACGCTCAGCGACATCGTCGAGCTGCGAAGAACCGGTCTCGTCGCCAAGAACGACAAGTATCAGGCCATTCTCAACGCAATCGCGCACGACATCCGAAGCAAGCGTGCGCTCCTGTTCTCGCTTTCTCCGCCTGCTCCTCGAAGTTGACAGCCACGTCTGCGCAGACCACCGCCGCGTGCAACGCCAGAACGAGCTACAGACGATGCACGCGACGCTCTCGTCGCTCAAGGACAAGAAGCGCTACCTCGAGGACCAGATCAAGTCGTACCATGTCTACATCGACCAGTCGATGGCCGGCATCCAGAAGAAGAGCAAGAAGCGCATCGTCTTGCCGTGGTCGATTCAGGGCGTTCACCAGCGCCAGCTCGAGAAGCAGGGCAAGAAATACAAGTTCGGCTCGTACAAGTACACGGCTCAGACGCTCTACGAACGCGGCGTCCTCCTCTCCATCGAGCAGGTCTCGCCCAAGACGTTCGACAAGGTCTCGATGACGTTCAGCTCGGATAACGTCGGCGTCTTCGAGATCAAGGTCGAGTTCACCGGCAAGACGCTCTCGGCTGTCGAGCTCAAGCTCGAGGACCTCCTCGAGGCGCAGTGGGTGCGTCGGCATCCTGTCTATTCCTCAGTGCTGCCGCTGACTGTCCGGCTGCGCACAGGTCGGCAAGCAAACCGTCTCGATCGGCGAGGCTGTCAAGATGAACCTCGTCGAGCTCCTCGACCTCATCAATCGCAAGTGAGTCGTCTTCCGCCCTCTTCTTACGCTTTGCGATGCTGACAAGTGCGAATTTGCAGGTTCTACCAATAGTCCAGCGACTCGACGCTTCCCTTCGTCTTTCTCGCCAGCCTGGCCTATTCTTCGCTCCGCGCCTATGCTGCGCGCACCTTCCCTCATGCCTCCATCTATCTCACGTACACACACGAACTCGCATAAGCAGTATACCCGGCTTGTTCACTCGTTTCCCTCCATGTCGACCCATCCTTCCGCCTTTGTTGTGCACAACTCGCAGATTCTCCCTCGCATGCAGTGCACGATCGAGAGCAGCTTGTTGACTGTCGTCTCTGCTAAGCTGCTCGGGCTCTGCGACGCGCTGGCTCGAGCAGTACACCCTTTTCTCTCCTGCTCCTCGTCTCGCCTTCTCAATCCGCTCTCTCTCCGCGTCAAGCTGTTCACTCGCTCGACAGGTGCGTCTAACCATTCCTGAGCAGTACTCGTACGCTGCGGTACCCCTCGCCTCGTCTGTTGACCTTTGCGCCGCTTTGACCCTGTTGACCTTGGCCTCCTCTCTCCTCATCACCTCGCCTACACTCACCCTCGCCCTCGCACCAGCTGCAGGGTCACAGACTGTACGCTCAGCTGAGATGGACGAGCCAGCTCAACCCTCGCACGACGCTCTGCCCTTCTCCCTGCCTCTCGCCACCCCTCCCAGCACCAACCTCGCGACACCGCCTACCGCGCCTCAACACCGCGACCAGCCGCAGCCGGACGCACAGGAGGAGCGTGGAGCGGACGAGAGCGACGTGCTGGGCTTGAGTACGGCTGCGATGGAGGTATGTGGCGGAAAGAGCGGGTCGCGCGAGGGCGAGGGAGAGGTCGGGGGAGACTTGGTGGGCGAGGGCGCGGCGGTCGGGGCCAGCAGGTCAGGGCCATCATCAGTTGATGCGCTGAAAAAGGAGCAGATGGACGCGCAGGCAGACGAGGAGAAGGAGCCGGGCGAGATTGACCAGGTCGAGGTGATTGCCAGTCATTCGCGAGCGGTGAGCCTTGACTGACCGTCGCACTCCTTGCTTGACGATCAGGGTTCAACGCCGAAAGAGGAGCCATACAAGTGGCAATCTTCCGGCATCGTCCCTCATGTTCGCGACTCTCAGTTCCTCTGCACGACACCCGGCTGACATCGCATTGACCTGCAGACGCCGCCTACCACCATGGATCCGTTCGGCACGCTCCTCACTTTGGAGCCGCGCTCAGCGAACCAGAAAATGGTCGACCCGTCCGTCTACAGCGACAAGCTCCCCGACCGCCCGCCTCCGCACCGCACCGCCTACGAGTACCGCCTATTCCTCCCGTTCCGCTCCATCGGCAACTCCCTGATCGGTCCTCGCGGGCTGACTATCCTCGATATCCGCAAGAAGAGCCGCTTGGGCGTCACGCAAGTCCTCTTCACGAAGGAAGACCGCAAAGGCGTCCTGATCATGGTCGGCAGCCTCGCCTCGATCAGGCGCGCTCTCGAGATCATCGAGGATCACGTCTACAGGAAGGAGTACGGACGCTGGAACTCGTGGGAGCTCGGCAAGTTGCGGAGCATGAGCCCTGACTGGGTCAAGTTCGCCCTCGAGCGAGCCACCGAGATGGCGGGCCTCTGGCTCAAGCCCGACTTTGCCGACGACGACCGGCGAGCTCGCCCCGCGCCGCCCGGAGGAGGAGGCTTGCAGTCGAGATTGGGCGACGAACCCAAGTACCGCCGCGACCAGTCTCTCCCGCCGCGTCCTCCTCCCTCCGGCCGTCGCTCTTCCTACCCTCCTCCACCGGCTCACCAGCCGCAGAGGTACGACGACCGCCCGCGAGGCCCGCCCAGCAACCGCGACGCCCGCAACCCGCCGCCTCCTCGCAACAGCCGGGGACCTTCGCAACCTCGCTCTTACGACCGCTCGCGTCATCCTCGTTCGCCTGACCGTCGTCCCACCACTCCTCCGCATCCGTCGCCTCGCAAGGGAGGCTCGAGGCGTACGCCGTCGCCGGACAAGCGCAACAGCCGCGCGAGGACCGAGCGACTGACCGACGACGAGGACGACCACGGGAGGCGGAGGTCGTCGAGGAGTCGTTCGCCTGTTCGCTCAAGGATCAGGAGCGAGTCGAACAAGTCGCGCAGCCCGGAGAGGCCGAGGGGGCCGACGAGGAGCTTGCTTGCGGTCAAGGAGCAGGAGGACGAGGAGCCGCCGACTTCGTACAGCATCGAGTGCGTACGCTTTCGTTCTCCTTCATTCCTCCCTTGACTGATCCGGATTTCTCGGCTCAGCATCGGCGACGAGTCCGCCCTCCATTTCTTCGGTCCCAACTCGTGCGCGCCCTACATCCAGACGACGACCGGCTCGAAAGTCACGGTCGAGGCGAGCGGCGTGCATGTCAAGGTCAAAGTCGAAGGAGGAGACGTGCAGAAGGCTGTCGAGAAGGTTCGCGAGGTCGTCGCTTCGACGGGAGGGAAGATTGGGGGAGTTGCGGCTGGCAGGAAAGAAGTGACGAAGGGTGCGTCCGAGCGATCTCTCAGCGTTTTCCGCATCTCTATCGACCGCTAACGAACTGCCGTTGCAGTCGTGGTGTCGCCCGTCAAGCCGGACGTCCCGCCCGTCTCGCCCAAGAAGCGCCGCTACAGCAGCGCGACGACCCAATCGCACGACTCGCCGGAAACGTCGTTCTCGTCTCGCCAGACTGCCGACACGTCCTCCGAAATCGACAACGACATGAACTGGGTTGCACGCGAGGCGGATTTGAAGGAGCAGGTTGTCAAGCGCATGAAGGAGAGGGACACCTCGACGAGCGGGAGCGTCACGCCGGTTGAGGAGCCTGCGAGGTGGCGCGGCGAGGTGCAACCATCCCGGTCCCTGCGTTGCGAGCGTTAAAAACTGACTTTGCGCATCGACAGCGACGCAACGACCGCCCCGAAAGGCGAGATGCGCCAGTCCCGAACGGTCCTCGTTTCGCTCGCCGCGCGTCAATTGCCCGCCGTTCGCCTCTCCCGCTCCCGCCGCACTCCAGCGCCTTCTCCAGCACCGGTTGCTCGTACACGCATTACGGCGCGCCTCCGGCTCCGGCGTCGTACCCACCTCCCCAGCCCGCCTTCGCACCCTCGACCGATCCCTACGCTTCGACCGTCCCGCGCTGGCTAAACGGCGACGAGCAAGCGTTCTACGACGCCGAGTTCAGGACGAAAGGGTGGGGATGGGGGTCGAACGGATGGCACCAGAGCTACTCGTACGAGGAGAACAAGGCGAGGAAGGGCGCGAAGAAGCCGAAGATCTGAGGGTGTGCGCGTTTGAATAGGGTGAGAAGAGACGCTTGATGACTTGTGTGCATAGTCGCCGCTTGATGTTGTCCAGATGTAGTCGCCAGATGTGCATGTCGTACTCGCTTCCAGGGGTCTGTGGCCGAGTGGCGAAGGAAGCGAAGAGGAAGTAAAAAAGCGAGGGAGAGCGCCGGCGACCAGATGGCGGAAACATGGAAGTCACTTCTTACAATCCTGGCTACTCCTCGAACCCCAACAGATGCCTCAGACCGCGCAACTCGTCGCATCGCGCTCCCTTGCACTCGTGCTCGAACGCCATGCCGAAGTCGATAATCTTGATGCCGTCCTTGCCGCGCACGACGTTCCGCGGCGCGAGGTCGTCGTGGTAGATTCCTTTGGCGTGAAGCGCGACGGTCTTGCTGTACAAGTCGCGTCTGGGAGTTCAAGAGCGCCGTTAGCGGGATAAAGAATGGAAAGACCTGCTCGCGCGACTCACTTCTCCTCCTCCCTCAAGTCGTCCCAGTCACGCAGACTCCTGCCGACGTACGGCTGCACGAAGCAGTAGCGCTCGTTTTCGGCGTACTTGAAGACCCCCAACAGGCGTGGCGCGATGTCGGAGCCTGCGCAGCCGAGGAATCTCGCTTCAGGAAGGATCTCGTCTTTCGAGCCGTGCTTGAGGACTAGCCTGAGCCCGAGGTAATCGGCGCGATAGACGGGGCGTTCAAAGCTTGGCGAGAGAGTGCCTACGAGATGCCTTTCGACGAGAGGAGAGGTGCAGGGCGAGGAGGAGCGTGACGTTTTTGGCGAATGAGCGTTGTAATAGGGTATGGGCGGGTTCGAGCAAAGGGATGGCCCAGTCGTCGACTTGGCCGATGCTGGAGGAGTACCCTGTTCTGTACCGGGTGATGTGGCGTACTGGATGCGAATAAGCGTTGACTCGAAGGTCGGATCGACCGGAGTCCCGGCGAGATGGGTACGCAGCGTTGGAGTCTGCAAGACGAAGCGGTCAATACGAGCCGCCGAGCGGGAGGTTGCTGTAGGGGCGCACCGTCAGGAGATCAAGAAGGAGGTGTTCCTCATCCTCCCTTGCAGAACCAGATCCTTCCCCTGCTGCAGATCCTCCTCCCCTGCTTTGAGGCGCGTCCTCACCACGATCGACCACGCCTTTCTCGTCTCCCTCCGAGCTTCCCAACTCTGACTCCGCGCCAGCATCCTGCTCAGTTCCCTCGGCACCTTCATCGGCGAATTCGCCGCTCCTTGAGCCTCCAAATGCCTTGTCCTGCAAGATTGACGAGCTAGGACGGATCGTATAACCTTGGTTTGCCAGCTCGGCAAGAAGCTGGTTGTACTCCGCTTTTTCGACGAGAAGATCGGCAAGTCGTGAGGCGAAGTGGCGCGAGTCGGCGGCGAGGTAGAAGCTCCAGAGAGCGAAGCGCGGGTCCGAGTTACTGTGCTTCGGGCTGAAAACAAGGAGGTAGGGAAAGAGCTGGAGCTCCGGCGCGGAGGAAGCGGCCGTTGTGTGGGCGTCGGCATCGGAAGACGAGGTCCGACTGTCGAGCGGGATGATGGTGGCAATGAAGAAGGAGGAGGGGTCGACGAAAATGTGCGAGAAACAGGTGAAGGGGGACTCGGTGAAAGCGATGGCGAGGTTCTGTGTACGCAAGCGCTTCAATCTCGGCGTGAGCGGGCTTGCAGAGGGGACGAACCTTGAGAATCATGACCTGCTCTCCGCTATACATCCCGTCCGTCACCGAGCAGGACAACTCGTCCCAGCCAAATCCTCCCGGCATATCGTCCCTTCCGAAGCGGTCAGACAGACTCCAACCCATTCGACCCCGCCTCCATCAACTTGACCAGGAGCTGCAACTCTACACCCTGGAAATTGTAGAAGTCGACCTCGAACCACGGTCCGCGGTCCTGGTGTTTCGTCGTGTCGAGTGTGAATGGCGCAAACGCAGGCGTTTGGAGGGCGGAGAGGCACTCGCCGATTGCATAGAAGAGATCGTTGAAATGACCCATCAGCCACCATTCCGCCGGGATTTCTCGCAGCGACCTCTCGCCCGTCTGCGCCTTTTTGCCCTTAGTCGCAGTCGTCCTCGATTTTCGCTTAGGCGCATGCATGTTGAGGTAGGAGATCAAGCTGTCCAAGCACTTTGAAGCTCGCCCTTCCTGCTCGGCAAGGTCCCACAGAGGAGTGTCGAGGGTACCCGGCAGTAAGCGGGCGCCAAGGAAAGCGTAGGCGCTCTCAGTGACTAAGCGTTCGTGGTTGCTGAGGACATGGAGACGCCTTGGGGCGAAAGGCGCGAGTGGCTGCCCAGGTAAGGACGTGAAGAGCTTCGCAAGTTCGTGATTATTCGTCTGCGAGTCCGTGGGTGAGACTCCCATGACCGCCCCAGGGCGAACAGAGAGCGGTATCGTCGAAATCAGGTCGCGGAAGGTCGATGAGGTGTCAAGGCCGAGCCTGTCGAGCGAGTGCTGTAGGACGTTTCGCTGTACGAGGGGAAGGATCAGCTCGAGGAGGCGCAGAATGTACAAGGGGTTGGACGGACTCTGAAGTCCTCCTTTACTTCCTCATATTCTTCCTTCGACAGTTTCGGCGGGCGTTCCTCCGCAGGCTCAGAAGCTGCACGCTTCGACATCGCGATGGGGGGGCACAGACGAGGGGAGACTTCACAAGAGGACGAGGGAACGCGGGGGCAAGCTGGAGCTGAATTGGTAGTACGAATCGAGTAGCAACGAGTGCAGTGCGGAACAGCAGCCCTCAGCGGTCGAGGACACAGACGAGCGAGTTGGGGGAGGACAACCGATTCTCATCAGTCAACCTCTGCTTCGTCTCGCTCTGGCTGGACTGATGAGCACGGAAAGCGACGATGCACCGGCTCAGACTGCTTTCGCGCGCACCGACGACTTCTTGCGCGATGTCGCTCGCCTGACAGACCTCGACTTCGGCTCGGAACCATCGAGGGAGGAGGAGCGGGAGGAGCAAGCCGCGCTGGGGCGATTGTGTGCCGTGGTACGCTCCATTCTATCGTCCTCTGGCCAGAAACTCCAGCTGACGTCGCTTGGACAGCTCGACGACTACCAGGAGCAGTCTTACCTCCTCGACCCCTCCCTCGAAACGCTCGTCTCGCCACTCCTGGCATCCTTGCGCGAGCAACTTCGACGACAAGGCTCACAACTGGGTGGGAAGAGGGTTGAAAGGGTCGCGAAGATCCTGTACTGGTTCACAAAGGTCCGAGGGTCAAAGACGATTGGTGCGTCTGACGACTTTCGCTTCTGTAGTGGATGCCCCGCTCATGTGTCCCTCTCCGCAGTTCGCTTCTTCCCTCACGAGGTGACGGACCTGGCGGTGCTCGTCCAACTGCTCTCGGCCGACCCAGACGCTCCCTCAACCTCCTCGACTCCGCTTCACTCCTCGACAAGCTGGGAGTTGCGCTATATCCTACTCCTCTGGCTCTCCGTCTGCATCCGACTACCCTTTTCCCTCTCACGACTCTCGCCGGGAACGACGGACGCGATCGAAGCGCTTGGGCTGAAGTGGCTGGAGCGAAGCGGGAAGGAAGCGGACGGAGCGGCCGAAGTCCTTGGGCGGTACTTCGCCAGGAACGACGTCGACATTGCAATATTGCTCGGACGGTGTGAAGACGGTCTGCGGAGCCCGGAGAAGCAGAAGACGGTGTGTGCTCCTCGTCCTGGATTCCTGCGGGAGACCGACCGTTAGACCTTCGTCCAGGTCTACCCGCTCCTTACCGCCCTCTTGCTCGTCCTATCGACCGCACCGCCAGCACACCTTCTCCCGCACTTTCCTCGCCTCTACGCCCTCCTCGCTCTCATGCCCGCCCCAGATGACGGTCGAGTCGGCGCCAACCTCGCACGTTGCCGCGCGAAGCTCGCCGGTCGCATCGCGCTGTTGCGACTACAGGTCGAAACGAAGGGCGCGACGGATGAGGATGTGCCGGAGGAGGTGGAAGTGATTGTTGGCGAGCTGATCGAAGGATTGGCTCATCCCGTGCGTTGACGCATTTCGAAGGTCCGCTCTCAATTCTTGTTGACGCTCTATACTGCGCAGGACTCGATACCTCGCTACTCTTCCGCCAAATACCTCGCTCGCCTCTCGCTCCTCCTCCCTCCCTCGTTCGCCTCGCAACTCCTCGACGCTATCCTAACGTCCTTCGAAGAGGCTCTCGCGGAGAGCTCGACTACTCGAGGAGAAGGGAAGGCGCAGGGTGCTTGTCTTGCAGTCGGCGAGATGGCGCGTCGAAGCGTGTTGGACAGGCTTGAGGAGGATGAGCGAGACGAGGTGGTGAAGCGGATCTTGGACTGCACTCTACAGGTAAAGTTCTCTCCTGCTCTGGCGACGCTCGCGACATCCTCCAGGACATCGCTGACTGTATCAACCCCCAGGCGCTCCACTACGACCACCTCACCGCCCTTCACTCGATCGGCACATCCGTCCGCGACTCGGCGTCCTACGTGCTCTGGTCTCTCTCGCGCACTTTTCCATCATCGTCGTTATCGGCCGATCAAGCGCAGCGACTAGCCGAGCGACTCGTCTGCACGGCTTGTCTCGATCGGGAGGTGAGCGTGAGGAGGGCGGCGAGTGCGGCGTGGCAGGAAGCGGTCGGACGATGGGTGAGTGCCCAATGCTCTTTCTCATCACTTGGGTGTACGTCGCTGAATCTACGGCGCGCAGGGCATTTTCCCGCACGGCATCTCCGTCCTGCGCCTCGTCGACTTCTTTACCGTCTCCGTTCGACATCGTGCATTCTTGCAAGCTGCCGTCGGCGTTGCTACGTGAGCTGTTACCTATTTCCCTCTCCTCTCACGACCCTGATCATCATCCTGGCGCAGCTACCCCGAATACCGCCCAGCTCTCGTCTCCCATCTTCTCGGCCGACCGGCCTCGTCCAGCAGCACCGGGACGGGCATCGCACACTACGACGCTGAGATTCGTTTGCTATCGGCGCAAGCGCTGGGTGCGGTCGTCAAAGGCGCGGCGGAGGAGTTGGTCGAGCGGTTGATCGAGGAGCAGGTGCGCAACAAATGTTCCTTCGCATATGCTTAACAGTTGATCATCCCATGCACAGGTCAAGAAGCTCGAGCAGGTCACGAAGAACGTCGGCCGCTTGCACGGCGTGCTGCTGAGCTTGGCGCATCTGGCGAAGGCGGCGCAAGAGCTGCCGAACAGTCGGCAGGCGGAAGAACTCAAAGCACTGGTACGCCGCATGTCGTTGAGCGTCACGGTCGCGCTTCTGCTGAAATGCTGCGATCGTGTAGATCTTCGAGTCCGTTTGCGCCTTGTACCCCTCGACTCGCTCGCTCAAGTCGAACCAGCTCGTCCTCTCCGCCGCCCTCAGCGCTCTCGCATCCTCGGCACCAACTCCCGCCATTGACGCGACCAGGCCGCATCCTCCGTCAACCTGGTTTGACGTCGTCCACCTTGCTTGCGACCGGAGCGAGCAGGATGTCCACGACAAGGCAGGTGAAGCGATCGCTTCCGTCTCGAAGGCCATGGACTGTCGCCTTCAGATTGAGAGGTGCGCTTATCACGCGTCGTTGCTGACTTCCACAAAGCTGACGTTTCCGCGTTAGCCTTCTCGCCGACCTCGACTCGCGAACCGGCACTCGGCAGCAAGCTGCGGTTCTTCTCCTAGGCCAGATCGACTATTCGGCTGCGCACTCGAACGACGAGAAGCTTGCAACAGTGCTGCGACGCCTTGTCGACTTCGTCCAGCGGGATGGCTCGAGGAAGGCTGCGACGATTGAAGGAAGGAGGAATGGCATCGATGCATTGGCCACCGTTCTGCTTCGTCACGGAGATGCAGAAGATCTCGGTGCACAGGAACCGGTTCTACTTGATCGCATCGCATGGCTGACCGTCCGTCGTCGGTCGCAGGGACCTTACTCGACTCTGTCCTCTCGGCGCTCCGGCTGGGCTTCACCGACTACACTTCCGACCAACGAGGCGACGTCGGCTCATGGGTTCGCATCTCGACCCTGAACGCCTGGGCTTCTCTCATTCCCTCTTTCTACCCGTCTCGGCTGGACCGACAGACGGCAGATCAAATCGTGGCCAAGATGGTCAAACTGTGCCTCGAGCGACTCGACAATGTGCGAGAAGCGGCAGGGACGGCACTCATGAGCCTGTGGGAGTGGCAGAGCGGGACAAAAGCGGAGGGCGCAGGAGTCTTGAGGGGTGAGGAAGTCTGGGAGGCCATCGCTGCGTGAGTTCGATATCAGCCTGCCGCACTCTCCGCGTTCGTTGAGCACTGACGATGGTTCACGCAGGGAGGACCGACGGAACTGGCGAGACTTGAACTGGTCGTCCGAACGGATTCTCCCGTTGCTTCGAGTGCCCGAGTATCGCACCGACCTGCTCGAAGGCGCCGTGCTCTCTCTGGTGCGATCAATTCTCGTCTCTACCGATTGCCCGGACCGGCTAACGGACCTGACCTCGCAGAGCCAATTCTCCTCTTCGACTGCTTTCGTCGACTTCTGCCTCTCCCTGCCGGCCCTTCCGCCTAGCTCCGCAAAGCACGACGAGCTCGTCCCGTATACCCTCTTCTCGCTCCTATCCTCCCTTCTCGCCCTCAGCAAGGCGCACTTCTCCTCGAACCGCATCTTCGTCCCCCTCCTTTCGACCCTCGCTTCTCTCGCCGAAGCAGGCTGTCTCGACGAAGTTGCTGCGGATGAGGCGGAAGAAGGCGGCAAGGTGCTTCGCGACTTGGTCGGCGTCGCCGTTAACGGTGTTGGCAATATGAAGAGTTCAGCGAGGTTGACTGGCGCGATGAAGGTGTACGTCCGCTCGGTCTTCCTCCTCATGTGCTCTCTACTGACGTACCGGCGACAGTGTCATCGCGTTCTTGCCGCTCCCGCACGTCGGTCCCTCAGCCGCTACACGGTTACCCCTCTTCCTCGCGCATCCGCAAGCTTGGGTACGCTCACGCTCTTCCTGCCCTTCACATCCCGCACTTGCGAGACTGACGAATCATCCTTCACCGCAGTTACGCCAGCAGACCGCCGACGAGCTCTTCGGCGCCCTCGCCGCGATCGGGAGCGAAGACGAAGAGTTGTCAACGATGCTGGCGGAGACAAGCTGGTGCGTCGCTCGCTTCCTCCGCTCAACAGGTCGAGCGGAGCACACTCATTGATTTGCCGCTTGCAGGACCAGTCTCAGCCAGGAAGAAGCGACGGAAAGGGGACGAGCGGTTGGAGAGAAGGTCAAGACAGCTGTAGAGCTTTCGGACGCATAGATACGCAATCGACGCGTACTTGCGCAACACTAGCACTGCTGCTTGCGTCTCTTTGCGCTGAACCAAGCGAGACGAAGAACCCCCCGTCCAATGCCAGGCTCGGCTACCGCCTCCGTCGGGACGATCTCGGCGCGCTCGCCGGCGCCGCTTCCTCCTTCTTCACCGTCTTCGCCGTGCTCCGCGTGCCCTTCTTCGCTGGCGTCGAGATGCCCGCATCGCTCGAAGCCGGCGTCGAGTCTTGCCGCTCTCTCGCGTTTGATGCGCGTGAGCGGCGGTTGGAGGACGGCAGAGAGCGGATGGCGGCAGCTGGGGAATCGAACGAGAGCTAGTCAGTACAGCTGTGAGATATTGCTGCAGAGCTGGACTTGGCCAACCTTTATCGGCCGGTTTCCGTTTCGCATCCGCTTCAGTCGCCGTGCTCGCGCTGTCGTCGTCGACTGTCGCAGCCGTACCCGTCACACTTGTGCCGTCATCTTCCTCGACGTCCTCCTCCGCCTCCTCCTCGCCATCGCCGCCTTCCTCAGCCGACTCATCCGCATCCTCATCCGCATCCTCCGAGAGTTCCGACAACTCGCTATCCTCTTCCTCGCCTCCAGACGGCTTCTTATCGACCTTCTGCTTCTTGCGCGGCGATCCGCCGGCCGCAGCCCGCTTCTTCCGCTTCCCTCGCCCGCTCGTCTCGCCGTCAGGCAACGGTACCGAGACTTCGCGCAGCGGCGCATCGTCTGGAACAGGTGACTCATGCTTCGACCCTTTCGGAACGAGGCCGCGCTGGAAAGCTGCGATCTGAATGGAGGGTTCGGGCGAGAGGTCGAAGGGACGGCGGGGGAAGTGCAGGGTCGCTACGCGGTCTGAGAGGGACTGGGAAGGCGTTGGAGAGGGCTGCGCGGCTTCGGTGGTTAGCGCAGCGGTGTCTGGTGCAGGGGAGGCTGAAGGAGTCGGGAGGAGTTGTTCTTGCTGTGAATCGCAAAGGCTCATGTCATCGTCAGCTACGCCTGAGAGAGGCTCTTCGAACGCACCTGTTCCTCCCACACGCTCTCGAGCGTCTCCTGATCGTACAATTCGCGCCATTTGCTCCACACATCCTCGCTCTTGAGCCCCCGCGCCGCTTCCTCGCCTCCTTCCTCGCTCGCAAGCGCCCGCTGGAGAGACAACAGCACGGCGACCATGTCGAAGTGCTTGTTGGGCCCGACGAGGCGGTGGGTGATGAGGGACCGGAAGAGGGCGAGTTCGCCAGCGGGGGTGTCGAGGAGGGGACGAGCGGATGGGGCGGGAGTAGCGTCGCTCGCAGCAGGAGCTTGTGAGAGCGGAGGAGCCCAATCTAGCGCTGTCTCTGCCATTCTAACGGGTTGCTGGCGAGCTGCTACCCGTCAAGAGATGAACCTGGAGGTTGGCCATCAACTTGTCACCGCTGCGGCTCAAGGTGACGCTTGAAGTCGCTTGCTACGCCTGATAGCAATCTACAGACCCGCCCAACCCCAGCTGAACCATTCCCGCCCTACTTTCGTCTCTCCCCATCCACCTGCGCCTCATCACTCATCGCCGACTCGATGCACAACAACTACCTGGGTATACGCGCACAGCGTGGTGGAACATCTGGCGGAGGACCTGGACGAGGCGGCGGGACGGGCCAGAAGTATGGCAAGACGCCTCAGGCGACTCCCTCGACTCGGTGCGTGACCGTCTCCTCCTTCCAGTATGCACGCTAGAGTCCGCTGACTCCGTACGACGGCTCTGCAGCTGCCAGAAGTGCGGTCAGCTCGGACACTGGTCGTTCGAGTGTACCGGACAGCGCGAATACAAGGTCCGCCCGACACGAACGCAGATCTTGAAGAACCCGAAGCTGAGGAAGGAGCTGGAGGAGGCTGCGCCTGTCAGGACTGAGGAGATCCCCAAGTGCGTTCGATTTTACCAGTCGACCAAAGGCGGGAACTAGTGGCCGATGTTGACCGCTATCGCTCCCTCGCAGGGAAGGAACCGCTGCCGCAATCCTCGCCGCGAACGAAGCGAAGCGGCAGGCGAAGCTCAAGGCTCAGCGAGAAGAGGAGGAGCGCGGCCGGAGCAGGCGAAGCAGGCGCGACCGCAGCGAGTCGGTTTCGTCGAGCGGGTCGAGCGGCAGCTACTCGTCCTCCTACTCCGGGAGATCGAGGTCCGACAGTCGCAGCAGGTCGCGCAGTCGCTCGTGGAGCAAGTCGAGGAGTCGCTCGCGAGGCCGGAAGGCAAGGTCGCGCAGCGACTCTCGCTCTCGCTCGCCTTCCCGTTCCCGCTCCCGCTCTCGCTCGCCTCGCCGCTCGCGCGGTCGTCACCTCTCCCGCTCGCCATCCGTGTCTCGCTCTCCCTCGCCGTCCCGGTCTCACAACCGCTCTCCAGCTCGTCGACGTGCCGCCTCAAGGTCCCCCTCAGGGTCGAAGTCGCCAGGTCCGTCAAAGAGGCGAGGCCGATCGCCTTCGTACTCGCACTCGCCATCACCAAAGAGGAGCAGGAGACCCAGCAGGAGTCGGAGCAGGAGCATGTCGAGGAGTGTGAGCGGGAGCAGGAGTCCGTCGCCAAAGAGGGTGAGGCGGCAGGAGACGGAGTAGCGACAACTTGCACAACACTTCGCACTCGTTCTACTCCGACTGCATCGCCGCTTCACGCTCCTTGGAAGCTTCAACAACGTAGGGCAGCGCGAGCGTCCGTTTGTGCCAGGCGAAGACGTGCGGGAAGTCCTTTTCGGAGCCGTCAGGAAGGAGATCCTCACTCCGGCGCTCAGGCAAGCATTCGCGTGGTGTCGGAGGAGGAGGTGGAGGACGAGGAACGGGCTACTCGGTGGGCGCTTGAAATGAAACCTCGCCTGACTTGCTACGAAATGAAGTGATATCGCATAGAGAAACCCGATACAAAGCCGCACAAATAGACGCCAGACCCGCTCCGACATCCTTGACCCATCTACGCGTGCTCGAGCACCGGCACAACGCCTGCGGCAATCTCGTCCTTCTTCTCCGTCGACTCCACCTCATCCATCGCACTGTCCGTGAGTGCTGAGCCATCTGCCTCCGGCGGAACCCACACGCCTTTCGGCTCGCTCCACTTGGCGTTGTAGTTGGGTTGCGGGAAGAGGCGAACGAGGATGTAGTACACAGCACCGGCCGCGGACGTCGTCGTGAGGATGCTGAACCAGTAAGAGCGGGCGAGGCGGTGGTTGTGGATGATGCTGAGATTGTTCAGGACTGTATCGAGAAGGAGCGAGGTGAGCATTGTTGCGATCGTCAAGCGAGAGAAGCACGCACAGCCGGCAAAGTTGATCGCAACACCAACGCCGTATGCCGCGAAAGCGCGCCAGTTGAAGCCGTAAGAGTAGTAGTCTGCGGCGGAGAAGGTCTGAGGGGGTGTCGACCAAGAGTTCGCGGATCAGAAACGCACAGGTGCCCTTCTTGCTCAAAGTGTAGAGGTCGCGGTAATTGAAGAGACCCTTCGAGACGAGGAAGTAGTCGCTCATGATCAAGCCGCAGATCGAGAAGAGGAAGATCTGCGAACGAGGAATGTCAACTTCGCACCGAGGCGAGTCTAAGTGAGCGGCTTCAAGACGCACCTGGTAGCTCGCCAAGACGGTGATGAAGCGACTGGCGGTGCCGAGTAGGTACCACGGGCAGAAGGCCGCGCATCCAAGGAGGCAGATCCAGAAGCCTCGCTTGACGGAGATGTACTTGGGGCAGAGCGAGGCGAGGTCGTTGCCGCAGCCTGCGCGTGAACATCAGCATGAGTGTGACCTTAGGGAAAGCGCGCGGACTCCGCGGACCCACAATAGATGTTCTCGAAGACACACTGTCGCGGGACAGAGAGTGTCAGCCGAAGACCATCACGCGAGTTGAGACGGATACTCACGGAGAAGAGGAGCGAGTAGACAAAGCCTGCGGCGATGAAGAACGCCCCGGCTCGGTGCTTGGCGTCGTAGTTGTCTTCGAGCAGCATCTTGAGGTACGTGACGGGGTTCCAGACAACCTCACCGTAGACGGTTGCCGACGTCGACGCAACGAGCATGCCGATAACCTGTACGATGAAGTTCGAGATGGGGAAGCCGAGAATCTGGCCGAGGATTGGGTCGTTGGGACGTTTCGCATTTCGCTGCCAGTCGGCGGCGTTCGAGGCGAAGGTCGAGCAACTTGCGGTGCTCGTGAGAATCTGCGTCGGAATGAGTATCAGCTGGGATGGAGCCACAAGAAGGAGGAAGCAATGCGGACCATCTGGAGGAGGAGCCAACTCTTCGCCGGCCCGTGAACTGTACTCGGCTGCGAGACGACGGGACCGACGCTTCCGCCGGCTTTGGTGATGGCGAGTGCGAGCATGCCGGCACTCGAAATGCAGAAGACGGCGACCTTCGAGTAGACCAGGGCGGCCCACTTCGGAACGTCGAGGAGGAGCATGGCGGCGTTGAGGAGGAGGTAGAGGAAGAAGCAGAGCATCTCGGCGGATGTGAGAGCTGAACCGGTACCCATATGGTTCGGAATGTTCCGCATTGTCGGGAAGATGGCGTAGAGGCAGATGTAAAGGGCTGCGAACGGCCGACGAAGGTCAGGACGTGCTCGCAGTGACGGGAGGAAGCACTTACCCTGAGCTGCGCTAGCGGAGTTAATGGCCTGCCAAACGGTGGCCATCACTGCGCGGTTGAAAGCCGGCCAGCCCGCCCCCAGGACGCCAAACGACGACCGACAAATGACGGGGTAGGGAATGCCATATTTTGCGCCGGGCCTGCCGCATCCGACCATCCAGAAGGAGACCTGTGAGTCGCCTTGTAGTGTCAGAACGAGGGACGGGCGGCGGGAGGTGTCGGGGCGGAGCGAGGTAGGACCAGGAGGAAAGGGAGGACGGTGCGTACAATGAAGAAACCCGCCGTCGTGCAGCCGAGCCCCTCGAAGAACGTGATCCCAAGCGCGAGCCACGATGATCCACCGAGCCAGCTGGGAGCAGTCGCGAGAGTCGAGGAAAGTCGGAGGGAAAGTGATGAGAAGGTAGTCGAGGCAAAGTTCGTCAACGGCTGCTCATGACACGGTCTCAGAAGGTGCAACAACTCACTTCGACACGTTAGTCACCGCACTGAACCAGAAGAGCCCGAAGAAGAGCTTGCCCCAAGTCCGCCGCTCGATGGGCGTCGAGCGCAGGTCTTCATTGTCGAGGGCGCGCTCAGCACCTTCGGCGGCGGGAACTTCGAGTCGTTTGAGGAGTCCCATCGTCGCAAAGTTATTGAAGAAGCGATGTGGAGACGAAGGTTCGCGCGAAGACGACAGAACGGAGGGAGAGGAGGCGGCGAGAAGGTATCGCGTGTTCCGTTCGGCCGCTCGCGCCGTCTCGCTGGCGATAAGCTCGAATCAATCGAGGGCGTCGGATAGAGGCGTTCCGCCGGCCCCGGGCCAAGGCGCTGAGAAGGGCGAAAGCATGCGGGTCGACGGGCAACCTCGGCCGACATCTCGTTCTGCGCTGTCTCCGTCTCGTCAGACAATGCAGCCGGCCGATTGCGCCCTCCAACGTCGCGATTGAGCTCCTGATAGCGCCCGCGACTCCCGCTTTCGCCGCGATCCGTCGTTCCGCCCGGCTCCTTGTCCTTATCTCCCCTCGTCTTCGCCTGGTACCTCCGTGGACACCCGCTCCGCGTCCCGGCGCTGTAGAGCTAAGCTCTATCGCCTCCATCCAGCCGCTCCAGTGTTCCGGTCCCCGCGCCGCTGTGACACGGCTTGAGAGAAAAGCCGCTCCTGCTTCCGCTCGTCCACCTCGCTGCTGCACGCACACCGTCCTCGCTCCGTTCCTCCGCTAGCCAACAGCCTCAACAAAGATGCCCGGCCTGCACACGACCCTCCAAGCCGTCGTCAATTTTGCCGTACCGCAAGCCGAGATCGAGGATCTCGCCAAGTATCTCGCAAGGTTCGACGCTGACGACCCCGTCCCAAGTCGCAAGTCGGAGATTGCGATCTTCGACCTGAGGGAGGAGTTTGATGCTGGGATGGGTGGCAAGTCGGCGGGACAGCAGCTCGACGAAACTGGGTGAGGCGCGACAGTCGGAGCCGGCATGAGGTACTCCTGCTGATGTCCCGCCCTCCACGCAGCTATGCCGTCGTCAAGCACGCGTCTGCGTTCGGGACGTCGGAGGGCTTGTCGACAGTTGAGGCGACCGATTCGTATAAGGACGAGTGCTGCTCTGCGCTCAAGGAGATGCTCGGCGCGTCGAAAGTGTTGTGCTGGAACGTCGTCGTGCGCGATGCGGGAAGCGGACAACCCGACACCAAGGGCGTCATGCAGATGAAGCTGGAGAAGGGCTTCGCGCCGACGACGGACCTCAAAGCTGTCGCCTCGTTCGCTCACGTCGACCAGGACGAAGAGTACGCCCGCACGATCATCAAGCGAGCGGCAGGCGACGACGTCTTCGAGAAATACAGTCGTGCCGAGATCGTGAACATCTGGCGCCCGCTGCACGGCCCCGTCACGAACAACCCGCTGGCCGTCTCCGACTTCTTCTCGATGGACCTTGACAAGGATGTCATGCGCATGGCCGGGTCGTACGGAACGGCGTACAGCGTGTCGTACAGCCCGAGGCAGCGCTGGGCGTATCTACAGCACATGCAGCCGGACGAGGCGTACCTCCTCCGCTGCTACGACTCGAACATGGGCAAGAACGGCGAGGCGCTCTTCACCGGCCACGTCGCGTGTGAGATGCTGAACGAGCCGGACCCTGTTGGTCTCGAGGGCAAGCCGAAGGTGCCGAGGCGCAGCGTCGAGGCGAGGATGTTCGTCCTGTACGAGTGAAGGCGAGTCAAGGGTTGTACATACGGGTTCTTCTGTCATGCATCAGTCTCTCTCGGGTACGCAGGAAATGGAGAAAAGCGGCTGCGTTGCAGCCGAGGGTTTTACTCGAGCGAGACCGACGTAATCTTGATCTCCTCGAAAGGCTTGTCGCCCTTGTCCGTACGCGCGTTCTCGATCTCGTGGACGACGTCGAAGCCGGCAGTAGCACGCCCGAAGATCCTGTGGCAAAGGCAAGCGGTGAGCGAAGCCGAAGTTGCGAAGGCCAAGCACGAGAGGCGACGCACGAATGCTTGGTGTCGAGCCTGCGCGAGAAAGAACCGCAGGGTACCCTCGTCAGTGATGTTCACAAGGAAGGAAGGAGACGCGTGAACGCACCAAGGACAAGGTACGGTCGTGATGAAGAACTGACTGCCGTTCGTCTTCGGGCCGGCGTTGGCCATGCTGAGCATGTACGGCCGGTCGTGTTTGAGCGAGGGGTGGAACTCGTCCTCGAAGGGATGTCCCCAGAGCGACTCGCCGCCGGTACCGTCGCCGAGAGGGTCGCCAGTTTGGATCATCTGCCAAGTGGAGCGAGGTCAGCAAGCGGGAGTCAGAGGACGGCGGAAAACGCACGAATTTGGGGATGACACGATGGAAGATGACGTCGTCGTAGTAGTGCTTCTTCGACAAGCCGACAAAGTTCTCGACCGTCTTGGGCACCAGGTCCGGGAAGAGCTCGACGCGGATGTCACCCTTCGTTGTATGAATGACGGCGCGGCGATTGAGCGGTCCAGACGCGGATGTTGCGGGTGCCGCAATGGTCATCTCGTCGCGCGTCGGCTTCTCGTTGTAGACGTCGCGCTCGCCAGCCTTGTCTCTGCGGGAGGCAATCGAGGTGAGCGAGTTGATCTGGGGCGGGCGACGACCGTACGCACTCTGGCTCCGAGCGTGTGAACATGTAGAAGCGAGGTCGTTTCCACGCCGTGCAGAACAAGGTCGGATCCCGCTCGTCCTTGTCCGCCAGCAACGGGTTCTCCGAAGTCATCATCGCCTGCACGGTCGACGTCAGCGCGAGTCGAACGTACGAGTGAATGAATACGCACGATGGTCTTGACGCCCTGCTTCGTAGGCATGCCCTGGTACAGCGCCAGGTTGTTGAACCGCACCGTCTCGTCCTTCCCGAGTATCCGCGCGACCTTGTTCGTGACCGTGTTGACGACTGCGAGCGGTCGTCAGTATGAGCGAAGACTCGAAGGCGGAAAGAAACGCACCCTTGATGCCAAGCATGGTCGGGTAGATCACGAACTTCCCTCCCTCGTCCCAAGCCGGCTGCCCGATCGTCGCCGTCGACCCTGCTCGTCCTTCAAGCACACTCTCCAGCGCCTGCTTTTCCAACTCCTTCTCGACCGCCAATCGTCGTCCGAACTCCATCGAGTCGAGCTGGACGCCCGCGGTTCCCGCCTGCTGCATCTCCTGAACTGCGTTGAGTGATTCGTCATAGGCGCGGTGGAGACGGCCGGTGACGAAGTTGAATGTTGTGAGGCGGAGGTCGGGAAGGGAGAGGATGGCGAAAGAGTCGTGCGTGGGGGAGATGGTAAGAGCGACCGGCGTCGACTTGGTCTGCGGAACGAGCGCCGTCAGCGCGGGAGGCTGTGAGGAGAGGCGAGGTGCGCACCTTCTTGAACTCGTACAAGCCCGTCTGCGCCTTTGACGTCCACTCGACGCTGTCCGGCTTCTCGAACGGCTCGTTCGGCTGCCAGTACTCGATCATTCCGCCAACGTCCACCGAGATGACCGTGTCGTGGAGAGAGTTGTACTGCAGATTTCCGGTGAGTACTCGAGCATCTCCAAAGGTGACGAAGGAACGCACAGCCATAAGGTGCACGCTCTGTCGGTGCATCGACGAGAGCGTATGCAGGGGCTTGCCGTCTCCTCGCCCGTCATAGATCCGAATCGCAGACGAGTCGTACTCGGAGCTGTGCAAGGGGATCGTGAGCGCAGACACCGGAAATTGAGAGCGAAGGAGCGCACACTGCGAGGAGGATCCGGCCGTCGTTGCGATTGTGCACCCAGCAGCATGCTCGGGGAACATATGAAAGCTTCAAGATGTTGATCATGTCTGCACAGAGTCGTCAGTGACGTCGTGAAGAACACACACGAGCGCAGCGCACCGAAGTTCTCGACGTCAAACACCTTCGCGCTGCCCTTGACCTCGAGACCCTCCGCGGTCCTCCCTCCGCTGTCCGCACCGAGACTCGCGCAACTCTTGCCGTCGTCCGAGACACCGACTGCGAGAATGGGCGAAAGATGGGTGCGATAAAGCTTGACGAACTCGACGCCGACAGGCTGCTTCTTCCAGAACTTGAGGATGCCGTCGATCGAGGCGGTGATGACAAAGTTGGTCCTGCCGGCAGGATGGGTCAGCGCAGTCCAATACAACCAGTGAAGGTGACGCACTTGGTGACGGCAACTTGGGAGAGGGTGTCGCGGTGCATGAGCGACTTGTAGTATCGGTCGGCGGCAGGGAGGTGGTCGAGGTACAGCTTCTCGTGCTTCAGGACTGCAGGTCGGACGGAGGTCAGCCTTCGACTGAGCTCGCAGCGGTGGTCGAACGCACTCTTGCGCTTCTTGGTCGCGACAGCAGCGTCGGTAGCGGGGAGAGGCATGGGTCCAACGTCGTCGTCCGAGTCGTCCGCTCCAGCCACATCCGTTGCGCCGACATCTACCTGTCCATTCTGTGGAGCTGCATGACGAGCTCGAATCAGCTCTGAGCGGTTCTCGCTGGTCTGTCGAGGTGGGGACGGATGAGAGAACGCACGCTCAAAGTCGACGGCATCAATCTGATCGGCCTTGCGCTTGAGCGAGTCCGAGCCTTCAAGCAGTCCAGACTCGGCAGCAGGAGACACTGCCATAGCTTGTGCGAGAGTGAGCGCGAGCGAGTGATGAGGACCAGGTTGACCTTGAACGACACACGACTGCTGCTGGCGACTGCTCGTGCTGGCATGATGACTGCGTGGAAGTACTCGACGACTCTCAAGGGCAGCTCGACAGACTGCCCGACGCTCTCACTCGCTGCCGCCGCGCCAGTCGCCTCATCACTCGACACACTGCTCGCCTCGTCCGTTCTCCGACTCGACGTTCGCGTGCTTGCAGACGGACAGCAGCTCGACGCGGCGAGCCTCGAGGGCAGTGCACTGGCGCGCGAGGTCCGCGGCTGGTTTGACAAGGTGCGCGAGACTTGCTCTCTTGCCTCGCTCTGCGCTGACGAGGCCGTGTAAGCAGCAAAAGGGTTCGCTGGGATTTGACAGTGTTGGCGACTGCGAAGCGAGCGCAACGGGCGTGTCAAGTCCGCAGCTTCGCTTCATTTCGACTCTCCTTCCTCGCCAGCTCGCACTCACCTTCGCGCATCCAAGCAGTCGCTCTCAATGCCTTCTCGCGCTCAGCCCGCTCTTCAATGCTCTCAAGACCTGCAGCTCAGCCGCAAGCGAGCACCGCACCTGCTTCTCAAGGTCTCGACAGGCTCGACCTGACTCTGTCTTTCCGCTCAACAAGCGGCCGCTCAAAACCTAAGAAGCCCAAGCTTTCCGCCACTTCATCCGACTCGCAGTCTCAGTCGCCTGAGCTAGCCTCGCAGACCCAGCTCTCTCAGCCGCCTGAAGTCACGCTCACTTCGCACCTCCTCTCGCCCTCTTCGCTGCACTTTACGCTCGTTCCGCAACTCGCGACTGCACTCGAACGACTCGCCAAGAAGCTTGTCGTCGCGTTTCCGCTGTGCTTCAACCCGAGGTGGCAGGACGTGAGCTTCCATACTCTTCAGCCCGCCTAGCCTCGAGTCTTTCGCTGACCTCGGCTGCGTGCCCGCTACACAGCGCCTCGCCAACGATTTGCCAGCCCACCACTCGATCGCTCAGTCGCTCTGCAACATCCTTGGCCTCGACGGACGCAAGGAGGACCTGCGCAAGCCGCACGACAGCGAGGTCGAGAAGAAGGCTGGCTTGCTCGAGCTGGTACGCCTTGACTCGTCTCCTGAGGCTCAGAGGGCAATAAGCTGATTATGTGCCTTTGCTAGACGCTCAAGTCGCACATCACCGCTCGCTACCCATCCCACCCATCTCTCGCGTCATCTTCCTCCGCCACCACTCCTTCGACGCACGCCACGACCACCTCACTCGAGACTGCTCTCCTCCTCATCGCCAAAAATGCCAGCGCGCCGGATGCGTGGACTTCCGCAAAGGCTGGGAGTGCAGACGGTGAGGATGGCGCGGGGAAGAAGGGGCGTAAGGCGAGCGGGGCTGGTAAGAGGAAGGCGAAGGACGCGGAAGGCAACGATGGAGGAGCGGCGGTGCGGAAGAAGGTGAGCGATCTCGATACGTCATTGAAACGCGTCGAGACTGACCCGGATCATCTCGCAGCGCAAGACCAGCAAGTCCCGTACCGACGACGCAGACGACCTCCCTGCGTTCTCCACCGAACTCCACGATCCGTCGTCGTCTACGCTGGCATCCGGAAGTCTCGACGAGGAAGACGGACAGGGTGAGGGCAGCTTTGAGGCGGACTTGGGCGGCGAGGAGCCGGCTATGGATGAAGGCTGGGATTTGTTCGGGGATGCGTGGGCGTGAAGGCACTACTAGACAGGTCGTACGGGGCGCAGGTCGCCCAGCAATGCACCTTGCCGCTCTTTCTCTTCGTCGAGATTCGCGATTTTTGCTCCTCTCGCTTCGCTTCCTCCCGCTCTTGCTTCCGTATCTCTCGCTCGCCGGTATCGATGCTTGCCGGGGCATCACACGGCGCGGCTGCCCAACTCCGCCGCCCGTTCCGCCCCCACTCACCGGCTTGCTCGGCAGACGCTTCTCGCGGGGAGAACGACGTCTGTTCTGCTCCCGCACCTTCTCCTGCTGCCTCATACGCTATGTCTGAAGCTACTCTCAAGCCACTGCGTGTCGCCATCATCGGCGGCGGGATCGCGGGACTCTGCATGGCGCTTGCGCTCCAGCAGCGGATCGAGGAGGGTGCGGACATTGAGTACACGGTCTACGAGCAGTCGCGCAAGTTTGGAGAGATCGGAGCAGGAGGTGCGTACCTTGCGACAGACCCCGCCTCGCTTAGAGCGCTCACGAGCTGCTCGAACAGTCTCCATTGGCCCGAACAGCCAGCGGGTCATGAGGGCCATGGGTCTCGGCGCGGTTCTTGATGCAGTGGCAGCTCCGCCAGGGAAGGACAAGGACCTCTGGTTCGCGTACAGGGTCGGAGACGCGGGCGAGAACCAGGAGAAGGAGTTTGCGCACGTTCGTCCAGGCCGTTCTCCCTGCCCTCTCCTTCGCCAGGGGCTGACCATGTCGCTGTAGGTTCGTGGAACGGATGCGGCTTGCGGTTCTGTCCATCGGTGCGCCTCAAACTTGCTGGAGGACGGCCTCAGAAACTGACAGAGATCTACTCCTTGAACGAGCAGTGCCGACTTTCTCGACCAGCTGATCAAGAAGCTCCCTCCGAACGTCGCCAAGTTCCAGCATCGTGCCTCTCGGTACACCCAGCACGACTCTGGCGTCACAATCCACTTTGAAGACGAGAACCTCCCTTCCGCCGAAGCCGACGTCGTCGTCTGCTCCGACGGGATCAAGTCCCTCTTGCGCGGCCACATGTACCAGAAGCTAGGCTTGGACATGGAGAGCCAGAAGGCGCGGTACGCGGAGTGGATTGCCTGGCGAGGACTGGTGCCCAGGGAGAAGTACAACGAGATCTTTGGCGAGGGCGCAGTGGAGAACATCATGCATGTCGGCACGGGCAGGCACATCCTCAGTGAGTCTGGCGACACTGGTTCGACGTGGTACGAAGCGCTTCGAGAACACCTGGCTGACCTTCGCAATCTTTCAGCTTTCCCCGTTCGCGGCGGCTCGCTGATCAATATCGTGCGTCGCCTCCTGCATCCACTTCATGCTCCGCTGACACTGTGGCTTGCAGGTCGCTTTCGTCCGCGACGAGGAGCATAAGAAGCTCGGCAACCACACCTCACCCTGGAGCGAACCCCGACCGAAGTCAGAGATGATGGAGGACTTTGCGCGCTTCAACGACCGGTGCAAGGCGTTGCTCGAGGTGCGTCTTCTCCGTCGAAGCTCGAGGCGTCGAGGGAGAAACCCTGACTTGATTGTGAGCGTTCGCAGGCTATCGACAATCCCTCGATCTGGGGAATTTTCGCCATCCCACAGCTCACGCGAGTGACGGACGACCGTGTCGTACTCATTGGTGACTGCGGGCACGCGACGACGCCTCATTGCGGTGCAGGAGCGGGTCAGGGCATCGAGGTGCGCAGCTTCCTCTGCTTCCTTCCCTTCTCTCCTCCGGCTCCTCGTCGCCTCAAACGCGAGTTGACTTGTCGTATCGCCCCAGGACGCCTACTTTCTCGCGCATTTCCTCGCGCACCCGTCAATTCTCCGCGCCTCCTCCCCCTCCGCACGCACCACCGCCCTCAACCGCGCCCTCTCAATCTACGAGTCAGACCGCCACCCACGCGGCGCAAAGGTCCAACAATGGTCTCACAACGCGGGACTGTTGTATGAGTTCCTTGGACCTGAGGGCAACGATTTGGGCAAGATGAAGGAGACATTGGAGGGACGGATGGGGTGGATTTGGGAGTTTGATCATGAGAAGGAATTGTGGAGGATGATGGACAAGATTGGTGCGTCGGCGTAGGCAGGAAAGCAGAGCGTAAATTATCTCTCGGACTCGACCTGAAAGCAGGGACGGGCGAGAGGCGAAGTTTGCGATGCGAGTAGAGTCTACAACAACGAGAAGCGAGCTCAAGAGCCGCCTTGGGAGATCTAGGATGCGGGGGTAGTGTATGAAGGAAGAAGCGATCTTCTCAGGAGAGCTGGCACCCCTCGCCGCCTTTGCTCTTTCCGCCATTCTTGACCGCCAAAGCCTGCATCGTCGCGTACTGCAGCTTCTCCGTCTCCGTCAACAAACTGTCACGCGAAGTGGTACGTCAGGAACTGGTCGGTTCGCGTGAAGGAGTGCAAGCGCAAACGCACCCCTTCTTCGCCCTTGCCTCAAGCGCCTTTCTCCGACTCTCCTGCTCCGCCATCGCCCGCTTATCCGTCTTGCTCGCAATCCCAACAGACGCAAGCGCCTTCTTCCGACCTCCTCCTCCTGCTGCCGGTCCCGAACCCTTCACCGGCTTGGACGAGAGGATCTGGACGTCCGAGTCATCACCGTCTGACGAGTCGAGAACGAGGGGGTTGGCGGCTGAGCCAAGCGGCGCGGATGTCGCGACTGACTTGGCGGCAGAGGGAGGCGCGCGAGGAGTCGACTTGGCTTGTTGAGCGCGGCGCAGGGCAGCGAGTCCCGCGAGGTTCGCCGAAGCGGGTTGGCGAGTCGATGCCGCTGCCTTGCTCATAAGCCCTCCGAAAGCCTTCTTGACGCCCGCGCCGCCCTTATCACCCGTCTTGCCGTTCGCAACGCCCGCCTGCAGCGCTCGACAACCGTGATCCGACGAAAACCGATGTTTCGGGCAATGCTTCAAGCCACACTTGTCGCACGCAATCGGCACAATCATCTTTGTCTTGCATCCGCGGGCGGAGCATTCGTTTGCTGGTTTTGCGGCGGGCTTTGAGGCGAGTGAGGGGTTCAGGATTGGGCAAGCGGTCGAGAGGTGTGCGTCCATGGCGATGTTGGGGTCGGTGCCGGGTGGGAAGGAGACAGGTGCTGAGCAGAGCGGGCAGGAGGGTATCCGGTTCTGCGTGAGGGGAGAAAGCGGTTAAGCAAGGACGGCGCACAGATCCGGGCTAAGTACTCACGTCCGCCTTTGCTGGGTCAAACTTCGGGCACTTGTGACCTGCTGGAGGTCGCCAGTGGTCCGCGCAGAAGTCTTCGTGGCATGATGGGCAGGAGAAGGGGAGGAAGTCGAGTTGCTGAGCGGGCGGGACAATGTGAAGATCAGCTTCAAGCAGGGGGCGGGGCTCGAGAGCTACGAGGAGACGCACGTTGCAGCTTGGCTCCTTGCAGTGGCGCCCGATGTCGAGAAACTCCTCCGACTGCATGTTTGGCGAGCGAGGGTGGCGGTGCCCAGTGAGGGGGGAGGAAGGGGATGGGAAGCAATGGTAGAGCAGGCGGCAGCAGTACGGATTCAAGCGAGCCTCGTGAGCTCGCTCTCGAGCTGACAGAGCGCAAAGAGTGCGTCGCAAGCGAAGGTGACCAAGCCAACTGATGGTTCGCCAGCGATCGCTCACCCAGGCCGCGTTAGCTCACCCGCTCGGGGTCGTTGACGGTCTTGACACGCCTAAGAGCATGTTCAGATGGGTTCAGTACTGATAGCCGACTTGGGGTGCCAGTCTCGTCCCGTTTGTCCTCCTCATCTCGCCGTCAACTGATGAGATTGCCGAAAGCGAGAGAAGCGCCTCCGTGGGGTTCCTGACCAGACAGAAAGTCCAAGTAGCGTCCAGCAGAGTCAGGCAATCCCAGCCGAGCGAGCAGCTGCCGACAGCGCACTGCTACACCTCCCTCCTCCTCCCACCTACTGCCTCCGTCACTTCTCACCCACAACAACTCGCTCAAATGGCTTCAGTCGACTTCAGCTACCTCCAAGACGCCCTTGCCAAGGACGCCGAGCTGCGGGAACGGGTGCGCGAGGCGACGCGGGAGATTGAACAGGCGGAGCGGGCATGCCTGGCGGTCCTGGGGAGGGTGCACTCGCACAGCAGGGAGGACAGTGAGTCGCACATCACCCTCAGTAGGGCTCGAGTAGCGCTGACGGACGAAGTCACCATCCGCAGTCCCCGCCCTCGTCGCCTCCCTCGACCCGACTCTCCCTGCCCTCCGTACCGCACTCGCCAAACTCGCCGACCTGATCCCGCCTCAGCAATTCTACCGCTACAGCGACTCGTTCTCGCGTTGCATCCAACAGGCGAGCTATATCGTGGTGTTCAGGGTGTTTCTCGAGCGGGAGGACGTTGCGACGAAGGAGGAGGTTGCGCAGCAGTTGGGCAGTGAGTCCCGCGCAATCGGCTTATGAGGGACAGTACTAAAAAGCTAAAGCTTCGCTCGCTCTCGCAGTCCAGGAGGCGTGGAAGGACCACTTCTTCCTCTCAACGGAGGAGTACCTGCATTCCCTCATCTCGCTCGTCAATGAACTGGTCCGTCTCGCTGACCTGTACTCTCACGAAGGCTCTGCTGACCTTTCCCCGTCCACAGTCCCGCCTTGCTATCAACCGTGTCACGCTTGGTGACTACGCCGCGCCTGTACAGTACTCTCGGTGCGTCTCGCGCTTCCAGCTCCGCTCCCTCACGAAGCGCTGATTCCACTCTCTACAGTTTCGCAAAAGAGCTCTCGTACGTTATCATGCTGCTGCATTTGCGCCAGAAAAGCTGACCCTCCTTCGCTGATACAGCAACGCTTTCGGCCTTCTCAACCTCAAGAACGACTCGCTGCGGAAACGATTTGATAGCATCAAGTACGACGTCAAGCGTCTTGAGGAGGGTGCGTTCAGGCTTGCTTAGCGGCGCAAACGCTCGCACCCCGTACTTCTTCCGTCGGACCGGCTCTTGCTGATGTCGCGCTCTTCCCTCCTCGCTTCCTTCCGTGCCTCGCCCTCTCATCATCCTAATTGCCATTCCCGCGCCATCCCCGCCACCCTTCGTCGCAACTCGCTTTCGCCTGCCACCACCCCACCAACAGTCGTCTACGACCTCTCTCTCCGCGGCCTCCCCAAACCCGACTCAACCGCACCAGCACCCACAGCCACAGATGTAGCAGATGGCGAGCGAGCTGCAAAGAGGCAGAAGCAAGGAGGAGGAGAGGTGGCGATGGAGACGTGAGCTTGAGGACAGGAGGAGCAGAGGGAGGAAGATGAGGAGGGGTGGCACGCTTGCATTGCACACGGTACATACGCTCTCTAGCACAGTATGTTGGGCGCGGAACAAGATTGGAGAGCGGGGGAAGCGAAGGAGACGAGCACGAGTTGGCGAGTGTCGGGCTGCCTCGCACGATGAGGCGCAGAACAGGACAGGAAGGAAAGCAGCACGCTCATGAGCATCCCTTGAGCCTCCAGCAGATTCAAGCAAGCTTCTTCTCCGCCGTCATGCGGGTCGGCGTGGTCATGTTGGCTGATTGATGAGGAGGAGACGGAGGCTTCGTCGACGCGAGGCGTTCGCTGGACTAGATGAGGAGCGCGCTGGCCCTTGCGTATCACAATGCGCGTGCAGCACTTGCCAGTAAGTCCTGCGACCCGCCGCCGACGAGTGCACAACGATGAGGCCGCGAGGGAGGTCGCGTCGAGCCAGCGGTTGTCGAGGCGGATCGTAGGACGCTAGAGCAGGCGGACGGCGTCATTGAGGACCTGCTGCGCGCCTTGGAGCGGTTCACGAAGCGAGCGAAGTGACGTACATGCGCCGAACCTGCGCGCTTCCCTCTCTCCCTCCTTCCCTTCACTCCCGCTGCTCAACTCCTGCTCGAACGCCCTAAGATGGGTCGTCGACTCCCACTTGAACTCGAAGTCGCTATCGTACAACACGCAATCCCGCCTCTCATCTCCATCCACCGTCTCGAGGAGCGCGTCGACCTGTGCAAGGCCCTCTCCCTCGTCTGCCGTGACTGGACCAACTTGGTTCAGGGCTACCTTCGCGAGCACGTCACCTTCAGCCTCTGCGAGCCGAAGGCATATAGCGGCCCTCCGCAATGGGACGAAAACTGGGCGTTGAGGCGGAAGCAATCGCTTGAGGAAAAGCGCTTCAACACGAGGCGGATCTGCGTTGTCTACGAGGAGATGGTAGAGAGGGACGACGAGGACCACATCGAACATGACGATGACACTGCCATGGTGCCTCCGTGCTACGGGAAGGAGGGTGTCGAGGAGATGTGGGTCGTCTTCAAGGAGTTCTGCCTGCCGTCCTGGGACAACTACCGTGAGTGGTGCACACCTATCTCTCTCACCGCTCTATGGCTGATATCGACTTCTGCAGCAATCAAGAGACTGCATATTCTCAGTCAAGGTCCCGGCATCGCACCTCACTTTACATCGCCCCCTCCCGGACTCGTCTACCTTTCCTTCAGCGACTGCGACTTGTCTTACCTCGACAGGTCCCAGCTCCGACATCTTCAAGCACTCGTACTCGACCAAGTCTGGTTTCCTAATTCCGCTTCGGTCGACGCGCTGGCCGCCCACCCCTCCCTGTCGATCCTTGCCATCAATCACCGCTCAACCCCCAATATCAGCAATATCTTCAACCACCTTCCTCGCACCCTCGAGCACTTCGCCTACCACCCCGCCGGCGTCGACAACGAGCATAATATGGACATGGCGAACTGCCCGACCGTCAACCTCCCGCCCAACCTCCGCTCCTTCACCTTCGTCAGCTCGGCACCCGAGCGGTACCACTACCTGACGGCTGTCGACGTCGGTGAGGCGTGCAGGTGGGTCGGAGCAAAGTTCATACACATTGCAGGGCGGAGCGCGAAGGATTGGGATGCAGAGGAGTGGGCGTACTCAATGATGGCGTAGCGGTGGGTGAGTACACGTCAAATATGGTTATTTGGCAGCAGTGTGAGTGCACCACGCTACAGTTCTCGCTCAGCAGCTCTGCTCTTCCTCCTCGTCAACCTGCTCATTCTCCCTGACCGCCTCAGCTCGTCTCGCTGCTCACTGGCCATTGTCTCAGTCCCGTCGAAACGTCTCAACAATACTCGAAGCGACTCGTCTTGCCCGCAACAAGTCGATGGGAACGCGCTGTCAGCCCCTCTTCTCCTCCTCCCGCACTCTCGCACACGGCTCAAGTCGCTCAGCCTGACAAGGTGTCTCTGCTCCTCTCACTGCTACTTGCAACACCGCTTCGCTACTGCTCGACCGCCGCAACCACCGACCACCGTCGTCGGCGAGCGAGTCGCGTTTCGCGATGTCAACTCTCGCGTATGAGCCTGCGCTGCAGGCCGACACAGGAATTCCGGGCGTACGGGCACAGTCGCTTCACCCATTCGCACGACCAACCCGCTCTTCCCGATGCGACTTCTCCCTCCTCCCGCTCGCTCCCGCCGCCATCTCCGCTTCTCTCGCAGTTCCGACGCACGCGCAACCTCGTGCGCCACGATCACACCGAAGGGCTCGCCTGTTCGAGATGCCCAAAGACGGAAGAGCGGCGTGGGCGGTCGTTGCGGACCCTTGAGCGGCGGCCGACCCCTTGAGCGCTTAGCTCGCGGGCGCGGGGTGCTGTGTTCTTTTCGCAGGCGGGTCTAAATGGACTACAGCGACGGAAGAGGCGCTTGCGGCCGTGGAAACCCGCTGCTCCCACGACGATACGAAATCGCTCGCCTCGCCTCGACGGGGCGCTCCTCGCGCTCCAGGCGTCCGGCCTTCGCATGGAGGCTGACAAAAAGTCCCACAAGAGCGCGCGTCAGACCCCAGAAACGATGCGAGGAACGACTGCTGCTTCGATTGTCCCATTACGCCGTTCTCGCCCTTCGTCTCGTCGTCGCTTTCATTTTCGACTTCCCTGGAGCGAGCTGATCGACGCTCGCCCACGACGCTCGCTGATTTTGTCTGCTTGTCGCTCTCGCGACAGGGCCGCAGGCGCAAGCAAGCGAGGCTCATCCCGCGGGCCGAGGGAAGGCTTACTGTCGTCGCCACCTGCGTACAGCGAGCGTCGCTCGAGGATCGCGATTCGAGGCATCTGCCGGTGCTTGAGACGGGACGGCAAACGCAGGCGACCGTCGTCGCCGTCGCCGTCGAGCTCTTCTCTCGAATGGCAACGCCGGCGGATGCCGGAGGGCGGAGGTGCGGCCGCCGTGTTCTTTTCTCGCCGACGACCGCAGCATCATCGGCTCTCGAAAACAGAACACGCGCGGAGCTGCGCTGAGCGCCAACCTAGCGAGTCTCAGCTAGCGGATCTCTCCTCCGCCTCGCCAGAGCACAGCACACCGACAAATTGCTGCTCCTGCTCCCGCTGATGCTGTTCTCCGGTGGACGCCGCTCGCCCGTCGTCGTGCAGCGATTGTGCCATATGACAAGCTCTGCTGGCCCTCCGTGCGCCCGGCCCTCGCAAGGCAACCATTTTGTCAGGCATCATGCAGGCGCGCGCGCGCCAGAACAAGCGCACAGGCCTGGACGCAGGGTCGGCAGCGGAGAGGGCGATCGTCCAATAAGCAAGGACAAAGCGAATCGACAGAGGCGACGATGCCTGCCACGAGAGGCAGGGAGTTGCTCCGCGTGCGCGCACCGCTCGATTGTTCTTCCGCACAAGCTTGGGAGCGGTTGCTGCCATCGTGCATTGCTGAAGGAGGCAGAGAACGTCGTTGTTGCGGCGGAAGACGGAGTCGTCGTTGGACGGCGACCTCGAGGCCAAAGTCTCGCCTCGTCGCCGGTCGTTCTCTTGGTCGACGGCGGGCCCTTCATTACGCCAGGCACGCCTTACTGATCGTCGCCGCCAGGGCGCCCACGGACTGGAGGCGAGCGAGCAGCGTCTCTCCCTTCATCTCGCGGAAAACCCTTGCGCTCGTGCTCTCTGCGCAAAGGGTGCGACGCTGCGAGGGCGTGCACGCTTGCTAGCCCGTGCTGCACTCGCTGCGACGCGCACTGTGCCCCTCACCCCTCCCCACCGCTAGCTCGGACGACCCCTTCGCACCGCCTATCGAACCCTTCCGTCCAGCGCAGCGGGGTGCTCTTCTGTTCGACACCGTCCTCCAGTGCATGGCAGAGCGGCCGCATCCGACCCAACCGCCGCCGCCGAGCGACGCTGCTGCGTCGTGGGACGCTCCCCCCCTCCCGCAAGGCGTTACGGCGCCGTATTCGCCGGCCCACGCCCACAGCCTGCACGACCAGTCCCATCCGCCGCCGCACCGTCGCATGCTTCGAATGTCCGCCCCGCACGACCCGTACCAGTACGCCCAGCCCGCCGCTGGTCTGCCACAGTACCACGGCTTGCAGATGGATCCGGCCAGGCAGCACTGGCAGGACGACGACCGCCGCAAGTCGATGAAGCTCTCGACGACGACGACGTCGGCGGCGCCCGACCACGCCCCGACGTACGGCTGGGCGCATGCTGGAGACGATCACGTCCTCGCATCGAGCCCTGCGACGTTCGCGTCGTCCTCCTCCGGGGCCCACCCCAGCGGATCCTCGGCGTGGTCGGCAGTCCAGCCAAGCGCAACGCAGTATTATGCGACGCACACGATGCAGAACTCGTACGCCCACGTCGGCGACAACGGGCAAGCGACGACCTCGACTTCCGCGTCCGCCTTCACGCATGCGGTCCTTCCCCAGCAGCAACAGCAACATCAGCATCAGCAGCAGCGACTCGTCCCTCCTCCAAACGCCTACATGCCCTACTATGGCGTGCCGAGCGCGTACATTCCTTACAACTCGCCGGCGTCTCGACCGTACACCTACGACCCGTCCGCCGGAGCGCCCTATACCACCTCGCCTTCGATACCCAGCTCGACTTCCTACTCGCAATACTCGTACCTGCCGACTCCGCATTCGCAGTTCCAACCGACGCCGACCATCCCTCCGCAGGCCGTGCAATCGGCTTCCTCATACCCCAACGCCACCGTCTCGCCCATCTCTCCAACTTTCCCCGTCGATGCCTCGACACCGTACATGCCTCCATCGTCCGACGAAGTCTCGCAAGTCGTCCTCGTCGCCGCCGCCAACCGCGACAAGCTCGGCAAGATCGATTTGACCGGTCACTCGAAGCAGGACGATGCGCCGAACCGCCGAGCGACGACGTGCCAGAGCACTCGTCGCCTCGTCGAGCTCGACCACCACTGCCAGGCTTGCGGGCGGAAGATCGGCAGACTGATGCTCCGCGGCGGACCGGTCGAGCGTTCGAACGGCGACGACCCGTCCAACTACGTCGGCGCCTTCTACTGCTCCGTCTGCGTCGCCGTACCGCCTAGCTCGGGCGGAGGGATCGCAGGGAGGAGCGAACTTGCGCCGCCGCACCCGCACAACATCTACGCGGGCGAGGCGACCTACTACGACACCCTCACGGCGGCTGTCGACCGCTACCAGGGCATCGACCCGAAGCAGCAGGACATCCGACCACCTCCTGCGCCGCCGGGCAAGACGAGGTCGGGCTTTACCGCTCACGTCTCGATGCCTGGGGCGAGCAAGAAGCGGCGGCAGAGCGTTGCGGACGATGCCGAGGGAGTCCTTGCCTGTGCGTCGCGTCTCTCTTGCCACTGCGTCAGGTTTTCGAGCTGATTGTTGTCCTGCACAGGCGACGTCTGCCGTCGCGACATCGGGTCGGGAACGCTCCAGCTCGCTTCGACAGGCGAGCCGGTCGGCGCGACGGTCGAGGTCATCTGCGCGCATTGCGAAGTGCGGTACACGCGGTGCTCGGACTGCGGCGGAGGTGGAGGATCCAAGGGGTGCGTGAAGCTCGCTTCCCAGCCGATCTTCCTGTTCCTCGCTGATCGAGACTCGTCCGCAGCGTTGGGCGGTGGCGATGCAAGGAGATGTTGTGCGTCCGCAGGCGCTTCCTTCGCGAGATGTGCGCTGACCAGTCCTCTTTGACAGCCCGATCGGTCGCAGGACTTGCCAACTGTCGCACAGCCGCATCGGAACCGTCAACGAGATGGACTAGTTCGTTCCGCTTTCTTCCTCCTTTTCCGAGCTCTCGCTCATCCTTTACTTGCGCAGCGATATCTGGACCGTTGCGTCCATCCCCGCCGAGCGCATCACCGAAGTCGTCGACATCTGCCGGGAACTGTACTTCGGCCAACTCCTCGGCACTCTCGCCGTTCCCGACATGCTGGAGAGCGTGGCGCCCATCGCCCGGAGCTTCCATGAGGTTGAGAAGCTGGCGGTGGACTCGTGGACGTGAGTCAGCAACGTCCTCCTTTCCCCCTTCCACCGGTCTGATCCCTTCCCATCGCAGTCACTTCGAGCCGTACATCACCGACGACGTCGAGACGGCGACAGGCGTGCGCCACTACGTCGCTCTGCGCTGGGCGCGTCCCATTTCGCGCAAGAAGCGGAGCAAGAAGAAGGCTGCTGCTGCTGCCGCCGCCGCTGAAGGCGAGGGTACGCGATCGAGTCCCGAGGATGCCAAGTCGGGACTGCCTGGCTCTCCGTCCGAGGACGACCATGATGACGAGCCGCAGCTTATCCGCGAGGGCAAGGTCTTGACTGGCTTCATCCTCGCCGAGCAAGAAGTACGTCCGCTTCTCGCCTTGCCTACTCAACTCCACTCACAGGTTTCTCGTGCAGCTCGAGCGCGGCATCCTTCACGTCGTGACGACCCTTCCGACTGGTGCTGGCGAAGCCTACGACGCTTCGACTCGTCTCTTGCAGACGCTCGTTGCCCGAGTGCACGAAGACACGCACGCGCTCAACCAGCAGCGCGCGTCGATGCAGCTCGCGCCGTACCCGGCAGTCACCGTCGCGTGGACGATGCGTACGTCTCTAACGTCTCATAGCCAAGCTGTGCGACGCTCACCGCTTGTCCATGCTTGCAGACATGACCAAGCGCGACAGCCGCATCATGAGCCGGCTCGAGACCCGTCGAGGCTTCATTCCCCTCGAAGACTGTGCGTGCTGACCGTACTGTCGAAGCGAACGCCGAGTGCTGACAGAGCTCCGTTCCGCAGTCCTCGTCAAGTACCCCGACACGAACAAGGCCAACTTCCCTCCGATCCGCAAGACCTACCTCCCCCCCGAATGTGCGTAGTCCTCGCCCTGCTTGCATCGCCAATGAACTGACGGCCGCTCCTCCAGTCTTGCGCGGGTGGTCGGTCTATGCCAAGCGGATCACGTCCGACGACCTTCCGCCCGGCTACCAAAGCCCGTTCGCTTCGTCCGCTTCCTCCACCGCTCCCTCGACAGCAGGCTCGGCATCCTCATCGCACCCGAATCGCATTCCGACAACGAACCGTCGCTAGATGGTCGCCTTCTTCGCCATTTCCTGCGTTCTCTCGCCGATGAACACTCTGGCCCCCGACCGTTTGAACTGTTCCTACTTTCGCCTGCAGCGTACATTCTGCTTGTCACAACTAGTCCTCTCTCCCATCTCCCCTCGTTCTGCGCATCTCGCACGACGGACTCCCTCGCAGCAGTTTTACCTCGTTGACCCAAGTTTTCCGTGCGCCCATCCAGCAGCACTAATCTCATCGTTTCTCTCTCTTTCTGGTACGATCCACAACTAATGTAGCAGCAGTCGTTCCCCCCATCGTCGTCGATGAGCCTGCTCCCGAGCGCCTCCTCGCTCTCTCCCTTCTCCCGCTCACTCGCTCCTCCCGCATCGTCTCGCCGGACGCTTTTGCTACCCTTCAAGCATCAATGGAGTCGACGCGACCTGCGCATCGCCCGCGAGTCGCCTACCGCGAGGACGCCTCGGAGGCGCCACTCCCGACCATCCTCCAACCCGCGGATCCCTCCGGCCTACGAACGCCGTCTCGATGGACCACAGGGATGTGGCTGAGCAGCTGGAAGCGGGCGGAGGTCAAGGCGAAGCGGCGGGAAGCGCAGGTGGCAACGAGATGAGTCCGCGCCAAGATGGGCAGGGTGCGTCGCGCATTTCGTCTCGCTGTGAGTCGCTACTCGGGGAGGCTTGAGTACGTATACCGATACTCTTCCGCCTGCGCGCAGCCCCTCCGGTACCGATCGATGGACACCGCCTCTCCTTCACGAGCGCCCTCAAAGACTGGTTCACCCGCTCGCCTCTCTCGCCGAGAACGCCTCGCCAGTCGCCGAGGACGTCGCCTCGCACTCCCCACTCCGGCTCGTCCACCACCCCGCGCGCGCGATGGTCGACTTCGTCGCACTCGCACGGGAACCCCTACTTCCCGCCGACCTCCTCGCACGTCGCACACCCTCCCAACGTCGCTTCCACCTCTCGCCCCCACCCCAAGCGACCGAGTCGACCTCGCTCGACGTCGGCACCGACAGGCGACGTCCCAACGTTGCAGAAGAAGGGCTTCTTGGCCCGCATGCGTCTCAAGCTCGGCCATCCTGGCGAATCGGCTGTTACGCCCGCCAACCTCAACCCAGCTGTCGTCTCGCCAGGCTTTGAGCAGCCACCTGCATCCATTCCAGCGCCGAAGGTCCCGCCCTTTCGCCGCGCCGCGTCGGGCCCGGCGAGGCTTTTGGACCGCAATCACAGAGAGCGGCAACCAAGGGTACATCTCCCAGCCACCTACCGACGGGAGAAGCAGCCGCTGACGTACATTGCTCACAGAACGCCGGCATCGCCGTCCACGTTCAGCAAGAGGAGGAGTCCGACCGTGCCTCGACACCGTCTGACGTTTCGACGCTTCCTATCTGCTGCAACGACGCTCATAACTACGCACAAACCACTGACACTTTTGGCGACGTCTTTGCGGATCCGCCATCGACCAACGACGAATTCGACCGAAACTCTTTCCCAGTGTCCGACGATGGTCCAGGTCTCGTCTCATCTTTCCCAGGCACTCAAGAGTCGCCAACCGCCACCAGGGACATCACTCGTTCGGTCACGAGGTCGACATCATCCTCGCCAACGCCTCGAGCCACCGCCAGCGGGAGCAGCTCAATCGAGTGCTTTCACCCTTTCCTCGGCGCGCCGATCTACGACGGGCCTCTGAGAGTGCAGACTCGTCCTTCGTCAATGCGGCAGCAAGCCTACGGTGCAAGCTGGACTGGCCTCTCCCTCGGTCTCGCGCCGTCCGAGCAAACTGCCGGAGTCCTCTCGGCAGCGTCGACATCGTCGAGGAACAACCGCGCCTACTCCGACGTCTGGCCTCCGCCGGGACTAGTCTCTCGCTTCAGCGACTGGACGCCGACCGAGCCGGAGCGCAGGTCGTCCTACCACAGCTCCGTCTTCGTCTCGCTCATTGCCCGCCACAACCTCGGCCTTTCGTCGATCAGCCTGCACGAGGAGAAACTGGCCGCCCGACGTCTCGCCCACACCTTCCGACAGCTTGGGCGTCGTGCGCCACCCTGGCGCCTCGAATCGCGACTTCCGCCCGCTCCTCACGCAGTCGTCTCGCCAGCGCATCCTCTCCCTCCGCAAGAAGCGATCCGCCGCCGCTCTGGTCGACTGGCCATCTCTCGAGGTCGCGGCGCCGCCGGCAACACAGCCGAGGTATTCAAGCATCACGTCGAGGTCGAGGCTTCCGTTGTGGCCGTACAGCCTTTCCTCCAGATCCCCCTCACGCAAGACGGCCGAGCCGAGCATCGTCTGCGCTCGAGAAGACGAGGCTTGGCTGAGGGAGAGCAGGCCGGCGTCGAAGAGGTTCAAGATGCGGATGGTCAGCGTCGGTGTGCAGACGGAGTGAAGCGGTAGGTGTCGAGGTCTTGCCGGGGGAGGCGGAGCCGCTTGGATCTTGACCCTGCGTACGCACGCGTATAGTGCATTTCCTCTCGTCCCTCCTGCAATCCCAGGTCGCTTGTACTCTTCGTTCGCAGACTTCTGTCGAGGTTGAGAAGGTCGCATCGAGGACGGGAGAACGGTTCATCGCAATCATGTCAAGTCTGAGCGTCAACTCGTTCAGCGAGGAGCGGGTGCATCGGTGCCTACGCGTCCACTGAGTAGGCAAATTGTACCGAGCGCGACACGCTGTTGGCCGTCTCCCTTCGAGAGGTTGAGCTGGTTTGCGAGTCTTCGGGATGTTCCCCCGGCTGCTTGAGTTGAGCGTTGGCTACTTGGTCGAGTCACGGAGAAGCCGGACCTCTTCTCACAGGGAATCGACCGCGGCGAGACGGACTTGACGAAAGGAAGTCGAGAGAGAGCAGGTCGAGACTCTCCGCTTGCGCTTGCGCTCGCGACTCTCTGGAGCCGTCATTCGTTGTGTTCAACCGTTCTGACTGCAAGGGTGTCGAAACAAGCAGCGGTAGAGCGGGAGCGGAAAAGTCGCGAGGTGCGTAATCGCGTAAGCTGTGAGTAAACCAGGTCTGCGAGATCGGAGGGAGCGAGACGATCAGCGAGAGGGTGCGAGGATTCGGAGACAGAGAAGACGGACTTAGGCGCCGATGGAGTACGCCCATTCCTCCGGATCCCAATCGAAGATCTCCTGTCCCACCACATCCTCCTGGCGCAGAAACCTGGTCCCGTTCTGCTGACACACGCTGTTCAGGAGGTCGTCGTCTGCCTTCGAAGTTGTGCCGCGCGCTCCGCAGAAGGTGAAGGTTTGTAAGCCGCAAGGCAGGACGAGGGCGGAGTCGTCGGCTGGGCCGTTGGAGACACATCCCAAGCGGCTCAAGACGAGTGCAAAGTGCTTTAGGGAAGCGAAGTCGGCAAGATGGCGGAAATCGAGGGCGGGGAAGAAGACTTTGCAACAGAGCGCGCGAAGCGGCAAACTCTTGAGTTGGCTAACCCACCGGGGCAGGCAGGGCGTGTAGTAATCCACTTGGTCGAAGATGAGCGTCTCCAGCCGTGCGAAGTGGTTGAAGTCCCAGTTCTTAGAGAGTAAGACGCTGTTGAGGCCGAGATACCGCAGTTGGGCGGGCAATAGGTAATGAGAGAGTTGTCGGATCTCGCTGCCGAAGTCGCTGAGGTCAAGGATGAACAGCCGCTGTAAACCTGTGCGAACGGCATAAGCTGCAGCATAAAGCGTAAAGGTTAACGAGCCTCACCGAGCGAGCCAATGTCCCGCACCTCACCGTCCCCGGACGAGATCCGCAGGCCGAGCTCGTAGTCGGCATATGACGGGCTTTCGCTCAGTTGACACTCGTCAAACGGCTCGAACGCGATGACGAGAGTTTCGAAAGGGAGAGCTCCCGCGCACTTTGCCTCGAGTCGCTCCGTCGCCTTGGTTTTGTCGTGACCAAAAGGATCGCGCTCAATGAGCACGTATCTGTGAAGCTCGCGCTGCGCCGTGGTCGTCTAGGACCGGTGCACGAGCGAGAAGGCCTTGCCGAGTCGGACGCGCTCGTCGCGGTTGCGGCGGATGGGCGGCGGCAAGGCGAGCTCGAGGATGAGGAGCTGGAGTTCGAGCGGGAGTACCGGAGCCATGTCAACGTGCTTAGCAGGGCACTGCGCGTGTATGAGCGGGCAGCGAGTGAGCGGCTCGAGGGAGAGAGGCGCAGACGGGGTTTGAGGGTCCTCCATGCCGCGCAACTCGCTTGACTGACTGTAGCGGTGATATGAAGCTCTCTAGACTGTCTGGCAGTCAGATGCGCCGCCCACGAAACCGTCCGCCTCGCTGTGGCCGCCTCCTCAATCCCATCAGCAGCTGAGCGCTTTCGATGCTCGAGGGGCACGGTCAAGCGCTCGCGAGAGGTGGAGCAGCCCCGTGGGGCAGTCTTCTGGACCTGCATTACGTGCTGAGGCTCTCTCTGGCTCTGCACCTGCGCGCCTTCTTCCTCGCGGTCCTCCTGGATCCGCATTTCGCAATGCTTACTCAATCCACCAACAATCCACCGCAAAAGGCAGCAGCGGACTGAAATGGCCGCTGATGAGGCGGCGGGGTGATTAGCTGAGACGGAGAGCTGCGTGCCGGGCCGTCGGCGCTATTCTTCCGCGTTCTCCTCCTCGGTCATCCCACTTGTCCTCTCCCTCTCTCCATCTCTGCACTCAGCAGCACTCGCACAGGTGCGCCACGTCTCCTTGGATCTGCGGACCGTGGGATCGGACCTGACGATGCTTCCGATCTTGCGCAACAGTTTTCACTCGTCCTCCTCTACATCTCCTCCGCCCAACTTCGCGCCATGGCCCAGTTCACCCTCTACTCCCACGTCGGCGGCCCTAACGGCTGGACCGTCGCCTTCCTCCTCAAGGCGCTCGGCCTCTCCTACGAGACCAAGTTCCTCGACTTTGCCAAGGGCGAGCACAAGCAGGAGCCGTACACCAAGATCAACCCGAACGGACGCATTCCGGCGCTGGTAGACCACCAGAATGGAGACTTCACTGTCTGGGAGTCGAAGGCTTGCTTGCTCTACCTCGTCTCGAAGTGTGCGTTTCCCTCCTCCGCGCGCGGATGTCCGCTGCGCGAACCCTCGGGAATGACTCGCCGCACTTGCGCGCTTGAGCTGACATACTCTGCTTCTTTCTCGTGCGCAGACGACTCGGAGAACAAGTTTGGCGTCGCCAACACGCCCGAAGAGCAGGCTACCCTTGCGCAGTGGCTCTTTTTCCAGGTGCGTTGCGCGCTTCTCTCCACCGTCCTAAGCCACGGATACTCTCGACCGCTTAGTCACAGACGCTGATGATTGGTCCCGCAGGCGAGTGGCCAAGGTCCCTATTTCGGCCAAGCCGCACACTTCAAGATGTTCGCGCCGGAGAAGATCCCGTACGGCATCAAGCGTTACGCGGACGAGGTCAAGCGCGTGATGGGCGTCCTCGAGTCGGTCCTTGCCGACGGACGCGAGTGGCTCAGCGCCGGCAAGTGCACCATTGCCGACCTCTCGTTCATCACCTGGTTCGTCCAGCCTCTTTCCTCGTTCCTCCCTGCTTTTGCTGACGCTCTTTCCGCTCGCAGGAACAACTTCGCCATCCACGCTCTCCTCCCCGAAGGCGTCGACGCGCAGAAGGAGTTCCCTCACGTCGTCCAGTGGCACAACCGCCTCATCGCCCTTCCTTACGTCGCCGAGGCACTCAAGGAGCGCGAGGGACTCATGGCCGGTCACTAGAGGGTCGGAGGACAGTAGGAATGCCTGTGTGAATACCAAAAGTGTTTATACCAGATCGCCATCCTTTCCCAAGTTTCTCCTCTCCTCGCTCCTTCGGGCTCTCCGGCTGCTCTCCCTGCTCACTATGAGTGAATAGTACGTCGCTACCGTCTATCGCAAGCTTGCTACGCGAGGTTGACTTGCCGACTTGGCTGCCGCCGTCGTTCCGGCCGGCAACGGCTCCGCTCCTCTTCATCACCTTGTCGCGCGATGCGACTCTGCTGCGACGATGGCAAGCTCAGACGACACAACGACTCCTGCTAGACCGGTTGCACGGCCCGCAACTTCCGCCGTCTCGTTTCGTCCGCTCGCTCGAACTCAGTCCGCCTCGTCGACTCTCGCCTGGAACAACGCGCACCCACCCGCGTCTGGCGCCCATGACTTGCCCGAATCTGCTGCGATGGCGGGGCTGGAGCGAACGACGTCGCAGACGAGCGTCAGGAGCGTGCGGAGCCGGTCGACTTATACCGGCGGGGCGGCGGGGATGCTTGGGAGGGGAAGAAGCCGGTCGATGCGGGCGCCTGTTGTTGTTGGCGGGAAGGAGGGGCGCATCGAAGAGGACAGCGAGGCGCAGGTCGTCGACGAGGAAGTGGCTGTTGGAGAGCACGACGAAGCGGTCGAGGAGACGGAGGAACATGCGAACAGGATGTACGCCCGCTTCTCGCCACGACGGAAGCGTGCGATAGTCGGCATTGTAGCATACGCGGCACTGCTTGCCCGTGAGTGTGCTCTCGCATCCTGTGCGCCGACCCGCTCTGAGCTGACCATCCGATCCACAGCCTTTTCCTCCTCTTCCTTTCTTCCATCCATTCCTCAAATCACCGAAGACTTGCATACGTCCACCACCGTCATCAACGTCACTGTCGCCATATTCATCCTCTGCATCGGCATCTTCCCGCTCGTCTGGGCGCCTTACAGCGGAATCTGTTCGTCCACCTCCCTCGCTACCTGTCGATTGAGCTTACGACCTCTCCCTACAGACGGCCGCAAACCTATCTATGTCATTTCGCTTCCCATCTTCGCCCTCGGCTGCCTCGGTACAGCCTTGTCGAAGTCTCTGTCCGCCCTCATCGTGACCCGAATCATCCAGGCTCTTGGCTCTTCACCCGTCCTCTCCGTTGGGGCGGGCACAATTGGCGACTTGTATCCCAAACACGAACGCGGGACCGCAATGGGCCTTTTCTACGTCCGTTCGCTTCCACCTCCTCCACACGTACCTTCGACGACTGACTCTTTCCTCGTCTACAGCTTGGCATCCTTGTCGGCCCAGCAACCGCGCCCGCCATCGCCGGTATCCTAACCGAGTACGTCAAGCCCTACGGGTTCGGCTGGCGAGCCATGCAGTACTTCTTGATGTCGCTCGGCTTTTCAGCCTTTGCACTCGTCCTGCTTTGCTTCCCCGAGACGGCGCATGCGAAGGGGATTGATGTCGTTAGGCAGGAACGGTTACAAGAGAGAGCGGAGAAGGAGGGTGTGGAGTTCGAGGTGTTGGAGAAGGAGGAGGAGCGGCGACGGGCGGAGATGGGTTGGGTGAGGAGGCAGTGGGACGGGGTCGCGTGGGTCTGGCTCAACCCGCTGGCGCCGCTGAGGTTGTTGCTGCACCCGAATATTGCGGCAATGGTGCGTTACCTCCTTCCCGCTGATTTCGGCGACGTTGTGCTGACTTTCGCCTCCTTCGCAGAGTCTTAATTCGAGCTTTACTTTGTTCGTTCTGTTTCCTGACCACTCCTCCTTGTGCTGACCAGGCTGTGGTCTCGCGCAGAATGTCGACCTACAGTGAATTCTTCCGAGCGGCTTCAGCTTCTCGTGCAACCTCGTACTGACGACCCATCCTCGCAGCCATCCTCGTCCCTCTCTCCCAGACCCTCGCTCCCCGCTACAACATCACCAATGCCGCCATCCTCGGCTGCTTCTACCTCGCGCAAGGCGTCGGCAACGCCACCGCCTCGCGCTACACCGGCCGCTACGCAGACTGGACGCTTAAGCGCTGGCTGAAGCGACGAGGGGGCGTGTACGTGCCGGAGGATAGGCTGTACGCGGCGTTGATCGGTGGCGGAGTCATTCTGCCTTTCTCGGTGTTGGCGCTTGGGTGGGTGCTGGATAAGGGGACGGGGAAGGTTGGCCTCGCGTTTGCCGTGATTTTGCTCTTCATCGACGGCATTGGCTTGATGGCGAGTCGACACTTTCGCTTCCTGGGCTTCGCACAGCTGATGTCCACGTAACAGTGCGTCTTGACGCCGAGCAATACATACTGCGTCGATGTGATGCCGCTCCGCTCGAGCGAGGTCATCGCCGTCAACAAGTGCGTTTCTATTCGCCTCGATACGTCTCTCAATGCGCTGACAGCATTTCGCTTGCAGCGCCTGTCGGTATATCGTCGCTGCCGCCGCTTCCGCCTTTGTCCTTCCGATGATCGCGCGTCGCTCCCCCCTTCCGCTTTCTCGACCCTGACACTCACCTCTTCCACCCCGTAGAACGCCATCGGCGTTGGTTGGACCAACACTTTCGCCGCCTTCGTCGTCTGGCTCGGCTGCGGCATGGTCCTCCTCACGATCCGCTTCGGGCCTCAGATGCGCGCGATAGGGACGAGGTTGGAGGGAACCGTCTCGGCTGGAACGGATCTCGAGGGATCGCAGGAGAAGGAGGGGGTGGGAGCGCTGGGGAGCGCGGAGAGCGGGGCTTCGACGGTTGTGCAGCAGGAAGCGACGGCGAGGGAGGACGAGCAGCCGAGGGAGAAGCCGCCAGAGGCGAGCGGCAGAGCATAGACTCGCAATGGCTATTTATCCGCAATTGAGAGTCGACCGAGTGAGGCGCTGAGGAAAGCTACTCGTTTTCTGGTAATGGCACATATTTACGCTCCTTCCAGGGAGTTTCTCAAGTGTCTGTTCGCGCCTTCCCAGCCCTGCCAGGCAGCGCAAAGTGCTCAACCTCGCTCCACATGCTCGACTCGCCGTTCGACGACGCCGCCAACAAGTCTCTCCGCCCGCTGATGACCTGCGTCGTGAACTGGCTGTTCTTGGCGCACCCGCGAGAGGGGGAGTCGGCGACTGGTAGGCCGGCGTAGAAGACTGCGCGCGCGGCGAGAAAACGAGGTTAGGAAGGTTCAGCAGCAGGATGGAGGAGGCAGAACGCACGCTGCGCGTTCATGAGGACGATCTTGTCGACGATACCGACGATCGCTCCGTCAATGTCCTCCAGCCCGCCCTTGCCGACGAGTTCCTCAAGACCCTCAGGCAACTCGACTCTCCGCTGCTCGTCCATGAACGTCGTGATCCGCAAACCCTGGCCGTCCGCTCCTCCTTCAACCAGCTCGTCCCCCTCGAGCGCAGCCAAGAACTGCCTCATCGCCGCATGATGCGCCGGCGTCAAGGTCTTGGTCATCGTCCCACTGTGCGCCGTCGCGCCCTTCTCCTTCCCCGGCGTCCTGAGAACCTCGATCGGGTAGTCCGTCGCGAGATAGACCGTCTTGATCTCGGGATGCTGCTGCTTGACAGCTCGGATCGAGCGGACGAGCGTCTCGCCGCAGGGTAAGAGGCGGTCGACCTCGAGCGTTTCGGTGCGCCAGTGGATTGCGAGGAAGGGAGAGAGGGAGGAGGCGATCGAGTGGCCGAGGGAGGTCCAGTGCGGCGAGTAGGGGAAGTACGCGTAGGGCAGCGGCTCGGGGCAGCGGAAGGGCGAGAGGGCGGTGATGGCCGAAGGCGTCAGGAAGGGGTACCGCAGGTTGTACTGGATGACGAGAACGGCGGGTGACTTGCGCTCCATCGTAGCCGCCCCTTGTCCCTCCGGCAGCCGCTCTTGCGCCAGCAGGTCCCGCACAACCTCCTCGCCGAACTGCTCCCGCGCCTGAACCGACTTCCAGTCGTTCATGGGCGAGAAGAACGCCTTGCCCTTGAACGCCGAAAAGTCGAGGTTGCGCTCTGCAAGGCACATCTTCTGCGGCGAGATAGCGACATTCTCAACCGGTCCCCTCTCGCCTCGGACGAAACTGACGACTTGAGCAGGCGGAGGCGCTCGTTGGCGGTCGGTCCAGGCGTAGAAGTCGTCTGCGGTGATGTAAGGAATGTTGAAGCGCGCGAAAGTGTCCGAGGCGTAGTAGAGGGAGAAGGGGTTCGAGTAGCAGGTGCCGAAGCGGCTGCGCTTGACGGAGGGGAGGACGAGCGTGCGGTTGAGCGAGAGGGCGAGGAGGCCGAGCTGGTAGAGGTGCGCCTGCGCTTTCGTTTCCTGTCGCACGAGCTGTCAGTGCACGAGCTTAGGAAAGGTGAAGAAGCGGGCGCACCTGTTCGCCCATCCACCCGACCAAGAGGAACTTCCTCGCCGTGTCTGGGTCGGTTGCCGACGTGACCTCCAGATTATGCCTCGGCGGCTCGTCGCTTGTCGGCATTCGCGCGTCTTCGTCCTGAAGAATAGCGGGAGGAGGAGGCGGATGGTGAACCTTTCCGACGACGATTTTGCGAAAACGGTCTGGCGGAGGTGGGTTTCCTGCGCCGGGCAGAGGAGGAGGGGGGAGGTTTGGCGGTGCAGGGTAAAAGCTGACGGGGTCGATGTCGCTGGCGGAGGACGAGAGAGGCGCAGCGACGAATTCGTTTGCGCGACCGTACGTCTCGCGCTCGTCGCCTCCGCTCGCATCCCACCACGCACTCTCCGTTCCTCCTCTCCGTCCTCGTTCAAAGAGCAAGACAGTCGCAACGAGCGCGCACGCAACGAGCGCCGTCTTAGCCCTCGACCACCCTCTCCCTCCGCTCGCCCTGCCCTTCGCGCCCTTGTCCCTCATCCAAACAGGCTGCACCTGGGCTCCCTGCGCCTCTCCCGCGTCCTCCTCCTCAGGCGGAGGCGTCAGCTTCGCCCTGCCGTACCTCCCCGCACCCGCTTTCTCCGGCGACTCTGGCGAGATGCGGAACGGCATGCTCGAGGGCGCGCCGTGCGGTGGTGTCGGGGGAGAGAGGAGGACGATCTTGCTCGAGGTGCGCTTGTGCAGGTGAGAGTGCGCGTGCTGCGTTGGTCGGCGACGCGGTGGAGTCGTTGCTGTGCGAGTGAGCGAGCGAGCGAAGAGGAGGAAGGGGGTCAGTCTGGCGGGTTAGCCGGTGAGCTGCGAAGAGAGGACGCACGAGCCCCGTCCATCGCTGCACAGGAGCTTCTCTCGCGAAAGACGAGAGCTTCAAGTGCAAGCTGCGAAGGACACGCGCGACGAGGACGCGACTCTCGCAAAACACGATCGAGCGCAACGACGACCTTTGCAAGATTACAACTCGCCAACCCGCTCTTTCTACAGCGTCTACACCTTCCTGAACACCTGCCTCGTCACCAGCACCCTCGCACCGGCCACCAGCAACGTCGCGACGACGCTCACTCCGCCCGCATAGAAGATCGCAGGCTTGTACGCTTCCGGTCCTTTGTCGGGCCCGCCGTAGGCTTGGAGGAGGAAGCCTGCGATGGGCGCGCCGAGGAAGTAGCCGAATGAGTAGGAGGTGATGACTGTGCGCGACGGGGCGAGCGGTGAAGAGGGTTGGCTGAAGCGCGGAGGAGAGGGAGAGGAACCGGACGCACTGAAGGAGAAGATGGCGGGCAGCTTGCGCGAACCGAAGACGCTGCTGAGCGTGCCGGGAATAAGCGAGAACATGCCGCCGCTGCGACCCACCGGAAGACGCCGTCAGCGCGAGGAGCGAGCGAAATCGACGAGGAGGTGCAAGACGCACGCGCAGAACCCGTTAATGACAGCAAACGCGATCCTGTTCACACTCTCATCCAATCAGCTTCCTCTCTGCGAGCGAAAGGAAAGCAGGGCGAACGCACAGCGGTCCCAAATGCTCCGCAAACGGCCAGACCAGCAACGTGCTGACAGCGACCATCGCCAGGCACACGACGAGGCTGTTGAGTGATCCTAAGAGTCTGTCTGCGCCGAGTCCGAAGCAGATGCGGCCGAACGCGGAGGAGAGGTTGAAGCCTGCGCGCAAGCTCGACATTAGTTCGAGGCTTGAGCGGTGGGGGAGGAGGGCGCACCGGCGAGGATATACGAGGCTGTTGTGGCGCTCAAGCCGATCGAGGTACCGTACAGGGGAAGGAAGAAAGGCGGGACGAAGAGCGGGAAGACGGCGATTGCGGTGCCGGCGAGGATGAGGCAGAAGCGTGGGTCTCGGAACATGGTCCTGCGCGCACATAACGTCAGAAGGCACCAACGGAAGGTAGAAGTGACGCACCAGTCGAAGTACTTCTCCTTCCTCTCCCCCTCTGCCTCTCCTCTCCGCTTGCCCAACCTCAAAGGCCTCCTCTCCGCTCTACCTCTCAAGACCAAGCTCGCAGGCACGTTTATGACCGTCATGATCAGCGCCACGGTTCGGAATGTCCAGGGAAGACTGTTGAGGCGCTTGAGGAGTTGGGCTGTGGCGAGCGAGAAGGCTGCGCCGCCTATTCCTGCGCCAGAGTAGACAAAGCCCGTACTGCGTTTCACTCGTGAGCGAATTCCCTGCGGAGGTAGAGGGGAAAGGGACACCGAACGCACGCGACGTTTCGGCTCTTGAGGAAGTAAGCACTCGGCAGCGTCGCTCCGCAACAAAACAACAACGCCTGGCCGATCCCGTACATGAATCCCTCTGTCACTACTAGTCCTGCGACGCTGTGCGTGCAGAAACTGGCGAGGACTGGGCCGGAACCGACGAGCGAGGTGCCGATTAGGGCCATGCGGCGCTGTTTCTCTGCGTCAGAAGAGGGAGGGAAGAGCGAGGGAAGCGGGGACGCACGGGACCGTATGCACTCACGAGGCGTGCGCTAGGGATCGCGAAGATCGCTTGCATGGCTGCGAGGGTCGCACCTATGAATGCCAGAGTCGAGGAAGGTGCGAGACCGGCTCGGACGAGCGCGCCTTGGAAGACGCCCCCTGCCCAACGAGCTTGTAAGTCCAGTGAAGAACTAGGAGGGAAGGGAGAAAGGGCACGGACACGAATAGACGCCCCCGAGCGAGGTGAAGAAGAGGAGGAAGCAGGCGACGAGCTGTTTCCATGCCCGCCATTCCGGGTACGAGTCGAAGGCTGTTTCGCGGTGGTGGTCAGTGTGCCCGTTCACGAGCTGGAGAGGGCGTTGCGCACCCTCCTTGCCCTCTGGCGGCTGTTCGTCGTGCCCCACATCATCCTCGAGAGCGGTTGTGGAGCGGGTGGAAGGAGCGCGCGAGGGTGCAGTCGAAGCGTGGTCTAGCGTGGACAGCTCGATGCTTGTCCTGGACATCTGAGCGAGCACTCGTGAGCAGTGAGAGACGAGCAAGATGTGCGAGAGTCAAGGTGAGCGAGACGGGTGTCCGGCCGCGCGGTCGAGGAGCGGAGTGTGCTCAGTCAGCGAGTCTGGCTGTGAGCGTCGTCGTCTGTGTGAGCATGCCATCGTGTCTGAAGGTGTGCGAGTGCGAGTTGGCGAGGAGGAAGAGCAGCTCCTGCGCTCCTCGCTCGCTCGTCTGGATGAAAATGTTGGCTGCTCCTCGCTCGCCTCCCTCTCTCCTCCCTCCTCCGCTTCATTGCGGGTAGAAAGACGTCTAGTAGAGCACTCTGCAACCTGATTTCCGCCGGCACTCCGCCTGAGCCGCTCCTCGTCTCCCTCGCATCCCTCACATCCCGCTCACGTTCCATGGTCCGGGATGAGCCCCGCGTTCTGAGCAGGAAGGCGATCGCGGGACTGGCCGGGCATTCTCTGCCACTTTGTCCGCCCGCCCGAAAAAAGGCTCCGCTGCGGGCGGCTCGGGCGCGGTTGCGTCGGGTTGACTTCGACGACGAGCGCGCTCCTCTGTTGCCTCTTTGCTGCATTGCTGGTCTACACACTCGCACACGATGGCTAGTCTCGCTCAGCTCGGATCCAAGCATGTCGCAAAGGGGTGCGTCGACTCGCTCGCCTTGCCCGCGCCACGCCCTCGAAGAACTTGCCTCGCTAAACGACGGCACGGGCCATGAGCGCGCTTGAGGGCTGGGAGGACCTGCAAGGGGCTTTGAGGGTATCAGGACTGACGACTCGGGGGTGCTGCGTAGCGTCGGCCGCTTGACAGAGATGGTCATGACCGAGGGCAAGGGGACCTACATCAAGACGGAGTGCGGCAGGACCATCCTCGACTTTACCTGCGGCAGTGCGTTCACCCAAGGTTCCCACAACACAGGAATATAGCTGACCAGATTGTGCGCGACAGTCGGCGTGACCAACCTCGGCCACTGCCACCCCAAGGTTACCAAGGCGGCGCAGGAGCAGGTCGGCACGCTCGTCCACGGACAGGTGCATTGGCTCGCTCACCATGCGCAAATAGTTTGCTGATTATCCGCGCACAGGTCAACCTCGGCTACAACAAGCCTTACCTCCAGCTCATCGAGAAGCTCCTCCCCGTCATGCCTCACAAGTCGCTCGACTCGTCCGTCCCCATCCTCCCCTTTTCCCTCTCGCCTCGACTCACACTTCCCACTCGCAGCTTCTTCCTCTGGAACTCGGGCGCCGAGGCAGTTGAGGCGTCGATCAAGCTCGCGCGCCATGCGACCGGCAAGCAGAACATCATTGTCGTTCAGGGCTCGTACCACGGCCGGACGTTCGGCACGATGGCTCTTACCAAGAGCAAGACGATCTACGGAGCTGGATACGCGCCTTTGATGGTGCGTTGGCGAGGCTCGATCGATTCTTCCGCTTTCGCCTCTTTGAAGGAAAGCAGCTGATTCTTCTTGCGGCACCTCGCACAGCCCGGCGTCTTCACCACTCCCTACCCCTACTGGCACCAGCTCGGTCTCCCCCACACGACCTCGAACGACGACCTCGTCGAGAACGCCCTCTACCGCGTGCGTCTCCCCCTCACTCCCCTGGCCCTCATCTCCTCAAACCTCCTAACTCTTCTCCCACGCAGCTCGAGCTCCTCCTGAAGCAAGAAACCGCCCCTCGCGACACCGCCGCGATCCTGATCGAGCCGGTCCTCGGAGAGGGAGGATACATCCCCGCTCCCAAGGGCTACCTCGAGGGCCTCCGTCGCATCTGTGACGAGAACGGCTTGTTGCTCATCATTGATGAGGTCCAGACTGGGTTCGGAAGGACGGGCAAGTACTTGTGCGTCGAGAGCGTTTCCTCTTCCTCGCGTCCTGCGCTTCTGCGGCCTTCTTCCGCTTGGTCTCGGCGCTCTGTACATTGACTGACGCGTCGCCGCCACAGCGCCATCGAGCACTACCCGAACGTGATCCCCGACATCATGGTCATGGCGAAGGGAATCGCCAACGGCTTCCCTCTCTCGGGTATCGTCTCGCGCAAGGAATTGATGGACAAGCAGCCCGCCGGCTCGCAAGGCGGCACGTACGGTGGCAACGCTGTCTCGTGCGCAGCGGGTGTTGCGGTCCAGGAGGCGTTCAAGGAGGAGGGGATCCTCGAGAACGTCCAGGCAAGGTCGGAGGAGTTGTTCGGCATGCTCAAGGAGCTTCAGAAGGACGAGAAGATTGGTGACTGTATCGCTGAAGTCCGCGGACTCGGTCTCATGGTGCGTCGTTCGTCTTTCTCCCGTCGAAGCCGGACTTTGAGCTGACGGGAGCGATCGTCGCAGGTCGGTATCGAGTTCAAGTCGCCTACGGACCGCTACACACCCGCCAAGGGCACCGTTCCCGCCAAGATGAGCTCGAGGGTGCAGAACAAGTGCCTCGAGAAGGATCTCCTGACCCTCACCACTTCGGTTTACGAGACGATCCGGTTCGTCGCCTTTTCCTTTCAACTTCTGGAGGGGTGCGGAGGAACGCAGGGGATGCGTTGTCGCGAAACAGTCGAAGACGAGGAGGAGATGGACTTAGGCTGACGAAAACCCGACTATCGCAGCTTCATCCCGCCTCTCAACATCTCGAAGGAGGACATGGCCAAGGCTTGCGACATCATCAAGCAGGCCATCACGGACGTCGTTCACGAGGGCTAGAGCGGCGAAGCGGACTGGACGTCGCGCATGTACAGAACACACCTGGACTTCGGGGAAAGTCTCTTCTTCTTGGGTCGGAACTATCGTCTTCGCTCGCAGTGCAAACCTCGTTTCTTCTCTTCCCCAGCGTCGTGAAGGCCCGCGAGAGTCTGCTAGAGATGCGTAGGAATACAGGGAGTGCCGTCTCATCGCCCCAAAGCGAACTTGGGAGGTGGAGAAGATCGGATTCAGTCCCGGCCGACGCGCGTCGGCGCCTTCAGCGCTTTATCGAGCGTGCCAATGAGTCCCAGCGCATCCAACGCGAAAAGGCGATGGAGAAGTGGCATGTGTCCACGAAGTCGAAGAGGTCCATTCGTCTTTGCAACTATCGCACGACGAGTGCAACGTTACGCAGACTGCCGGTCGCCTGGTCAAAGATGTTGACCACCTCGACGCGCCGACGCATCTCGCTTGACCCAGCCGCATCCCGCAGCCCTTCACACAAGTAGGCGAACCGATCCAGGACGCACAGCGTCTCGAGCGGCGGCCCCAGCCAGCTCCTGAGCGTCCAGAAGACCCGCAGCTGGAAGAGAGCGGTCGCCCAACGCTCAGCCTCAGCCTCCTCTCCCTCTTCGCCCTGCCCATACCGCAGAGCCGGAACTTGCGCGCTCGTCAATCCCCCCTCCGCCTTCTTGAGCGCCCTTTCTCGGCACTCCCCCCACGAGCGACACTCGGGTATCCGCCCAACTCGCCGCTCGTGGTTGACACCGACGCCCGCCGCCTCCATCTCCGCCTCGAAGCGCGCGCGGTAGGCGAGCTTGAGTGTCGAGGCGTACAATGCCGACGTCGCTTCGGGCGTGAGGTGCCAAGTTGGAGGGGACTGAGGCGTGAGACGAAGATGGGCGCGGGACATGGGATGTTCGGTGGAGAGGAGGGAGGCGAAGTGTCGACTGAGCGGGAAGAGCGAAGGCGTCTGCATGTTGTAGCAGCAGCCGACCAATATCGCGCGCGCTCCTCGATACTGAGAGACCTTTTCGGCGCGGACGAATGCCGTCATAGCGTTGGGCGTAAGGTCGCCACAGGCGTGCAGGGCGACGAGGAGGGCAGGTGGAGACGTTGGGCGATCTTCGACGGGCGACCATCGCTCGAGTGCTGCCTGAACGCCATCAGCGTCAAGAGAGCTGACCTCGTGCGTCAAACTGCCTTTCTCGGGCGCTAGGGAGGCGTTTGCGCGCAGCTGGTCAATTCGCTCCGCGCCGGCTTTTTGCGAGGAAGACCAGTCTATGGCGAGGACGTGGAGGTCGAGAGGAGGGCAAGCTAGTGCACGGGAGAGGTGGGCCTGCGTCGATGAGTCAGCTATTGCGCATCCGGAAAGGCAGTTCGCAACTCACTCGTCCCGATCCGACGTCGACGCAGTGGGTCAAGCGCTCTTCAGCCTGAATGTCGGCGACTACAAAAGGAGTTAGTAAGAGAAGACGGTAGTCAAACGAGTAGGACGAACCCAGTTGACTGAGGGAATCCACCTCGTGCTCCTTCTTCGGGCTCTTGCCGGCCTGCAGCGCATTCTTCAAGTTGATCTTGGCCAGCTTCTCCTCTTCCGTTCGTTCTCTTCGGATGGCGGATATCGGCGCTCGCGCTTGTGAGGCTAGACGAGTCGAGGAGGACGAAGCGGAAGGGTAGGAGAGAACGGGGACGGGCGAGCAAGTCCGGTCCAGCGAGAGGGTCCGGCAGGAGGTCAAGTAGGCGTTCAAGGAGTCAGGTAAGCCTTCCTGCGCAAAGTCTGGTCAGCCTGAGCGGTTCCAGCGGTGAAGCGAGAAAGGACGAACTGCTTCTCCTCGAGACAGCCGCACCAACAGCGCTTCCCGTTCATCCGCGCCCGTGACCGATTCGAAGTACTCCCTCCAAGCTTCTGGCAAGCGGTCCCAGCAGCCATCCAGCCCGACCCGCCTGTCCACGCAGAAAGTCCCGTCGGATCGCTTGAATGGTTGAAAGAAGGTGTTGCAGGACGACTTGACGAAGAGCTGGGCTTGCGTGTCGTAGAGAGCGAAGTGTATGAGCTGCTTCAGGTCGACTGGCCACTGGAACGCGCTGTCGAAGGCGGACGAGCCGGACATTGATGGCGGCGGAAGGGAGGGGAGGAGGGCGAGGAGGGAGCGTATGAGGTCGTCGCGAGTCCCAATCGTGAAGCTACTGCTTTGCTCGAGCCAGCGAGCGTCACAGCCGAACGCAGACGCGATGAAGCGTGAGGAGGGCAGAGGCAAGAGCGAAAGCGAGGAGAGGAAGCGAGTAGCTGGCGTTCCACCAGGACGAGCGGATGGGCGCCTATCCTCGGGGATGATTCGCACAGCAGACACGAGATCCGCGATACGGAGTCCAGAGTTGCAAGTCGCGGCGCTCACTCGCCGCCCCGCTCGAGCCAGTCCGCATACTTCTCCAGCCGCTCCTCCTCCCTCTTCGCCGCCTCGCTGTCGTGATCCTTGTCGCCGAGTCCCGTTCCTTCGAAGCTGACCTCCTGTCCGCTCTTCTTGTACCGCTTCGAGCCGTCCATCGGGAAGGCGGAGATTTGTCGACCGCCGAAGAAACGGCCGTTCATTTTCTGCGCGAGTAGCTTGTCAGCTTGAGTGAGCAACGTGTCTAACAGGCGGAACAGGAGCGCACCGCGATACAGGCTTGAGCAGCCAGTTCCTCCTTGAACCGCACCGTCATCACGCCCTTGTCCTCCTTCTGCGAAGTGCGTCAAGACGCGTCAGCGTAGGCCACTACAAGCAGACGAGTGAGCGACGTACGTCGTAGAGCGTGACATTCGTCACCTCGCCCAACGTCTCGCATTCTTCCCGAACGTCCTCCTTGAGGTCAAGCAGCAGAGTCGGGTCATCCTCGAGCTCTTGCAGGGTGAACATTCCTTCGAGAACGACGACGCCGCGATACTTGCGCGCCCGAGCGGCGGCCGCGTTCGGGTCTTCTTCGTCCGACCAGTCTTCGAGTTTCCTGCGAAACCGACTCGTCAGCCAGAGATTGACAAAGCAAAAGCGGGAGGACGCACTGTCGCAATGCAGCAGCCTTTCTGCCCTGCCTCGCCTTGAGCTGATCCGGCTTGCCCTTCGCCCCGTTCCCCTTCGACGAGCCCTCTCCCTTGTCCGCTCCGTCCGCCTTCTCCTTCTTGCTGTTGTCCCACTCCGCCGCCTTCACGCTTATCACCTTGTCCCCACTGCCCAACACGAGTTCCGTCTCGTCGAACAGCCGGCACGCCAGCTCGACGCTCGCCTCCTGAAGGTAAACCACCAATGCCTCGCCCTTGAACCGCCCATTCTCGTCCTTGTAAAGCTTGACTTTCGGCTTCCCCTCGATATCTTCGAGGATCAACCCTGCCTTGGAGAACGTCGAGACGAGTTGGTCGACTTTTGTGGAGAGGGGGAGGTTCGAGACGAAGATGGCGGTGTTGGCGCGCGGTTTCTTCTGCTTGCCGCCGTTCTCGTCCGCCGCTTTGCGCTTCTTGCCTTTCTTCTCTTCCTTCGCAGCGGGACCAGCGGGTGCCTGCGAACAGCGAGAGACGGTCAGCGAGAGGTCCGAGGGAGAACAAGCGAAAGACGCACCTCCTCGTCAACGCCGTCAACCGAGTAAGCAGCCTGCTGAGCCTTCAACACCTCGTCCGTAATCTGCGCGTCGCTCTCGAGCCGTCAGCCTCCCTCGTCGCTTCTCCCTCCTCGAAAGCGATGAACCCCAACTCACAGCCGGAACCCACGCGTTGCGCGCCTGGTCCCACTCGAGCTCGTTCCCGTCCTTGTCTTCGACCATCCATTTGCCGGCTTGGCGGTCGAAGTAAGGCTCCGGTGTGTCGGGATGCGCAGAGGTGTTTGATGATGCGGGAGTGCCGGAGGGAGCGTTCGAGGCGCTGGCGGAGGCGGAGGGCGCCGTAGAGGCGCTTGTAGAAGGTGTAGAGCTTGACATGAGTCCTATAGGAAAGTCAGGAGCGGAGACGGAAGGGAGGTGTGGAAGGGAGATGGAAGGGAGAGGGTCGTTGAACGCGAACGGCGCGACTCGTGCAAGACACAGATGGTATAAACGACTTTGCAGCGATTCCTACTACTCTTTGGCGCTTTTGGCAGACACGGCGTGCGCAGACTCCCGCTACCGCCCGTCTACTCCGACTTCGACGTCTCCTCCTCCTCCTTGCTCTCTGCGATAGCATTTTGCAGCTTCTCTTGCTGTGGGCGGGATAGAGAGCAAGGTCAGCACGTGCAAAGCTCAGTGGAGAAGCTCGAACGCACCTTCTTCGGCTGGTCAAGCTTGGCGGCCTCCTTTGCCTCGGGCGTAGCCTCCTTCTTCTCCTCGTGCGAGAGCGACTCCTCCGTGGGCTTGGGGGGCTCCTTGACGTCCTTCTCCTGGCCCTTCTCGACGTTCGACTCGTCCTTGTCCTCCTGGGCCGGGGCGTGCTTCTCCGCGTCCTCCGGCTCGCTCTCCTCCTCCTGCTTCCTCTCCTCGGCCGCCTCGGCGTGCGACGACGACGGCTCTACGTCGCGCGGGTTCTCGGCCTTGGTCGCCTTGGTCGCAGAGGGGACGTTCTCGTGCTTGGTCTCGTGCGAGGACGAGTGCTTGAGGATCTCGGGCGGGGAGGTGAGCGAGACGATGGCGGGGATGAAGACGAGCGCCGAGCCAATGACCCAGGGGAGGTCGCTCTTCTGCGGGGTGGGGCCGGTAGGGTTCGCGGTGGTGTACGAGCGCCGGGCAGACCGGGAGACGGCCTGGCGGGGCTGGCGGAAGGCAGTGCGGGCGGCGGCGCGGAACATGGGCTGCGAGAGGGGGTGCAGGTGATAGAGTGTGCGTAAGAGAGTGAATGGAGCGAGTCGGGCAAAGCAAGCAGGGCGAGGGCGGCACGAGAGAGCGAGCGTCAGTGAGCGAGCGAGGACAACTCGGAAGGTGAGCGCAGGCGCACGACACGGCGCTCTGGCGATGAGTGGGCGCCTGTCCACTGCTGCTGGCTCTGATCGCGGGCTGCAGACTCACCAAGCGGATTCTAACACACAGTCGAGGCGAGCGTGAGCGGAGGGAAGAGGCGCGGATGACGGCGGATGATGAGTGCTTGCCGACAACCACAGCGAGCGATACTGAAGTGCACGACTCGCCTTGTGACGCTATCAGCCGAATTATGCAGTCGCAGCGGAAACACAAGCGAGAGGTCGCGCAACTACTCTCCTGGAAACCCGCCGCGGAAGAAGCAACATCCCTCACGGGTCCCTTTTTACGACACGCCCTTAGGCCTACATTACCGTCCATTCCTCTTCTCCGGCAGCGCCCGCTCTCCCTTCGCCCCAGCCGCTCCACCAAAACCCATCCCGAGCCCTCCAAGCGCCCAAGCCTCTTGTGTCAACCGCTTTGTCGCCCACAGCCACGCAAGCCCGAAGACACCTGCTGAGAGGGTGAGGTTGAGGACGGGAAAGAGGTCCGGGAGGTGAGCGGGTGGCGAGGCGAGCGACTCGACGGCGTGGAGAAGGAAGATCAGGGCGTAGGTGAGCTGCGCGACCCGGCGCCGTCAGTTGCGGTAGCTCATCACTCCAGCAGAGTTGAGTACACACCAGGCTGAGGTACTTGACGAACGAGGCCCGCATCGCAAGCGGGTTGTACCCGACCGCCCAATTCCACACCCCCGTCAAGGCGAGGTACTGCACCGCCAGTCCGTCCCTCTTGAGAAGCGGCCACATGCTGAACACGGCGACGTTGTTGACGAGGACGCCCCACTCCCAGTCCAGCCGGCCGTAGCCGACTTCGCGTCCGCCCATGAGAAGCGTGAGCGGCATGAGCGGGAGGAGGATGCTCTTCTCGTGGACTTGGAAAGAGAAGAGGAAGAAGGACATGGCGGAGAGGAAGAAGGCGTGCGGCAGGAGGATTACTGTCGGCGGTACTGTCGTCGAAGAGGACGTGCGCGCCTGCCCGAGTTGCCAGCTGACCGCAACGACGCCCGCAACGCTCGGCAGAACCGCAAGGCCAGTCGCGAGGAGGGCGAGTTTTGCGAGAGTCGAGACAGGAGCGAGGTCGCGGAGCTTGACGACGACGTTGAGAGCGCACCACGCGTTGGCGACCTTGTCCTCGAAAAGGCCGCGGGCGAAGGGGAAGATGCGGTGGATCGCTTGGAGGAAGGAGCTGAGAGACGTAAGGAAGGGCGCGAAGAGGGCAAGGAAGGTGATTGTGACGGCGAGTGCGAGGTTGATGAAGAGTGCGACGCTGAGAGCGAGACTGTCAGTGACTACGAGATACTCTTAAGCTGAAGCGCAACTCACCCTTCCCGCCCACCCAGCCAGAAGCACTTGCCCAGCAGATACGCAAAGACCGCCGGCGCATAATACAGCGCCATCTGCTTGAATCCGAGGCTGAGCATGAACGCGACGGCGCCCAGGACGTCATGGCCGGACTGGAAGCAATTGATGGCCCAGAGCGTCAGGCCGAGCATGAGTGAGTTGTACCTGTGAGTTCGGGGCGTCAGCCACTCCACGAGGCGGGAAGAGGAAAGGAGCGCACTGGAAGTGGCCGTTGTCGATAAGGATCAAGGCCGGCTGGAGGAGGATAGTCATCGCCGCAACGAGCTACGATACAATGCGTCAGCTCTCAGACGTCAAAAAGGAGTGAATCTTCGCGCACCATCTTCCGCTTGGCCTTGACCTCGCGCTCCGCCTTCCCAAAGTTCCGCTTGCAGTACACCAAGACCGCCGTGACCCAAACCAGCACATCGCCCACGACCACCGTGGCCCTCATCCAGTTCCTCAAGTCTCCTTCTTCCTCCAGGCGCGCCATGAACGCGTCCCATGCGCGCAACTCTGCCTTTGAGGCGGTGGTCGAGATTGGTCGGAGGGTGACGAAGCGAGCCGTCGAGGGAGTGAGGCGGGCGATGATGCCGAGGAAGAGCGAGTGGTAGGCTGTCAAGGGTGGATAGTCGAGACCCCAGTAGGGCGAGTCGTGGAAGTACCAGCGAGATGCGGGGATGGACAGGTTGGCGGAAGGAGGCGGAGGCAAGTGGAGGGAGCGTAGGGAGGAGAGAGAGGAAGAGGTGAGGGCAATCCAGTGTCGTTGCGCTTCGAGGTCGCCTCGCATGGGAGGATTCGCGAAGCCTGCAGCCGAGGAGAGGAAGATTAGCGGAATGAGGATGACAGGGCGCGAATCGTCAGCGCACCCGAATACCCGCCCAGCCCCGTCCACCACTTGACGAGCACGACGACTGCCAAGGACAGCAGGACAGCCCACCGCGCGAGAGTCGGCTGTTCAAGCATCCACCTGGCCCACCTTCTCAGCGGCGAGTCCGTCGCCTCCTGCGCCTTCACCGCGCGCTCCTTGTCCCTCCTGCGTCGTTCCTGCGCCTCTGCCTTCCTCGCCGCCCGTGCCTTGCGCTCGTCGACGGCGAGAGGGAAAGCCGACAATACCGACAGACCCGACTCGCTCGCCGAGTCCCACCCCGTCCCCGTCGCAGTCCGCACGTCTGTCCCTGCGCCGTGGCTGTGGTGCGAGTAGGCCGAGTGCGTGTCTGCTGGCCTGTGCGAGTGCGACGGGTTGCGCGACTGGACGCGGGCGCGGAGGAGCGATTCGGAGACTGAGTTCCAGTCCTGGGGGAAGGGCTGGAAGGCGGGTGCAGCGCGCCTCCTCGACGTGCTCGCTGACGAGTAGCCGTCCATCCCTGGCTTGCGCTGTAGCTCAGAGCGAGGTTGAGTGATGAGGACGAGGAGGGGAAGCCCCACTGGACGAGGGTCGACCAGCGACTGCTACGAGGCTTGCGCGGGTTGAGACTGCTTCAGGGGATGGGATGAACACGCGGACGAGGCTGTACACGCTCATCCTCGTCGCACTCGCGCTCGCCGCCGTCCTCGTCCACTCGCTCACCCGCTCCTCGTCCTCATCGCGCATCCTCATCGTCACGCCCGTACGTGCACTTTACGAGCCTCCTACAGAATCACGCTGACCGTTAGAGACGCCCTGCGCAGACCCACGACCAACTGACGCGCTACCCAAACTTCCTCTACCTCGCTCACGCCCTCGCACACTCGCCCTCCTCCTCCCGCATCCTCTGGCTCGTAATCGAAGACGGCCCCACCCTCGACCCATCCATCTCGTCTCTCCTCTCGTCCCTCCCGATCGCGCACCGCTACTGGCCCGTCCAGACTCCCTCCTCTTTCGAAGCGCCGCACCGCGGACTCGTACAACGAAACGCCGCGTTGGACTATATCGACGCCAGTGGAATCCAGGGAGTTGTCTACTTTGCAGACGACGACAACGCGTACCGACCCGAGTTGTTGAACTACCTCTCGAAGGTACCGAGGGACGGATACACGGTGTTTCCTGTGGGAAATACGGGCTACATGGGCTTCGAAGGTCCCGTCTTTCGACCCACGGACGAAGAGGGAGTGGTCGAGATCGAGCAGTGGTGTTGCGATTTCTGCAGGAGGAGGTGGAACGTCGACATGGCCGGTCTCGCATTCCATTCGTCCCTTCTCCGCCCTCCGTCAAGCTCGACAGAAGACTGGGACCAACCGCGTTTCGACCCCGCATCAGAAGAAGGGTTCCTCGAAACCGACCTCCTCACCTCCCTCGAACTGCACCCCTCCTCGAAACTCTACACTTTCCCACCGCTCAACGACCGGATCCACGTATGGCACAACTATGGACGCCCGTTCCATCGCGCGGGGTACTACGACGCAGATTGGGAGACGAAGAGTGCGCTGGAGAGGAAGCTGGTGGATGGGGAGGAGGACGTTGCGAGAGGGTTTAGGTGGGCGGCGGAGGAGGGCTTGCCGCGAGCAAAGGTGGTGAAGGGGCGGCAATGAGCCTCACTTAGAGAAGAAGCACTGTTGTATCACTCTAGACTCTCTCTGCAACCTCGCATCAACCGGCTCCTTCGCCCCTCGTGCATGCCTCGAATAAATAGCTCGTTCGCTCGCCCGCTCGGCTATCGCTACAAATCAAACCTCGGTCTCTGGTACCACCACTCATCGCAGTCCCTATGCCCGTTCTCGAACCGCTCGAAGCACATCCTCCCTCGCACGCTCGAGGAAGGTCGAAGCCGCCAGCCTGATTTTGTCGAGAGACGGAGGTCCCAGATACACCTGCGTCCCGTGCACGAGCGCTGTGAGTTCGCTTTGAGACAAGAAGGAAGCAGGAGGAGAGGACGCACCAAGCTCCGCACTGATACCTCGCGTTCTCCCTCACCGCCTCTACCTCCCTCTCCCTCTCTCCCTGCGCTCCGCACAGCGGCGCCTCCGACTCAAGGACATCAATCCACTCGCTCACTGCCTTCGTGACTTCGGGGCAGTACTCCGCTAGTTCTTCGCCAACGGCGGAGCGGGAGGGAGTGAGTGCGTGAGGAGGTGGAGCGAGGGGGACAGTTGCGCTGTGCTCGTCCGTCGCTCGTCAGCTTGTTGATAGAAAGGATGGGAGATGGGGAGGACGCACGCGAGGTCCGGACAGAGGTCAGAGGCGGTGAGGTTCGACATTGCGCGCCATCTTCGTAGCCCAATGTCCGAGGTCGAGAGCTTGAAGGTCTCGCCGTCGTCCGAGCCTGTGCCATCGCGTCTTTGCATCAGTTCTCCTCTCACACAGGGGAAAGAAGGAGAGAAGGGAAAGTGGTAGACGCACAAACAGCCACCAAACTCCCCTGCGGACTCGCCTCCGGCCCAAACCCCCGCTTCTCCCCTCCCACTCCTCCTCGGTGCGGGTCCATAAAGTGCTCGAGACACTCGGTTCGTAAGGCGGCGCGGGAGGATTGGTCGGCGAGGCCGGAGGAGGCGGGGCGGTTTAGTGGGCTGCGTTTGAGGGTGGCGAGGTGCGCGTCAGTGAGAAGAAGAGAGGGAGCGCGGAGCGGGTGGAGAGCGGGGACGCGCCTGCAGTAGGTCGCAAAGTCGCCGATGCTGCCTGGTGGAAGTGCGACGCGGAGTGGAGCTTTGCGGGTCGTTTGGCCGACGACGAGATTGAGGAGGATGTCGTCGCAGTGAGCCTGCGTGCGCACCCGTGATTAGAGGGAGAAGCAGAAGAGAGGGCAAGGATCCGGACGCACCTCCTGCTCATCGACATACCTCCTCTCTTCCTCCCACTCCTTCTCCGCATACCTCCCTACCAGCTCTGTACTACCCACCAGCGCGCGGGGAAGAACAAAGTTGTAAGGCGACGGGCGGGCGACGAGTTCGTCGAGGACGTAGGAGGAGCCGTCGCGGCGGCGGACGAAGGGGCCGATTAGCCGGGTTGGGTGGGATTGCCAGACGCGGTGGAGGCATTTCAGAGCGGGCTGTGTGCAAACAGGATGAGTGGAGGGAACTGGAGGAGGGAGGAAAGGGAACGCACTTTGGACAGGACGAGGTCGTTGTCTGTCACGACCATGCCGGGCGTCTTGACGAGCCCCCTCGTGAGCGTCCACCTGTTGTTCAGGCTGTTGACCGGTGCGCGGACGACCTTGACGCTCTTGGGCAGCCCATCAGGCGGGTCTACGCCGGGCCTGTTCCACACGAGCACGATTCCCGCGACGAGATCCGCATACTGTGCGCTCGCGTACGTGTCGAGTATGCGCTTGAGCCACTGTGGTCTGAGTCCGTCTGTCTCGTACGCTGCGAGGACGAGGGTGAGTTTCGATGCCGGGTCCGAGTGGGTCGACGAGTGGTGCGAGTGGAAGAGGGTGACGAGTGCGGCGACGAGTGCGAGTGCGAGGATGAGCGGGCGTGCGAAGCGGAGAGACGGCATGGCATCGCTTCGCACGCGACTGTCAGCGAGAGCGAGAGTGACAGCGCGATGTCAACGAGGACGAGCGATGAGGGCGAGGACGAGGGTTGGCATCGACTGCTGCACTCTGCTCGAGCTGGACTGCGACTGCTGGACTTGGGACTGCACAGCGACACAGCCTGACCCGCCCACTCAGCCTGCGACCTCACCCACCGCCTTCCGCGTCCTCTCCTCGTCCGCCTCGTCAATCCCTACTCTCTCTCCATCTCCAACGACCCAAGTGCTCGCATGCACCGTCTCTCTCTCCTCTTCGCACTCGCCCACCGATGAGAACCCCTCCGCCACGCCCATTCGACCATCCTTCCTCCTCACCGCGCTCAATCGTCGCCCTCGTCCCCTTTGCACTCGCTCTACTCGCGGCGGTCTTCTTACTGCTCAAAGCGACGGGACTGACGGGTACGGGAGGAGGACCGAAGAGGGAGTACTATGAACCGGTGCCGGAGGAGGCGAGCGGGTGCGTCTGCTTCCTCTGTGCGGCTGTGTTGGGATTGCTCGAGCAGGCGAGTCGATGTGAAGAGAACTGGGTCGCTCAAGTGCCCGCTTGAACGGTCTGCGGAGAACCTTCGGTGTCGAGGCGGAGGCTGGAAAGGTCAGGAAGGACCTCCTTCTCCCGCTCGGCGCATTGAGTCGGACACGCGGCTCCCTCAGAGCAGCGATTGCGCTCAAGTCGACGCTTCACCGCTCGAGGTTGTCAGCTGTCGGGGACTATTGACCGACACGCCTTTTCTTCGCTTGCGGGATCTCGTCCATGCGACTTTGGCGAGCCGATGACTCTCTTTGGCGAGGCTGTTTCGGCCAACAGCCCACACTCCTCTCGCTTTCACTCCTAGCACCCAGCTCGCTTACCTTTCTCCGGCTCCTCGCTGACTCTCCTTCGTTCCCACAGCCGCCTCCGCCGCCTCTCTCCTCACGCCCCCTCCACTCCGCGCACCGGCCTCTCCGCCACACTCGAGCGCGCATGCGGCGAAACCGAACCCCACGTCCCAGCATGGATCGACCATCTCTCTTCCTTGGAGGAGAATTGTCCGGATATGAGTGAGGGGGAGAGGAGGGAGCTGAGGAGGTGGGCGGTGAGGCAGTGTGGAGCTTGGTGCGTTCTCGAAATCTTCTCTTCACCTTCCTCGAGCTGATCAGAGAGGTGGACGCGGCGGGAGCAGGTGTATCTGGGACCTCTCGACTCCCGAACAAGTGGGCTGGCACCTTGAGTCGCGCTGCTTCAAGCGCTTCGATAGTCGTGAAGGACCGCATGTATGCGACCAGTGGTGGTTTCAGAGACCAAAGGTTGAGCTGGCTGAGGCGCATCAGGAGGAGAGGAGAGGGAGGGGTAGGGGAGGGACGTAGCGAGGGTGTAGAGGGACTGTATGAGTATCTTGTTGGCTCTTTTGGCGGCGGAAGGACGAGAGGACGAGACGGCGAGCAGGGTCGCTCGAAATGAACAGAGTGAATGCGTAAAGTTGCGAGTTGCGTCTGATAATGCGGTTCGATGCTCCTCCGTTCTAAAGTCGCTGCGCCCGTGGCAGCACTCTCATATCCTCCGACTCCACCACGACGTCCGTTCCTTCTCCTTCCCCCGCCCGTCCTCAACCTGTCCGTCCCTCACCTCGACCCCCCGCTCCCTCAGTATCTCCTTCCCCTTCTCACCCACCAAGATCCCTCCTATAGGTTTCTCCCGCTCCTGAGATATAGACTGAGCGGAGGAAGACGCAGATTTGGCGGCTCTCCGCGCCTTGATTTCCGTTACGAGGGCTTGCATACGCGCTTGTTCGGCTGTTTGACGGGCGCGGCAGGTTTCCCTGGAGATTGTGGAGGTTGGGGATGTCGGAGATGGAGGGAAAGTGTGGATAAGGGTGATGGGCGTGGCAAGGGAGGACAGAGAGGAGGAGGAGAGGGTCAGTACGCTCGCCTCTGCCCCCGAATCCCGCGTCCGCCCGAGCGGGCAGAACTCACCAAGCTCCTAAACTTCCGATTCCCCACGCCGCAACCGCCCAATTCGCCGCGCTCCCAACCTCGCTCCACGGACCCGCCGTATCCCCTCTCAACGTCCCCCTCCTCCCCGCTCTCGAAAAGACAAACCGCATCCCGCCTATTGATGCGCCCGCTACGATTCCGAACAGCAGGGAAGTGCGTGCGCAGGGCATGGAGGGGAGGCGTTGGAGGTCGGTGAGGGGCGAGATGGTCTTTGCTGCGTCGAGGAGGGAGGGCTTGCGAGATGGTTCGGTGGAGGAAGAGGCTGGTGCGGACGGCGGTGGTGGTGCTGTCTCGGACGCCATGGTGCAGGGTGGAGGGTGTGGGAGATTGTCGAGTGCAGGATGAGGGCGAGTCGGGATCGGGAGGTGCGGTTGCTCGGCGGGCGCGTCGGGCGGCGTCTAGATGGCTTGTGGCGGGTTGTGAGAGCTCAATGTGCTGTCCTGGCAGACAATGGAAGCACGGCAAGCGGTGAAGGTGGCAGACGAAGGCGAGCGGTTCGTCTCCGCGCCGGGTTGAGAAACGCTCATCTCTCACGACAGCGTCGCAGGGCTCATACAGACTCGCAAGACAGTGCTGAGGGGCGCTGCGTCTCCCTCGACGCACCCGAGCGTCCGCCACGCGACGACTCCGCTTCCTCGTCCTGCTCGATTCTCGCACTGAACTCGACCGACTCGCTCGCGCGCAAGGTCAAGGTGAAGCGGTGATGGGCGCACTGGCACGCGATCGGCTGGAATGCGGGCCGTCGTTGTCGCTCTCGCACCCACCGTCGCTTCTCGAGTCCCGCTGCCCAACTCGCCTGCGTTCCTCGATCGCTGCCAAAGTTCAGACCAGACTCTGCCTCGCTTTGCGCGTGAAGGTCCATCTGAGGCGGTTGCTGACAAGCGCGACGCTCGCCAACTGCGCTCGACTTTGAGCGCGATGCAGTACCAGCCCGTCCTCGATGAGTTCTCCGCTCCTTCCGCGTCGTCCTACACCGGCAGCTCCGGTCTCGCCGTCGCCAAAGCTCGACGGAGGTGCTTCATCTGGCTCGCGCTCGTCTCGCTCGCTGCGACGCTTTCCGTGCCGTTTGGGCAGTTGAGCGGAGACGCATCGGCACTCGTCAAGGCTTGGAGGACGCAGGGCGGCTATTGTCAGGATGCGTACAATCGGCCGGGATGTGAGTCGCATTGTCAACGTCTCTCGGTTCTCTCCACGACGACGTGCTCACGAAGCACCTCGTGAGCGCAGACATCTATCGCGGCGAAGGACCGACCGACATCCGGTGCGCACGGCTGCAATGCCGGAAGAAGCGATACCCTGCTCACCCCATCCTTTCCTGTTGGACAGTTGGATCCCCTACGACGAGTCCGACTTCGACTTGAACCCAGTTACGCTCGAAAACGTCCTCGAGCCGCCGCTCGAGAAACTCGTCAACGCCCCGCCTTCGTTCAATACCTGGATCCGCGACGCCCCTGACCTTGAGAATGCCCCGGAGCTTGACTTCATGCGTGGTCGAACGGTCGTGATGGTCGGAGACAGGTGCGTCGAGGTCCCTTCGGTGCGCAAATGCAGCACACATATTGACGAGGGGAAGTTGCGGGTCGGAAACAGCCACGACCGACGGAACATCGAGGGTTTCTGTGCGCATCATGTGGCTGCTGGAGGCGTCGTTAACTCGAAGGGCGGGCATGTCGCGACGAGCTGTCACTTGCCGGTGCGCTTCGCCCTTCTAGCGCGGGACATGACAGCTTTTGAGCATAATTGACGACTTTCGGCGCAGGCGCTCAATTTTACGATGGCATCGTGGTTTCACTACGGTTTGGCAGAGCCGAGCGAGGATTGGTACATGTCGAACCTCTCTCCCGTCGACAACCCTCCGCCGTACTTCCTCGAGGACCGCATAGATTCGGTCTTCGTCCCCGACATGCTCGACATCGGCCAGCCCGACCTGATTATCCTCAACTCGATCTATTGGGACCTCCGCTACGTCGTCTACAAAGCCTCGCACGAGGGTTGGGCGTGGCAGTTGAAGAGGGTCACGAGGCCGATGACTTGGAGGGAGCTCGAGTGGCACAGGCGGAGGTTGAGAATAATGGTGGAACTCTTTCGGGAGAGGTTTCCAGGAGTACCGCTCATGTTCCGGCTGGGTGAGTAGCTTGCGCCTCCTTTCCAGTACTCGGACGGAACTGACGCTCGCTTCGCACGTGCAGGCCACCCGCGAGCGAACAACGAGCACAACGGCAATGTCGCGATCTACCAGATGAACGAGAGCGCAAGAGCCATGATGGCTCGTCTGGGCGTTCCCATCTTTCCCTGTGCGTTCTCGTTCCCCGTGCACTTCTCCTAGATCCGATCACCTCTCAAACGAGATTGTGGCCGCTGACTTGGCTGGTAACGCAGGGGGTTCGCTGCTCGAAGGCGAGACAGACTACTGTACGCTTCCTCCACTTCCTCCTCGCCTCAGCACACACAAGCTGACCTTCTGATTGCTCAGCGGACGTCATGCACGTCAAGCCCGTCAGCCAGCCGACCTATCTCTTCAGCGACATGGCGCTGTATTACCTGCGACGAGCGGTCAACGGGTGGAACAAGTGCTGAGGGTTCTCTCATCTTGTTAGGTATCTCCTGTGTCGGAGTCTGCACGAAGCGCGCATATCCTCTAAAGAAGGGCTCGTAAGACTGGGCGAACGAAATCGAGAGCAATGACTAGCTTGTGCTACGCAACCTCCTTCGCCGGACTCGCTCCTCACAACCCCATGATGACGTGATACAGCAGCCGATTCCACCAGTCGACGGGACCTGGGAGAGAAGCGCAATGAGGAGTTGCGAAGGTCAGCTTCTTCTGGGTGAATCCGGGCGGAAGGGGACGAGCGCACCGGGCAAGCAATAATGCAAGCAGTCTTTGTCGGGCATGCGATGACCGTCAGGCCGCAGCCTTGTCGCGCCGACATCGAGGAAGATGTGCTTCGGATGCTGCTCGAGCGTCTTTCGCCAGATGTCGTTGTACAGATCGAAACCTTGCCAGTTGTACGAGTTGTGCATCTCAGGGTCGTCGTGAATGAGCGGGGCGGAGTAGCGCGAGCAGTCGTTGTGACCCGGGACGGAGGAGCGGACGATGAGCGTGATGTGAGGGTAGCGGTCGATGAAGGAGATGATCTCCTTTGTCATCCGCTCGTAGCGAGCGAGCGTCGGTGGCTGTCAGCGAGCGTTCGTCAGCTCTGAAGACCCTTGAGCTCGCCATGAGCGGACACACAGCGTGATCGCCCCAATGGGCGCCTGTGTTGACCACGACGAATTCTTTGTCCTCAACCATGTGCGTCCATTTTCCTGCGAGAGCTACGAGCGTCAGAATCCCTCGGTCTCGGTCTCGTCAGATCACGCACGAGAACTCACGGACGAAGCGACCGATGTCAGCAGGCTCCTCCTCGTCCGGCATGAGCAGCTTCCAACCCTCAGGCTGGAGGAGGTAGTCGGTTCTGCAGACTCGGAGAGCATCAGGAGATACTGCGCATAATACAGTGCCGCAACGAGCGCACCTGACGAAGCCAATCTGTCCTGCGCCGTCCTCCAAGGAGAAGTTGCCGACCTCGTAGTCCGATAGGAAGTCTCGCTCGATATGGTCGCCCATCAAGCATTCGAATGATTGGCTGTGCTGTAGTTGAAGCGAGTCGCCGACGAAGAGGATGCCGCTGCCCTTCTTGCCCTGCCGAGTGTTGCGCGAGAGGCGGCGGACGAAGGCAGCTGCGTCGAACGAATGCAGCTGGCAGTCGCGAGGCTGCCAGCGCCAGCTGTTTGCTGCGGCGAGACGAGGTAGCTCGGACGGCTCGCTGGTGAAGCACATGAGCGCATGGCGGTTGTCGTGGCAGGTGTAGCCGGCCGAGACTTTCAGTCGAGCCCAGGTGCGCCCGTCGACAGGCGCCGGCACCCAGCTCCCTTCAGCAATCTCGTCGTTGCGACAGTAGCGGAGGCGGGAGAAGGTGCTGAGCGTCGGCAGGTCTGGCAGCGCGTCGGAATAGGTTGCTGCGCTGAAGAAGAGGAGGATGACTGCGACCGCGAAGAGCCAGTACCACTGTCGGCGGCGCCTCTGCAGCGGCGAGAGTGCCGTGTAGGGATAGCCTGTCATGCCTCCGTGCGCCGAGGACGACAGTGGGTGCTGGCGGCGACTGGATGAGGTGCTTCTTCAGCGACTCGGTTCGCAGGTGGGGTCAGGATGCCCAGACGTGTAGGCACGGATAAACGTTCGAGGTCGAGGCTTAATTCGCTGGGAACCTGCCGATCCAACTTCTGAAGGAGAGAGCAGGTCGAGAGCAAGCGCTGGAAAGCGTCGAAGGACCAAGCCAACTGGACTGCCGCCTCGCGATACTGCTTCTGTTCCGCAAGAGCGCGACGCCCAGTGCGCGTGCTAGCGAAGTCGACGAGCGGCGGGAGGGTAAGCGGGAGAGAAGCGTCGGGCAAGAGCTCTCGCACGACCAGCTCGCGGTCTCGTCGTGCTGGCCCTGATCGCACGCCGAAACGTGCCAAGGACCGTTGCAGCGACTGCTCGTATGCCCGCACATCCCGCCAAGCGGCGTGGCTGCCGCTATCTCACCTCGACTCATCCTCGTTCACCGGCCGGTCGACACCGTCATCACAGCCGCTCCGTGCGCTTGCCTTCCGCCCAAACGCTCTTCAGTATCTCCTAGCAGGATGCAACCGCTGCAGCCCACGCGTCGGCGGCGGAGATGGGATCTGCTCGCGCTTTGTGTTTTCGTCGCGACCGTCCTTCAGTATCCCCGCTCCCAGGATCTCGCAGAGGCCCTTGACGTGCCCAATGGTCCGCATCTCGCAATCGTCATGCCCTTCACCGCCGGAGACGTTCCCAAGATCGGCGCGAACCTGCTGGCTTGGGAGGACTTCCCTCCGTGCCCCGGTTCTTTCCTCCCCCGTTCCCGCCCTTCATTCTACTTCTACGCTAACAAGAAGCTGCCAGACTCTGTGCGGGACGAGATCGAGGACTTCGTTCGCGCTTTGCCAGGACGTGCTCGACGTTGCTTCCGAGGTCAGTGCTCCCGCTCAACTTGCACGGGGACCAGCAGGAAGTGCTCCAGGCTGACGCGTTCCGCAATCTCTCGTGCTCAGATTTTCGCTTCGTCAGTGCCGAAATCCCGCCCGAGCTCGACCACTACGACCCGGATGCGCGCGACAGCTCGTGGGTTGCCGGACCAAATGAGCAGTTCTATCAGCTCATGTCGAGCAACATCACGGCGCTCGGCACGACGCACGTCTTTATGATGGAGCCGGACACTCGACCCGTTCAGCCAGGCTGGCTAAACCAGCTGGTCAAGGTTGTCGAAGAAGCGGAGCCTTTCTGGATCCGTGGATCCGCCTTTCGCCCCGAGTGCGCGCAGCGCAAGACGTCGCATCTCAATGCAGCCGAGGACTGCCATCAGCTCGGCTCCGAGATTGCCGACCACATCAACGGCAACGCGCTGGACAACATTGGCGACCCAGCTTTCATCAGTTTCCTCGACGCAGTTCGCGCCAGCACGTTCGGTAAATGGCCATTCGACCTTGCCTGGCTTCGCTACATCCGCTCGCCTGAGAAGGAGGCTCTCCGTCGCCGCGTCGCCAAGAACTTCGTCTACACCGACCTGATTCAGAATCTCGGACCGCAGACGTTCGCCCTGCACGACTTCCGTCGCGACAACCCCTGGACCTTCTTTGTCCATAGCGATACCCCCGGCCACAATGGTACAGCGTCGGCCAACTCGCTCGAAGCCAAGGCGCTGGCGATTGCCCCGCTCATCGAGAACCCGCTCAAAGCGTCACTCTTACCCGCACTCAAGCTCGTCGCCAACCCGCCGACCAACAACGTTATGCTCGCTTTCGGCACGAGCAACTACCTCGACCTCGTCCGCAACTTCGTCCACTTTGTCCGCGAGGCCGGCATCGACAACTTTGTCTTGATCGCGATGGACGCCGACACGGTGGCATGGGCCGAGGAGGAAAAGGTGCCGTACTACTCGTACATCGACGATGAGGTCGCGACGCTCGGCGGTTCCGACTCGTACAAGTCGGACGGGTTCCGCCGCATCGTCAACCGCCGCTGCTCGGTCATCTCGACTGCTCTCCGCGGCGGCTTCAATATCCTGCAGTCCGACCTCGACGTCGTCTGGCTCAAGAACCCGTTCCCCTACTTCTTCAACGGCGACTACGAGTACGAGATCCAGTCGGACGGCCGACGCGGCTTCACCGAGCGCGACCCTGCAGCGCCCTTCCGCGACTTTGTCAACTCGGGCCTCTTCTACGCTCGCGGAACGCCTCGCATGGCCGATTTCTACGACATCCTCATCCGCACCGTCGCCGAGAACCCGGAGCGGCGCGAACAGCATCTCCTTAACACGATTCTCCAGGAGAACGTGCTACGCATCCACTACCGCATCCTCGATCCGACTCTGTTCCCGAACGGCTTCCAGTACTTTGCGCGCGCCTTGCCAACTCGCGCCGGTGTCGAACCTTTCCTGATCCACAACAACTGGGTCGACGGCAAGTTCACAAAGGAGTACAGGTTCCGGGAGATTGGCATGTGGACGCAGGACCCACCCGAGTACTACGACACGACCGAGCGCAAGTACCTCGCCTTCTACGACCCGTCAATCCCGAACAACGGCTGGAACAACCAGCGCAACTCGCTCCGCGCCGCTCTCGCCATTGCGCACATCCTGAACCGCACGCTCATCCTCCCTCACTTCTATTCGCATCACGGCAAGCCCGTCATCGTCACTCTCGATTACTTCCTCGACTACGACGCCTTTACCGCGACCTTTCCGGTGGGTTCTGCAAATCTCCTCCATTCCTCCGATCCCGAGACTGATTGCTGGGAGGCCCTTGCGCAGGACTTCCGCGAATCCGCTTTCCTCGACCGCGTCTTTCCCGACCCGCCCGAGCACATCTTCCATATCGACATCGGCAGGTCGAGCCTCGGACCTCTCCCGCATGGCGTCCCGCTCATCACCTTCAAGGCCAAGGGCGAGTACCGCGGCGCGACCGACGAGGAGATCAAGCAGTGGTTCGCGCCGTACCAGGACGAGACGCTCATCCGCCTCTCGAGCGCGTTCCGCCGCTTCCACAAGTTCGTCGACCCGGTCGAGAACAAGGCGTTCAATGACATGCTGTACACCGGCCTGACACCTGCGCCCTTCATCCGCAACATGGCGAGCTTCATCGCCAAGAAGCTCACCGAGGCAGCCGAGCACAAGACGGGCAGCCCCAAGTTCAACTGCGCCCACATCCGCCGCGGCGACTTCCCGTCGGTGCACCAGGGCGAGAAGACGACCAAAGAGCTGGCGCATATGCTCGGCACCATGATGGAGAAAGATCGCGTTACGTACATCACCTCGGACGAGTCGAGCAGCTACCCTTTCCGCGACACCTTCCGCCAGCAGTTCCCCGAGGTGCACTTCTGGCCCGAATACAACCGACCATGGTTCGAGCACCTCTACGACGACGAGCTCGGCGAGTCGATGCGTGTCGGCGCCGTCGAACAGCGGGTCTGCGCCTGGGGCGACAAGTTTGTCGGTGCGTCTCCCTTTCGACTCGGTCTTGCCATCTGCGAAGCTGATTCGACTTGCGCTGTGCAGGCAACATCTACCCGACGTTCACGACGCACATCTGCTACCTTCGCGCTCAGCTCGGCCGCAAGGAGGAAGATCTGCCGCGACATCTACGGTCGTAGATATCCGGCCGACTGGGCGTACTTCTGAGTGACTGTGCGAGGAGACGAGGGGCGTGAAAGTCGTCTGTCTGTATCTTCGCTTATCGTGTCAATCGCACGCAACTCGCACGTCTCGGCTTCGGGAGATGGGAGAGAGGATGTATGGCAGAGTCACAAGAGCTAGCCGCGGATTGAGTACAGCTATCCTGCCCAGCTCAGCAAGCCTCGTCTGCCCAAGAACGCTGCCGAGCCCAGCGTGATTGTCCTCCACCGCTCTTAGCCAGACGCGTGTGCAGGTGTCGCAGCGCCGATTCTAGGTGGAGGAAGACGGGGAGGGAGGACGCGGACGCGAGCAAGAGTCCTGCAATGGGGAGAAGGCGCTGAAGAGGAGAAGTCGGGCGAAAGGGGAGGGAGAGCAAGGGTCCGCCGTGAAATGTGGGGTGAACACCGTGCACTGACCGGTACTCGTTGTCTGCTGCCTCCTGACCCCCCTCTCCGTCAGCAAAGGTTCCGCGACCGAGAGATCCGACATCCTGACGAGGAGCTGGGCGCAGGCTGAGCCGACGGGTCCTCGTTGCGGGCCGGTGAGTGCGTGCAAAGCGCTCAACAGTAGCGTCTGCAATTGACCCAGTCTGCGAGGTAGCGAGGAGAGCGTCCCGACCGTAAGCGAGCGAGCGAGGGAAAGGTCGAGGCGAGCCGCGGGCGAGCGTTGGGGAAGCGTGCCAAGTACAGCGCCTGTGCGAGTATGCGAACGTACGCGCGTGGCGATCTCCCAGCGAGTCGCGGGAGCACAGAGAGGTGGGCAACAAGCCAACCTTGACCTCGTCGCGGTTTCGTCTTCAACCTGTTGGCACGACGGCTTCTGCCTTGCTTGCTGCCTCTCTGACGGCTTCTTGCTGCTCAACAGCTCCTCCAGATGCCTATTGAAGCTGCTGCAGAGGCATCCGAGCGTCTCCTTTCAACCTCTGACCGCTCGAGTGATGAAGACGCCAGGACCGAAGCGCAACCCTTGAGGGAGCGCAGCGGCACTCATACAGGACGCCAAAAGATGCGCAGACCATTGGCAAGCCGGTTCAGGCCTTGCGCACTGGCGACGGGCGCGCTTCTCCTCGCTTACTCTCTCCTCGCCTTGAGGCGGTCCTTCTCTCCATCTCCAGCTCACCTATCCCGATCCGCAGAAGCAGCGTCATACTGGCGCAATGAGCTGGCAGAAAACGAAGCGGCACAAGCGGAACTCGAACTGCGCTTCGAGGAAAGACAGGCCCGCCGACTTTCTGCTCTCTCCCGCGCAAACTCAGTTGGCCTGGAGCGCAATGACCGCTCGCTTGGCTCTGGCACTCCCGTTGTGCTAAATTGGCCTGCGCCGCCCTACTTCTGGGCGAGATACTTTGGCACGGGGAAGGGAGAACGGATTGATGTCGAGGGCTGCGCCATCGAATGCAGGCTGGTCTCGGGGCCGCTGAACGGCTCGTTACGGGCGAACGCGCATGTATTCATCGAGTACAACACCTGGCGGGGGCATATCGAAGGTCTCCCGGAGGAAGGCCCGCGATCGTTGGCACACTACCAGAAGACGGCTCTTCACTCGCTCGAGCCCAACTCTGCCCTAGTCGAGCATTCTGATCAGCTCAAGGTACGTCCTCAAGCTCGGCGCCATTACATGGGTACCGCACTCGGGCGTCTTTGCTGACACGCATTTTCCTCCTTGCAGCTCTTCGACATTTTCTCCCACTTTTCGGCGTTCGCCGACATTCGCTTAGAAACCTATCCGCGCATACTGTGCGATGGTCTCCCGAGCGGAGCCTGTATCGGAATTGCAGAGCTGGAGGACGCAGGGGTTGCTGACCGTTGGTTCGGCGTCGAGCGTAACAAGAGGTGAGTAAGCGCGCCGGTCGACTGGCCGAAGACTATGCTGACGCTTCTCGTGACTCCGCTGCAGCCCGTTCTTCGACGACGAGCTTGCGAAACAGGCTCCGCTTCCGGCCGGCGGCGTCCGCTTGGCGACCTTCATCTCGAACTGCGGCGGGGGAACACGTAATCGCCTCATTGCCGAGCTCACGAAGGAGGGCATCATCTTCGACCACTACGGCAAGTGCAAGGAAGACGTGTTTGGGGGTAAGAAGCAGGTGCGCCTTGTCCGCTTCCCCCATCCTTCGTAACCGAAGCGATTGACGCGTCTCGCACCCGCAGAACTACTCGAGCATCGTCGCCGAGCTGGTGCGGGGGCACGGCTGGCAAGCGAAGATGAAGGTGCGAGACAGCCTCTCGCTTCTTGCCCGCTTGTGCTCCTCACTCATGCCATCCCGCTCGCTCCCCGCAGATCCTTGCACTCTACGACTTTGTCCTCGTTGCAGAGAACACCGTGCTGTCCGACTACATCTCGGAGAAGACGACTCAAGGTCTCCTCGCCGGCGGCATTCCTATTGTCCTCGGCGCGCCCAACCTCGTCGACGAAATCCAGGGCAACTCGCGCGATCCGGTGTTCATCGACGCAACGCAGTACTCGCCCGCCGAACTCGCCGACATGCTTAAGGAGCTCGCGGCGCGACCAGACCTGCGCGTACCGTATCGCTCGTGGGTCAAGCAGCTCCCGCACCACCCGATCGTCGAGTACGCTCGCCGAGCGAGGGAGCACGACTTCACGACGCGCAACATGATGACGCCGATGTGCAGCCTGTGCGAACATTACCACGAGTTTTACGACTGGAGCGGGGAGGCTCCGCTCTCCTTTCCTTCGGTATACCCTCCCTGATCGTCGTTCGCAATCGTTCACTTCACTACGAGATAGTTCATGGGTTGCAGTTCTGCTTGGTCCGAGTGAGGAGTGAAGAGGAGCGCGTCGGAAGGAGAGCAAACGGGAAGACGAAAGATCCGCCGATAGCCAGGTCCGTGCGACAAGACCGCCTCCGATCAGTCACCAAAGCTGCATTGGTAGTTCCCCTTGCCAAGCGGGCACAGCTGCGTGCGGTTCCACAGACCGCCGGCGTCTCGCACTTCGCCCCAGAGCAGGTCCAAGTAGTTGAGCAGGAGCTGCGCCTTCTCCATCTGCGGAACATGGAGAGCCGAGAGTGACGAGAAGTGGTCGAAGGAAGAAGACGCACGTCTCGAAACAGAGCGATGGAAGAGGGTGAGAGGACGAAGGTAGAGGCGAGCGAAGGAGAGAATGAAGCGAGACAAAGGCGAGTCAGCCTTCTCCGCGCGCGCAACAAACGGGAGAGTAGCGCACATTGACATTCCACATGTAGTGTGTGCCGTCAAAGCTCTTGGCGCCGTCCGTCATGCCGTACGTCTCGAGGACGGCCATCTTTCCCTCGGCCGCCGTCTCGCTCGAAGTCTGCATGCCATCAAGCTCCTCCGCAATTATCTGGTTGTAGCGCAGGACCTGGTCACCGCCCTGCTCCTTGAGGTATTGCGGCGGCTTGTTGAGACCCGGAGCATTGATACCGATCCAGAGGAGTAGTGGGCGTGGGAATGCGGTTGCTGCGTGGGCGAAGAGCGGCTTGAAGATGCCGAAGCGAGGGATGAAAGGGAGGAAGTGACAGTGCAGCCCGAAGGACTGGATGATGGCTGGACTGAGACCGCTGCGACTTGGCGGCATCTGGTCTCGCCAGTCGAGGTAGGTCGGGACATAGCGCGAAGGTTCCACAGGACACGGCAGCTGCTCGTAGCGGAGCCAGACCTTGCCATTGCACACTGGCTCGCCGTCGAGTAGCAGATCCTGCGTGTCGAAGAGGGCGACTTTGCGGCAATCCTTCTTGTCGTCGAACAGGCGGTCGCCCCAACAGACTTGACGTGCTTCGGGATCCTGCACGGCGCCGTCTGGTCGGTCTCGCAGGATGAGGAACAGAGCGTTGGTGAGGTGTCGCATCAGGGAGTCGCCTCGAAGGAGAACGCCGCCAAACCCGTTCTCGAGGAGGTCGCACGCCTCGAGGCGCGTGAAGATGTGTGGTTGAGGGCAGTGTGGGAGCCTAAAGGAGAAGTCAAAGCTCGAAAGAGAATAGGTAGCATCGGTGGGAGGGTTGCGCGAGGCGCCGTCTGGGTCGACCTGAATGTCGGCGACGGCGGCGAGAAATTCGGTCGACGAGCATCCCTTGCTGTGGTACTGTGGTCCCAATATCCGTCCACCTACAACTGTCCTCAAGGAGCCCCTGCGCAATCCGGCGGATGCAAGTGTTGCTGCGGAGGAGTCGGTCGCCCTCAGAGCCACAGCGGCCTCGGCTCGCAATGCAGCGAGTTCTGCATACAGAGTCCCTTCGACTAGCCACAGTCGAGCGAGAGACGCGCAGAGCAGTGTGGCGATGAGGATGGCGGCCGAAGTTCGCAGTCGGGACTGAAGCAGAGAGTGAGGAGCGCGGGGACCGTCGTAGTGCAAGCTGTTCGGTGCAAGCTCGTAGCCGTCCCTTGCAAAAGGCATGTGTGCCATCCGCGTCGCTCGAGGGTGCGGAAGAGCGTGAGCGAGGAAGGTAAGGGAGACAGGCTGACACCGTCAACGCTTGTTGAGCGATTTCGCTCGCCAAGAGCGGCTTCTTTTTCCGCAGGTCACAGCACGATCCATTTGCGCACTGCCTTTTCGACCGCTGGCGAGGGGAGAGCGTTCCCTCGTCCCGAGGAAAGCGTTGCGGTATCAAGACACAACGGTAGAAGTAGGTCGAACGCAAGTGACTATCTACAGCAAAACCTCGTTCTTGGCAGACTTGCTCAAGACCTTGCTCGGCAAGACGATGCACGAACGGATGTGGACCTCCTTGAGCACCGAGACGTCCTTGCCTGCGCATGGAGCAAAGCGACGTCAGTCCGGCCGTACCACTACGAAAAGGACGACATGCGGCGCACCGAGGATGGCAATGCTCTGCTGTTGGCCGCCAGCAAGCGGCGCGCCTTCGACGCGAGCCCAAGGACCGATCTTGCACTCCTCGCCAACGATACTGTAGAGGACGCATGCGTTTTTCTGCGAAGCGGATGTGTCAGCGGGTGCCCAGCGATCTGTAGGTCGGATGCAAGTTGGAGGAAGAGAGAACGCACGTCGATGACGGTGTTGTCAAGAATGATCGACTCCTTGATGCGCGAGCCAAAGCCGACCTTGACGCCCGAGCCAATGCTGACGTTGGGGCCGATCTTGGCTGTGTCGTCGATCTGAGCGTCCTCGTGAATGAAGCAGGGCTCGACGATCTCGGGACCCTTCTTCTTCGAGTAGTCCGCCCGAGACTTGGCGAGGATGGTGGGCGAGCGGCGGCGGAGAAGAGAGGGGTTCGTCGTCTTGTACGAGGCGAGAATGAGGGCGTTGGCAGGAATGGCCGAGCTGCGAGCGCAAAACTCTGTGAGGACCGTGCGTAGGCGCCAGCATCGTGACGGGGCTCACGCTGCGCTCTTGATCTGGACCCAGGGCGACGTCGTCTGGTAGGCATACAGCTTGCCGGTGTGGGCGAGAGGAGACAGGACGTCTTGCTCGAGCCGAAGTTGCTCGTCGTTCGTTGCCTCCGGATCATCCCTGTCCGGAAAAACATCAGCGCGGGTCGAAAAACACGGTTTGGCGCTACTCACGAGGAGCGCTTGAGCTTGGTGTCCATCGCGTCGCGGATCGAGGTGAAGAGGAGGTTCGAGTCGAAAAGGTACAAGCCGGCGTTGACCGTGTCGGACAAGAATTCCTCTGGCTTCTCGACGTAGTGCCGAGCCTGCGTTACGTCGGAAAGCCGGTGAGCGGATGTACACGAGAGGGAGGAGAGAGGTGCTGTGCGAACCTGCGAAGTCTGCGGGTCGATGACGACGCAACCGAACTTGTTCGCCTCCTCCTTCGGGACCTGCAGAATCCGAGACGTCAGCTCCCATCCGGCGCATCCGTAGCGGAGAGCTCACCTTGACCGCCATCATCGTGCCAACGCCTCGGTGGCCGCTGTGGAACCTCTGCATCTCCTCGAGGGGCCAGCCGCAGACGATGTCCGAGTGGACGACAAAGATCTGGCTAGGGTTGCCCTTGAGAATGACATCGCGGTAGTGGTAGAGGCCTCTGCGAGCGGGAAGTCGAGAAGAAGGTGGTTAGCGGAGCAAGACGAGATTCGGGACGAGGGTAACAGCGCACCCGGCGGTTCCGAGACTCTGGTACTCGCGCAGGTACCGGATAGAGAGGTTGGGGAAGTCACGCGAGGCGTCCTTGATGAAGGGGTTGATGACGGCCTCGTCGTCTGTCCGTAGCGAAGTCCAACGTGCGAAGCGTCAGCCAACCGTGCTTGCTCGTGCAGGGAAGTTGCTCGTACGCACAGAATCCGATCAGCAGGACTTCGGTCAAACCCTCGACGCTACAGGACGGTCAGAAGAAGGTCAGCTCGCTGTCCCCCTCGTCGACCGTTCGAGGGTACTGAGCGCGTCTGCCCTTCTCAGTCGCGCGCTTGGTTCGAAGACTCACTGGCTGAGTGCAACAAGCGAGTGCCAGATGATCGGTCGTCCACCGACGCAGAACAACGGCTTCGGGACGTCGAGCGAGAGGGGACGGAAACGGGTTCCTGTTGAGCGACACGCGAACGGCGGGGTCAGCGGGTGCAGCAGGGTGCGCGGGAGCACAGCATCTCACCCTTAGAAGGACCGCCAATCAGCAAGACAGCCTTGGTCGTCATTGTCGCGCGACGAGTGAGGAGGAGGAGACCAACCTCATGACGGTCGGACTTTCGATCGCGAAGCATTTCATCTCGACAGTCAGGCAAGCACAAACGGGGGCGTAAAGCGTGTCATTCACAGATGCAGGCATGCGCGACCCAACAAGCCCCATCAGACCGGCCGCTGCATCACCACCGAACCCATCAAGCCGGCGTCCTTGATCGTCTGCGAGTCGTCCGTGAGGTCGCGGCTCGGGAACGTCGTCTGCAAGACGTATGAGCTTGAAGCCTCGCCTGGTCGGGACCTGTGTTGCGAGGCTCAGTGAGGTGATGAAGGCGGAATGCGACATCGAACTTACGCGTTGATGTAGCGGCGGATGTCACCGACGTTGTGCGTATGGTTGAACGTAGCGACCATCCTGTATGCGCAAGTCCGTCAGTAGGGCACCCGGGAAGATGAGCGAAGTGAGCGCACCTCTCGCCGTTCCTCAGCCTGATCTGCACCTGCGTCGTTGGCTCGTTCCTGTCCACCTCGAACTGAACGTCGCCGCTGACGGGAGCGTCCGGCGCTTTCGGATTGCCGATCAGTCCACTGAACATGCGAGTCGAGCCGGTTGTCGCGGGAGCAGGGGAGGGAGCGGGACTCGACTCAGGGAAGGGTGAGCCGGAACCGAGGCGGTTGCCCGAGCCAGTGAACGGGCCTGACGGCTGCGGCGCCTGGCGAGTCCACTTCTCGCTACGGCGCTCGGCGATGCGGAGCTCGACGGGCTGGTCGTGCTTGACCTTGAGGAAGGAGATGGGCGCACGCCTGCGCGAACGAGCTGTCAGGGCGGCATGGGCGCAGCGTCAAATCTGTGCAACGCACCCTGCTTGAATTGCCGCCAAGAGCTCCCGATGGTCCTCGTAGCGCATCAAGTCTCCGTCGTCGATCGAGAAACCGTCCTGCCAGAACGTCAAGTGGCGGATCGCGACTTCCTCCTCTTCGTTCTCATCTTCGTCCTGCTCTTTCGCGTTCGGGTCCGGAATGTATGTAGAGGGCGTTTCGTCCGAGCCGAGCGTGTGTGCTGGACGAGTCGGAAACCATTAGCGACTATCCGCATCCAGGAGGACGTGGGACGCACCGCTGCCCGTGAAGAAGGATGGCCTAGGCTGCTCATCCGCGTCTCCTCCACCAGCAAGGCGACGAGAGCCCCTATGCGAGCATGGACCTGTTAGCTGAGCCTGCCGGACTTGGTGAAGAGGAGAACGCACTCGCGAGCCTGCTGCAGAATGTCCCTCAACATGCCACCAACTCCGCCACGGCGCTGGTCGTCCGGGTTCTCCACCGAAAGACCGCTTGAAGGCGGAAGGAAAGGTCAGCGAAACGAGCACTTATCTCGGGCGGAAGCAGCGGCTCTCACCTCTTTGCTCCGCCTGCGAAGAAGTGTGTCGGGTCGCGTCCCTCGTCGTCGTGGTCGTCATCATCGTCGTCGCCGCTTGGAGGGAACGAAGGGCCGGTGGAGGAGGAAGCAAGGTCGCGGAAGCCGGTGATGCGCGGTCCTCCGGTCGAGCGCATCGGGTTCGAAGGCGTCGCAGAACGGCTGCTCGACCTGTCAAGTGCTAGGTTAGCCAACTGACGTGCCCGTCGAGGCTGCCCAACTCACGCGCTGCTCCTCTGGCCCCATCCAGCCGGGAGAGGGTCAACCGGCGCTCCGCTCAAAGTGTACGCTCCGCTCGACTGTGTCGCCTGCGTCGATGAATGAGGTGCCGGAGGTGCCGGAGCAGCACCTTGTTGGCTCGACCCTAATACAAGCTGGGCGGGAGCTCCTCCAGCGGCGTCGTCATCTCCTTGCGGGTTGTCGAAGAAGGCGGCGACGGCGGCCTGCGGCGGCCGTGTCAGAGTGAGCCCGAGTACGCTGTTTTCGCCAATGCTCCACGCACCTCGACATCGCCCCCAGCCGACTCGAGGAAGAAGGAAGCCTGGTTGAGGCTGCAGCCAGTGATGGAAGCGATCTGGGCGAGTTTCTCCTGCTCAGCTGCGCGGGAAGGAGCGAGGGGTCAGCCAGGCCTTAAAGCGCCTGTTCTGGTCCATTCTGCGTGCTCACAAGCCATCCTGTGCGAGTCGACGCGTCGTGGCGGAGGCCGACTCTCGTGCGGGGCGGTGTTCCTCTCCTCGACTTCGACGACGCTCTCCTCTCGAGACGATGAGCGCAAACAACCTGCTGGCGCTACCGCTCAAGGCCACAGACTCGGTCAGTGTCGTCGCGACCGGCCCGCAACGTCTCCTCCTCGCTGATTATCGCCCAACATAGCTGCCATCTCTCGCAGACGAAATCATCGCCTTCGTCGCATCGGCAAGCGAGACGACGCATCCAGCAGCTGTGGAGGAGGATGCGCGGGCGCTGCAGGCTCTGCGGGAGAAGGCTTTGGGAGCTGGCGAAGCGGCAGTCCCCCTCGTCAATCTCGCTACTTTGACAGACCTGACGAGGTGCGCATCATGCTGGATTGCTGCCATCGCATGCTGGCTAAAGACCCCGTTACAAACAGATACTACGCCCAACTCACCTTCGCCAAGTCCCGGCTGCCCGCCTCGGTCCGTCCTCTTCATCTTCCGCGACAGTCTCTCGCCGCTCACGCTTCCGTCGACAGTTCCCCGTCTCCTTCCCATGGTATCCGCTCTTTTCGACTCCATCTGCCCTCCCTCTCGCATTAGGCTCCTTCTCGACGGTTTCTGCGCCCGTCGCGCTGCCCGATCTCGACTACGAGCGTCTCGCTGTCCTCTACAACCTCGCTGCTGTGCACGCAGCTCTCGGGACAGAACGGCGGAGAACAGATCAGGAAGGTATCAAGGCTGCAATCGCGTCTTACCAGGTCCGTTTGAGCACTTCTTTCTGTTCAGGAGCGGGACCTGACCAACCTTGCCTGTGGCAGAATGCAGCTGGCACCCTCTCTCTCCTGCTTGACCAACTAGGCGACTTGCATAGACCATCTCCTGGAGCGTCGCCTTCCATCTGGCCAGCCGACCTTGCTCGACCGACCATCGAAGCTTTGCGGGATCTCTGCCTCGCCCAAGCGCAAGAAGTGGCTTGGCAGAAAGCCGTCATGGGTACATCTGTCTCTCACGCCGTCTTGAACGGAAGCTGACCTGTCCATCGAACTGGCAGATCGCCTCAAGAACGGCAGCGTCGCCAAGCTCGCGCTCCGTGTCGCCGAGTTCTACCAACAAGCGCAGCAGGCGGCCAACCTCGCACGAGCTGGAACGGGTTCTTCAGCGCCTTTCCCCTTTCCCGAGGTGTGCTACCTGCCCTGACTCTTCCGAGCTGCGCTCACGAATGGCGGCGTCACGCAGGACATCAGCCGATACCTCGCCGTCAAAGCTGCACACTTCACTGCCGTGGCGCAGTACCGGCGAAGCATCGACGACCTTGGCGCAAACCGGTGCGGGAATCGTCGCCTGCTGCGTTCTTCCCTTGCTTGCACTAACGATGATTCACCAGGTATGGCGACGAGCTTGGCCGCCTGCAACTCGCCGATCAACAGCTCAAGCAAGCTGTCGCGCTCGGCAAAAGCGGTGTTCCCCTTCCCGTGCTGAGTGACCTCAAGGTGCGCCGTTCTGGCGTGGCATTGCTCGACCAGACTCGGGCTGACTCTCAGCGGAACAGTCGCTCCAGAAGACTGTCTCGGAGAACCTTGCGCGCGCCACGAAGTGCGCATTGAGCTGTCCTTCTCTCCTGTTCTCGCTTACATCCTTGCCGGTGCGCAGAGACAACGACCTGATCTACCTTGCGACTCCGACACCTTCGTCGGTCCTGCCATCGATTGTCTCCGCCACACTCGTGAAGCCCGTTATTCCGCCCGAGCTCGCTTCACCTCTCAAGTATCTACACTCGCAAGGCGGAGGGCTCGGCAAACCCCTACTCGAAGCGCTTGTGCCGAAGGAGACGCTCGAGATCCTGTCGCTTTGGGAAGACCGGAAGAAGACTTGGCTCGCCGACAAGGTTACTTCGACAGCGCGAGAGCTGGATGCGGTCAGCACTGCGTAAGCCTCGTCTCACCCTCTATCTCTGCTCGAGTGCTTACCTGCTCTGGCCGACAGATGCTTGACTGAGCTACAACTTCCTGCTGCGCTCGACGCCGTCCAGCAACCGCTCGGCGTTCCTTCAGCGATTTTGACGAAGGCGGCAGCGATCAAGAGCGAAGGCGGGATCGCGAGGCTCGAAGCGATGATGAAGGACGTCCGGCGTGTTGCCGAGGTCAACCGGAAGTTGCTACAGGAGGTGCGCAAGGCTCTCAAACTCACCACGATGTCAAACTGAAGTCGCATGCTCGCAGTCGGAAGACCTTATTGTGGAGGAGTCCGCGGATGACGCCGCTCGACGAGCCGAACACGGCAGCCGCCGCTGGACGCTGTCCCCGTCCTCCGAAATCGCCGCTCCACTCGCGCAGCGAGCTGGACAGCTTTCGAGCTTCCTCAGAACGGCTGCGCAGAGCGACAGCACAGTCCGAGCCAACTTCGGCGAGTGGCAGAAGGTCCTCGAAATCTTCGACGCTGGTCAGGTTCGTCGTCCACACTCGCGACTTTCGCCTATTCCATACTGATGAACTTCTGCTCGTAGGACGCGATCGCTCGTGCCATTCCTTCTGGCGATGCGTCGAACGTCTCGCTTGCAGCGCCACAAGTTGCAGCCGCCCGTGACTTGCGCGCTCTACTCGACGAGCTTGAAGGTGTGCAGGCTGCGCGCAGGCGCCTCGTCGAGGCGGCGAGAACGGCTGTCGCCCAAGCCGACATTCGAACGCGCCTGCTTTCCGACCATGCTGCCTCGCCTACATCCTCAGGAGGACTCGCCTCGTTCGAGCCACTGCTTGAGGCGGAGATGAAGAATCTCGCCGAGCCGTACGAGCGCGAGCTTCTTGCATCCGACTCGCATCAGCAAGACATCCTCAGCAACATCAAAGTGCAGTCGTCTTCCTACAATGTGCGGCGGCTGCTGACTTCGTCGCTCGAATAGGCTCTCCACGAAGTATTCGTGCAGCATCGCCGGGGCCAGGCGAGCATGCGAGAGCGCGAAGAAGCTCTTCAGCGCTTCGATACTGCGCACGTCAAGTACTTCGATATGCTCACGAATCTCAAGGAAGGCTTGAAGTTCTACGCCGACCTGTCCAAGTTGGCTGGCGAGCTGCGAGACTCGGTCAAGACGGTGCGCTCAAGTGGCACTTACTGTTGAAGACCCCGCTGATCCTCTCGCTGTCCCCCAGTTCGTCCATGCCCGCCGAAACGAGGCTGACAACCTTGAGCATGCGTTGGCGTCGCGGGATGTGCAACCGCCCCATCCGCTCACGGTTCCCGAGCAAGCTCCGCGAACCAGGGCAGGTCCGCAAGCGCCAGCCGAGACGCAAACGCCGAGGCGAGCGACGAGGTCGAGTGCGAGAAGCGATGGGACGGGCGGCCACAACCCCTCCGCTTCGACGCCTTCGCGCCTTTCCGCCCGTCACGCAGCAATACCCTCCCGTCAAGATAGCCGCGTTCAACAAGTCGAACCAGCAGAGGAAGGATGGAGCCCAGCCCAAGGCATTCGCTTCGGCTGATGACGGGATGGATTTCCTCGAGTTGCTCTGCAATGTAGCGGCTTTGATGATCTCGCGCTGCGTCCCGGCGGCCGAGAGTACTCGGGAATGCCAGCAGGCGCAAGCAAGCGGCGGTAAATGCTTCGTCTAATCGCGCCACGGAGGAAGGGTCGAACGAGTTACTTGTGACAACAAGGGACAGACTGCTGCGGAGACGTCTACGGCGTGCGTGATCTGCGACTGAAAGGGTATATGTATGGGAGAACCTGTATCGACATTGAGGGGAGGACGGAAGGAGCGGGTGAATCAAGAAGTCCGTGAATCGCCGTCCTGGCCGTGCGTCATGCGCACCAACCGACGCATGAGCTCCTCGTACGTCAACAGCGTCATAGCGGACGCTGGAACGGTGCGCAAGAGGTTCACGCCCAGTCCGCGATAGAATCCGGCGACGCCTTCCTCGCGCAGGATTCGCTGGAACGTCTTGACGACGCCTTCGAGAGCCGGAGCGGCTCGAGGAGATGTCGCCGAATTCGTCGTCGGGAGACCGTAGTTCGGCACCTTGTCGCCAACAGCGGCTGCATGTCGGTTCTTCTGGATTTGCAGTCGAGTGCGAAGGACTTCGTGCGGGTAGGTCGCGATGGATGCAATCATCTTCGAAGCGGATGAACAGACGAGAATGGTCGACGAAGGGATGTCGGAGCCGTCCTCGGGTCCTGCGAGCTCAATCCGGTTAGCCAGGTTCGGCGCGATGCGAGAGACTCGAGTCACGTACGGGACATGACCTTGAAGCGCTCGTACAAAGGGAACTGTACGGCGACGTGCGCAACACCGAACAAGCTGGGCAGCAGACCTCGGTAGAAAGCCTTCGGTCCTTCCTCTCGATAGATGCGGACGAGCGCGTCCCAGGTGTGCCGGTAGCGTGGCTCGTCGGCGCCCGACTCCTGGGTCATGAAGCGAGTCTTGACTACCCAGAGCGGGTTGGTGAGGATGGTGCCGCTCGCGCCAGCGGTCATTGCCGAAAGAATGTGAGCGACGGGATCATCGGGACCTGGCAAGAGAACGAGCGCCGGTTAGCGTGTCGCTCCTCGTCTCGATCGCCTGCTGTGGCTTTCCCGCGGTCCAAGGCTGCATGCGGGCGACGGGATCAGACGCTCCTTTCGGAAACGTTGTCGTGTTCATGAGCATCCGCCCTCCGAGGAGAGCGGAAGGTTCGTCAGAGGTCTAAGGATACATTGTTTGGTTGTTCATCTCGCCCCGTCGCCACTGTGGTTGACTTTGCCGCGCAAAGACCGCTGGGAAAAGCTTCGTTCGAGCTTGACAGACGGACGAGCTCACCTCGGATGTCCTCGAGCTGCCGCTTGACCTGGTCGTAGACGGTGAAGTAGATGGCCCAGGTTGGCAGGTAGCCGATGATGGTCGGTCCAAGCCCTCGATACAGCCCGCGAAAGCCGTCCGTCACCCAGATGTGTCGAGTGAGGCCTGCAGCGATGCGCGAATGCGGCGAGCGTAACCGTGTAAGCGCGCGGCCATGGCAAGAGGGGGTGACCCCAGCGAAGCCAGTCGAGAGGAAGCGGGAGTGAAGGGAAGGAAGACAAGAGGCGAAAGGGAAGCGTGAGGGGAAAAGACTGGACGAGGCGGCGACGACGGGACTCACCGAGGACGCCAGCTGCTCCGTTCGATGCTCCACCTGCCTGCAACTTGGTTTTGATCACGTCGAGCGGGCACGTTACGATGCTCGTGACGAGTCCTGCGCCTGCCCCCGCCAGCATCGACTCTGCGCCCCGAAACCACACGGCGCCCTTGAACCGCTCGCCTTGCGGGTCCCGGTCCGCAATCGTTATCCGCATATTGACCGCTCTGGCGCTGCGCCGCGCCCCGCTGCTGTCGTGGTGAAGCGACCCGAGGCCGGCGTGTCGACGAGGCGGACGGCGCTAGTCGGCGCAGGGTCGCGTACGGCGAGGGCGGGCCCTTTGCGTGGTCGAGCTGACACTTGTTGACGAGCAGAGGATTCTGGCACACTGAGCGTCCGCGAGAGGATGGAGACGGCCAAAAGCAATGATGCAGGTGGGGTCGTTGGAGGAGGGAGAGGAGGGCCGGAGTCGAGCGTCGTCTGCAACGTTGGGGAGCTCTACCTTGGCGAGACTGTGACGTGTCTTACGAGCGATAGCAGGAAGTCCAAGAGGACTGAAAGAGAAGCCAATTCTTCGAGCAGGACCGGACGAAAGAGGCATACACAGAAAGTACGGACGGCTTACGTCGCGGAAGCGGTTGCTGCGAAGGATGCCTTGCACCCACGAATGCCTCGAGGCGTCAAGATTGTACTGGAGACGAGGAAGAGCCGACTCGCCCGCGCACGAAACGCCTCGCAAGCGATCGCAAGTCGCCAGCAGCATCAATCGCTCCATTCCGCTTCCTCGTCCGAGTCGTCCGTATCCTCCCCTCCGCTGTCCCAGTCCGTTCCGTTGCGCTTCTCCCGCCAGCCGAGCGGGATTGACGCGGCAGGACTCTCGAAGTTGTCGGAGGCGGGATCCTCGTCTGATGGATAGTCGTTCCTGTAGTCGTTCTCCTCTGGCGGAATCGCAGGCGGATGCGTCAGGTACAGATCCTACTGGCACGCAAACCAGCGAAGTGCCCCGCGCACCATTGCTGTCTTGATCAGCCAGGTCCTCCTCCTCGGAGCTTGGGTCGACGTCGTTCTCGTGCACGAGCAGGGATCCTTCTTCGTCGTCCGACAAGTCCTGCATACCTGCACTGCGTCAGACCGGAACAACGTCAGCCCAGCCCGTGGTGACGGAGGGCACCGCGCAAGACTCACAGCTGCCCGATGCGCCGCAGTCCGCTCAGACTGCTCACGTCCCAACCGCCTTCGCCGGTATGAAGCACACTCGTCGCACTCGCCGCCATAGCGGTACTCGTATCGCGGTAGTAGACGTCGTAGACAAAGTCGTTGTCGCTGTCTCCTGTTTGTGAAGATTCGAGCAAGGATGAAGCGGGTTGGAGACTGGTCGGATCAGAATGCTTGTAGTGCGCGTGGTCGTCAGATGGGGTGATCGACTCTTGGACTGTGCGGAAGGCGGGACAAGCAGTCAGCCGGACCGGACGGTTTGCATCGACTTGCGGACGATGGGACGCACGGGTGAGGTACTCCTTGAGCATGTCGCCGAACTGGTCCATCGCCATGCGGTCGTCCTCAACCTTCGGCTCGCCTTTTGACCCGTACCCTGGTAGTCGCGTACTGCTCGTCCGCTCCTCGCCTTCTTCGATGGCATCGTAGATGCGCAGTCCCGCCGCATCCGGTGAGCCGCTGTAAGTGCCCGCATCCTCGTCACCGGACTTCTGCCGCACATCCCGCGTCGTCAGGACCCGCGGCGGGCGCAAACCGCGCCTGATCTCGTCGTCCTCTTGCCTTCGCTCTTGCTGCAAGCGTTTCTGCTCCGCCGCCGCCGCCGCGTCGCTCCCCGCATCAAAACCAGCTCGTCGCTTTTCAATGATGCGGTAACGCTGAAGTCTCGCCTGTGCATGCACCTGCGAGACTCTGCTCTCGGCATTTTGGGCGATGGCAGGCGGCGCATCAGAAGGGACCGAGGACGAGGCTTCGCGCAGGGCGCGAAGTGCGGAAGGCAGCTTTCGTCGAGTGGGCGTCGGCTGAAGATTTGGCGAGCCGGGTGTCGATGCGGTATGAGGGGATTGGGGGGTGGATGGTCCCGTCCGAATGGCGGCGGAGCGAAGAGAGGAGGAAGATGCATGGCGAGACAAGGCAGGTGGAGGGTGTGTGAGAAAAGACTGGATCCGGTCCTGTAGCGTCCGCAGGAGAGAGCCGTGAGCAGCGGGATATCGAGCTGAAACGGCAGAGCGGTGCACCCTCAAGCTGCGAGTCTTGCTAGGCGTGGAGAACGAGTCGATAGATACAGTCTCCGCGAAGCGAAAGATCCCTGCGGAACCACCGAGTTCGTGAGCCCAGGGTCGCCGCGAGAAACGCCAGAGAAGTCGACTCGCCTCGAGGGGCTGTACCGCTGCCCTGTGCTGCCTCCTTGTTGGCCCTGTCGCTCCGTCTGCGCTTTGCGGACGGTTCGGCATGATCGAACACTGCACAGAGTGAGCGAGCGAGGTGATGAACGTCACTCCAGCGAGTTGAGCGATGAGAATCAGGAGGACGAACCGAGGGCGTCCAGCGGCTGTAGCTGGTGCGTGCGCTTGCGCTTGATGCGCAGAATGGCAATATGAGTCTGCCGCCCTTCCTCGTGCGACATTTGACAGCTGGTTCGCGGTCAACGGTCAACCTCTCTCCTCTTTCGCTCTCGAGCCCGCTTTCTCGCTTGCTCGCCAACGCCAGCGCTGCTAACTGACTGTGCAGCCCTCGACTCTTGCTCTACGTGGCTCGTATTGCTGCTGCTGAATGGCCTAGAGGCCGCAACACAACGCCCGACGATGGCCGCCGCCGTTCTCGCACCTCCTGCCCCTCTCCACCCGGACCCAGGCGCGCTGTACGACTCGGACGACTTACTGGCGCTGCGAGTACTCGACGGTGCAGGTGCGGAACTCCATAGCGCAGACTACACCGATGACCTCGAGGACCTCGTCTCGTGCGTCTGTTTCCCTCGCACTCTGCGCTCACGAAATGCAGGCCGGCTGCGTTGACGCCGCTGCCTACCCGCGTAGCCTTTCTGTCGCACAGCACCTTCGCTCCAAGCGCTCTCACCAAGGACTGCTCTCGTCCCGTCCGTCGACGATTCTCCCAGCTTCGGATCGCGACTCGACCACCCAGAATTATCCTCGTCCCAACCCAGTCAACACGGCAGTGCAGAGCTTCGGCTCTTCTGTACGTCAGCAAGACGAGTCCCGTCCTCTTGCGATCGAACGTGGCGGACAGCGAAGCCTTGTCACTCTCGACAGCTCGCGCGAAGCGTCCGACGACCAGTCGCGGCCTTCGCCAGATCGACCACAGGCGCGTCACATAGGCAGCAACAGTCCGACTGAGGCGGAGCCGGCAGAAGCGGAATGGGAAACGCTGCAGGTCGGCGGGACGTCCCCATCAGCCTCCCCACCGTCTGCTCTTCATGATGCCCACTTCACTTCCGCTGCGGCTTTCTCGAGCGGAAAAGGCCCAACGGACAGTCGCAATGGACGGATCCGTCGACGCGCCGTGACGCACTCGCCGTCCTCGTTCCTCTCCTCGAACCAGACGTCGACGGCTACACGGAGCGATCCTGCCTCGCAGAATCGCGAGTCTGCGTCTTCCACTCCTACGCCTATCTCTCGCTCTCAACCTCGCAGGAAGTCCCTCGCGACAGCGAGCTCTGCTGCCCACAGGCATGGAGGGCGGCCTGCGGCTTTTCCTCCAGCTTCCTCTCCGCACCGTCCAGACGTCGCCGCACTTCACGCTTCGGAAAGGGCGTCCCCCGATATGCCCCATTGGGCCGACAGTCCCGCCCCGCTCATCTACCGCACCAGCAAAGGCGACCTCGACTACGGCGACGCCACGTCGGGCACGCGACCACTTCGACCTTCCGACCGCGTGCTACCTGCAGTAGCGCGCAGACTCGAAGCCGAACGACTCAGAGCCCTCGCGCAGGGCGATGAGGGGGCGGCACATCGCTTACTCGTCAGCGAATGGGGAGCGGACGGATCGCCTAGGCGGGCGGTTGAACTGCAGGTTGTGCCGAAGCGCGAGCGACCAGAACCGAATTGTCAACGGGCGGACGCCATCGAAGCAGCCGTCGACTCGGGTCCTTCGCTCGCAGCCCCTTCTTCCCCTCCGTCCACCTTGAGTACGCCGGCGGCGATCCAACAAACCCGCCTGCCACCAGCTTCGATCGTTCGCGATAGCAGCGTCCGTCGCTCAGACCAGCCTGCGCCTCCTCTTCTCGCCAAGACCGACTCCAAGCAACCTCCAGCGACCGCACACCCTGCATTCGACAAACCGGTCGTTGGCGTCCAGCCGTCACCTCCTCTCGTCGATTCCGGCCACGATGCTCAGGAAGCCGGCTGCTGCCGCTGTGTTGTCTCGTAGACGGCCTGCTCGCGCTGTCCGCCCATGTCCCCCTTCGCACCAGCATTCCACTTGCTTTCTCGCTCGTTCTCTCCCCCTTTTCCTTTCTTCTCCACTTGCTTGTTGATATGCATACTCTACGTTGGGCCGCCATTGGCTTGGATTCGGTTAATTGCAGTGGACTACGTGATGCCTCGCCCGTCGCGCGGGAGGCGAGCGTGTTGCAACTTGAGCTTGAGCGTCAGGCAGACTTGGCTGGTAGGTCGGTGCACCCGCGAAGATATCATAGCAACACGGCAAATGAGAGCAAGCAGGCGAAGTACTTGTTGTCTGCTGAAGGTGCCAGCCGGAAAATCGAAGAGACGGAGCCAAGACGGAGCAGGCGAGCAGGCTCGCTCGCCGACAACTCGCTGCAAAGCGGCCTCACAACGTCCTACTCCTGTACGCACCGCGCTGGCAAACTCCGCGAGCTTGCGAGTCTGGCCCGCCCAGCAACGCGTGCGGCAAGAGCGAGGGTTCGCAGTGCTTGGCGGTGGTCCGAGCGAGCGCCGTCTTGCAATCTCCTGTCATGGCGCGGGAGCGAGGAGCAGTTGCGGCCGTTGTGATCGTGCGCACCGGCGGAATCGCGGAGATGTGACGGGCCGCAATCGGACCCTTTGTCCGGAAGAACAGCAGCCGAGCAGCCAGCCTCGCTCTACGGAAAACTGCCGGTCTGGGCACACTTCCCTCGCTGCCTTTCCTCGCCCGGTAGATCCCAAGGCCACGCTGCCAGGCACTGCTGGAGGAATTCCGGTGCGCCCCTTGCTTCGATCGCAAATCCGGCGCGCCATCTCCTCCCGCTCGACCGCAATGTGCTGGGCGAGTGGTCCGGGCAGAGGCCGCGAGGCTCAGCGAAAAGCGTCCCGCCTGCGCTCTCCTCTCTCTCTTGCTCCCTCCTCTTCGTCGTCGACGTCCGCCCATATCGAGCCTCAGACTCCAGCGCTCACTTGCTCGACCTTCGCAACCTCGAGCGACTTCGACTTTTCCTCCCGCCTTCCTCCTTGCCGTTCTCCGCCATGCCGTCCTTCAAGTCTTGCCTTGCATCCCTCGCCCTCCTCGCCCTCGCTATCGCACCGGTGAGCGCGGCGGCCACTCCTGTTGAAGGTGCGCGTGAAACTCTCTTCCCGCGTGCGATAAGCCCGCAACGTCGATGGGCGGCCTAGGTATTCGCTACATCGGTGCTGACCCTCGTCTTTACGCTCGTGCCGCAGGTCTCGCTGTCCGTAACGTCAACGCCGGCTCGGTCGGCGCGGGAGCAGCGGTCTCTCGCCGCAACGCCGCCAAGCGTGCTCTCGAGCAGCGCGCCACCAAGGCGCAACTCGCCCGCGCCAAGCTCGCAGCGAAGAAGAAGGCTGCCGCCGCCGCGAAGGCAGCTGCCGCCGCCAAGGCCGCCGCCGCGAACGGACGCCAAACTGCCGGCCAGCGCCAGACCGCGGGCTCGTCGCCCGCGGGCTCGTCTTCGTCGACTGCACAGCAAGCCGCTTCTGCTGGTGGTGCGGTGGCCGCAGCCGACGTCGGCGGTTCGACATCTTCGACGTCCTCGACGTCCTCGACGTCTTCATCCTCGTCCTCGTCCTCGTCCTCATCTTCGTCCGACCCTTACTCGCCCTCGTCGGCATTCATGAACACGAAGGCTGCCCTTGCCGCCAGCCGGCTTCGTTGCGGTTCTGGTGAGTCCTCGTATCGGTCTGTCATGCGGACGCAGCTCATCAAACTTCCCTTTCTCAACAGACGGCGTCTGCGCATCGAGGGGTCCTGCGGTTCCCGCCAATGCCGCGGCAAGGTGCATCTCCGGCAAGTGCACTTTCCGCTGCAACAGCGGGTTCGCGCCAGGCGGTGCCGACGGCACTCAGTGCGTTGCGACCGAGTCGTCGTGCGGTGGCGTCCAGTGCACCGTGCCCGCCAACGGCTACTCGACCTGCTCCGGCGGCGCGTGTGTCGTCGGCTGCAACCAGGGCTATACTCGGTACTCGGCGAACGCCGACGGGACGGGCGCCATTGCCTGCTTCGACCTCCAGAACGACGCCAGCAACTGCGGCTCGCAGGGTAACGCGTGCCCGGCTTCTTGTGCGTCACCTGTGTATATGGTGCACGAGCTCTGCTGACCGTAGACTCTTGTCTCGCAGATAACGGCAAGGGTACCGCCGTCTGCAAGAACGGAACTTGCCGCGTCGCTTGCGACCCTGGCTACGTTCTCCGCAAGGCCCAGTCGAGCACCAACCCCTACTACTGCTACAACGGCGAGGGGTCGCTTGTCCACAACTGAGGCCGCGACTGGCGTCTATTCTCCACTCCCCTTCCCCTCGCATATGGACATCGCCCTCTTAATCTAGCCTAGTCACGACTCTCCTTCCTGTTCGTCACTTTCTCTCGCGCAATCGGTCGGATTCCTTGGGAAAAGGGGAGGTAGCGGCCTCTGTTTTCGCCGCGCTCTCTCGTTGTAACCCTAGCCCTCGTGTTGTACATAGCCGGACGGTCATCTCCTAGACTTTTGGGCGTCTCGCATTGGAGCCTATTCATTCCGCAATCGCCTGTGTGTGCGTGAGAATGGGGCGCAAGACTAGCATGTCGGAAGCGACGCCCGAGACGACTCCAGTCGAAGTCCGTCAGGAAGGCAGTGCAAGACTTTGAAGCGAGTGTTCGTGAAGTGGCCTGCCCGTGTGTCCTCAGCCGTGGCGCAAGCATACCGTTGCCGCAGGACAGAGTAGGTGGCTATTCTTCGCTCGGTTCGGAGGACAGGTTGAGGTGTAGGACAGGGCAAAGCGGTATGACGAGGCTCGTAGTTGTCGCTCAAGACAGCTGCATCTTCAGCAGCCGGGGTGAGGTAGCATGACCGACCCTCTGGGAGCGAGAAGAGCGAGAACAAAGGGGACAAATAAAGGGGATGAGCTGAGTAAGCGCCGCAACGGCTGGGTCGGTGGGTCAGCACTGTGGTGACGCCCTGAATGAAACTGCGCTCATGAGCGTCACTCCTCGGCACTCGTGTCAGAGGCGCCGAGGGAGGCGAGACGCAGGAGGAGGGCGAGGGTGCAGGTTACAGCCGGCGACGCCGCGCAGCCGACAAAGCAGCACCAGCGCCAGTCGCATGAGCGTACAGATGCATCTGAAGGAAGCAAGCAGCTATTCGCAAGAGGTGTGGTGAGCTGCAGGAGGGTGAATCGCGGTTGAGCTTCTCCAGCAACCCCGACTCACGACATCCGCCCAACATGGTGCGTTGGACTGCTCAGCGCCTGCAGAAAGGCACCAGAGCTCACAACGCATGCACGCGCAGCGCCCCTTGATGTTGTCTGGCCATGAGCGGTCTCTGACCCGTGCGTCCTCATCAGTTACTCTCTCGGGCTGTGAGCACGATGGGCGAGGGCTCTCTGCCCGTCAAGAGCGGCGAGAATGCCTTGAAGCGTGCACAAGGGCGCGCAAGCATCCCGGGCGGCGCTGACTTGACCTCTCCCGCTCCATTTCGCAGAGATCAAGTTCAACGCGGAGGGCGACCTGCTGTTCTCGTGCGCGAAGGACTCCGTCGTGAACGTCTGGCATTCGCACAACGGCGAACGGCTCGGCACTTACGACGGACACAACGGCACGGTGTGGACGGTCGACGTTGACAGTGCGTTCCTTTCCCGCCATTCTCTCCTCCGTATCCTCGTCCAGTGACTCTCTTGTGTCACGCTGCACTGCAAAGCGTGCGAGCTTGATACCCGAAGCGTCCGGCTGACACAGCATCGCTTCTGCAGCCACTTCGACCCTCCTCGTCTCCGGCTCCGCCGACAACTCGATGAAGCTGTGGAACGTCCGAACAGGAGAGTGCCTGTACACGTGGGAATTCCCCACGGCGGTCAAGCGAGTGGCATGGAGCGAGGACGACTCGAAGGTGCTGGCTGTCACGGAGAAGCGCATGGGCTACCCGGGAGGAGTCTCCGTATTCAGCATCAACCGCGAAGAGCCCAGTAACCGTGCGTTGAAGCCTACGTTCTGACTTCGAAACGACCCGCTGACCAACAAGCCCCCATCGTTTTATCGCCTCGTCGGTCGTCACAGAGTCCAAAGACCCGCTGTTCGTCATCAAGCCGACGGGGTCGAAGGCGACGGTCGCAGCTTGGTGCGGTCTCGACGAGTACATTGTCACGGCGCACGAGGACGGTACGCTCAACTTGTGGGACACCGTGCGTACAAGATATGGCATCCTTCGTTGGAGACGGTGGAAGGAAGGCTGACTTCTCGTCGCCGGGTCCAGGAGGAGGGCTTGCTCTTCTTTGACAAGGAGGAGAAGGCGCACCACGGCATCATTACCGACCTGCAGATGTCGCCGGACGGCACCTACTTCATCACGTCCTCGAAGGACAAGACGTCCAAGGTGCGGCTTTCGATGGTGCCCCTCTTTTTCTCGGACGTTGATGAGTTCTCGCCGCTGCGCAGGTCTGGTCTATTGGTCCGCACAAGAGTTCGCACGGCGACGAGGAGTACCTGACCTTGATCAAGACGTACGCCGGCGAGCCGCCTCTGAACAGCGCCGCGATTGTGCCAGGCAAGCCGTATGTGCGTATCGAGCCTTTTCTTCTGCTTTGAGGAGGCGAGGCGCTGACTTTGTCTGGCAACAGGTCGTCATGGGAGGCGGTCAAGAGGCGATGAGCGTCACCACGACTGGCGCACGACACGGACACTTCGAGGTCCGCTTCTTCCATCGAATCTTTGAAGAAGAAGTCGCGCGCGTCAAGGGTGGATTCGGACCGTGCAACACGGTCGCAACCCACCCGCAGGGTAAGGGCTATGCGATCGGCGGAGAGGATGGCTGTGAGTTTGCTTCCGTTCGCGGGATTTTTCAGCTCGGCTGCGTCATTACATGCGACGTTTGCTGACAAGCTCTCCTTACGGTCGTCCAGATGTCCGCGTCTTCCACTTCGACAAGGATTTCTTCACCTCGGTGCGCCCCCTCGTTGCTGTTTCCGCTCCCGTCGGGCTCGTCCACTGACGCGATTGTCCGTCTTTCAGCGACCTTACGGCAGTCTCGAGCCCGAGGTGGACTAGGGACTTGCTCGCGCGTCCCTCGCATTTTGTAGTCGTCCTCGCATGTTTCTGCTTGTACGCATGGTTCTCCAGCCTAAAGTGTTATGCTTGTGAGAAGGATAACAGCCGCGCGCGGCGGGACAAGCCCCATACCGTCAACCTCTCGCTCCTCGCTTCTTCTCCCTCCCCACTTCACATCGCTTCGTCGCTGCGTCGCCCAACGCTGAGTGCCTCTGTTTTGCTCTCCCTTCCTCTCAGTGCGACTTGCGCCGCCTCTCTACCGCCCTCGTCTTCCTCCCTCGCATGGACCCGCCAACGCCGCAAGGACCGGGCGAGGACGCAGATAGCCTGTCGGGCCTACTCGGTCGCCGCAGCAAGAACCGCAACAAGAAGGGACTCGCTCTCACCGCCGAGGCGACCAAGCCTGGGACGCTCTCGGGTGCCTCAGCCGTCGACCTCCTCAAGGCCCCTGCCCCACCAGTCCCTTCACGGCCACAACCGATCCAGGTGACCGGTTCATCACGCTCGAAGTGCAACTCTGTCATTTCCCTCGACTCGGCGGACACGGTCTCGCCCCAGCTGCCGACCACCCCCAGCCTCTCCTCGTCGTCGACCAGCTCGCGGAGCTACCACAACCAACTGAACGAGCAGTTGGCGAGTCTCGAGCTCGGCGTGGAGTTTCGGATAGACCTGAGAAACGAGGATCTTGAAGTGCTGGACGAGCTGGGCAGCGGGAACGGCGGGACTGTAAGCCGAGTGCTGCACGTCCCAACGAAGGCGGTCATGGCCAAGAAGGTGCGGTCTGCAAGCTTTCTTTAGACACAGGGACGTTTCCTGATCATACTTTCACAGGTCGTCCACATCGCGACGTCCGATAGCACGCGCAAGCAAATCCTTCGCGAGTTGCAGATCATGCACGACTGCTCTTCGCCCTTCATCGTTTCGTTCTACGGCGCATACCTACAAGACCCGCATATCTGCATGTGCATGGAGTACATGGACAAGGGGTGCGCTTGCGCCACGCTCAGGCTTGATTCTGATCGGTTTCTGACGACGAACTTCTCGGGAATCAGGTCGCTGGACAGCATCTACAGGCGCATTGGTCCGATCCCGGAACCCGTGATCGGCAAGATTGCGCTCGCAGTCGTTTCGGGCTTGACCTACCTGTACGAGGTGCACAAGATCATGCACCGAGGTACGTTCGTCGCGCTAGGGAAGGCGCACTGCGCTGATGCGGTACCTGTATCAATCAGACGTCAAGCCCAGCAATATCCTCCTCAACTCGGCGGGCCAGATCAAGATCTGCGACTTCGGCGTTTCGGGAGAGCTCATCAACAGCGTTGCGGATACCTTCGTCGGGACGAGCACCTACATGAGTGTGCGTCGTGTCAGTCCCGGTCTGCCGAAGTCTGCGCTAACGAATTTGCGACCTGCAGCCCGAGCGCATTTCTGGCGAGCCCTACACGGTCAAGTCAGACGTCTGGTCGCTCGGCATTACCCTCATCGAGATCGCCATTGGTCGCTTCCCCTTCTCCTCCGACGACGACGCCTCGTCCTCCGACGATGACGCAGACGCAGCGCTTGCCCGCCTCTCGCTCAACGTCGACGAGGCGACCAACGAGATGCGCGACTCGTTTGGCGATGATCTGGACTATATGCTCTCGCCAGCTCGCCCTGAGAAGAAGCGGGAGAGCATCCTGCTGGCTGAGGAACGTCGTGCGTCAAAACGCGACTCCGCACGACCAAGCCGCGCAATACAACGGCAGAAGCCGCGCAAGACTGCCCGCGGTGTCACGCTGGCGGGGTCGGGCCACCAGATGTCGATCCTCGAGCTTCTCCAGCACATCGTCAACGAGCCGGCGCCGCACTTACCACCGGGCAGGTTTTCCTCTGCGGCGGAGGAGTTTGTCGACGCTACGCTGCGGAAAGAGCCGATCGGCTGGAACGTCAAAAAGAAGGGCCCTCTTCCGCAAGCTCTCGCCCGTCCCACGCCTAAAGAGCTCCTGGTTTGTGCTCCTTGCGCAGGTTCGGTTGTGGAGCCTGCCGCTGATGGTTTACCTCGGCGTTCGTGCGCAGGAGTACGCCTGGATTCGCGAGGCGGCTGCCGCGGACACGGACATCCAGGCTTTTGCTCGCTCGATACCATAGTCAGGATAGCACTGCATGGCTCCTCCTTGCTCCCTTTTTGTACAAGCCGCCTGATACCAACTCTTGCCTCGCATCTCCGCAACCCGCAACCCTGCAATGGCCGCATGACTCTGTACTCTTCTGCTTCCCGTTTGCCGCGCGTAGTTTCATCTCTCCTCAGGAAAAGATTGCATGTTGGTGCTAGTGTTATAGCCAGCCTTAGAAAAGTAAGTGATATACGTAATGGGCCGCAGCCCTTTCAACCGAAATAGGCCGCGTGGCCCAATGGCAAGGCGTCTGACTACGATTCAGTCGTCATCAGGAGACTCTGGGTTCGAGCCCCAGCGTGGTCAATCTTTTTTTCTCTTCCTCTTTTGCTCTGCTATCCCACGTAGGAACACACATTGCCAGGTGTTCGTAGGAAGAACGTCAGTGCATGCAGCAGACATCTTCAGCGTTGGGCAGACCGCTGGCGAGGTGTTGCGTCTCAAAACAGTGACCATGTAGCTACCAGTCGCCTGACAAGGGAATTCGAGGGCGAGAGTTGCCATGTGGAAAAGAAGCTTTGAGCGTATCTCCCGGCTATAGGAAAGGATACAACTGATCCAAGCTTTATTCCAACGAACGCAAAATGTGGCCCGAGGCGAAGAGAGGGAAGCGACAGCGACGGCGCAGATATCAGGTTGAAGGACGAAGTACATAGGAAGGTGGATGGCATCCTTGAGTTGAAGTTTGACGTGACCCAAAGAGGTCCTGACCTTAATCTTGGCGGTACCGACACCGAGTCCTTCGAGAGAAGGTCCCGAGGCGGTGACCATGGGAGTCATCAATAGCCTGTACGAGGTGAAGTAACAACTCTCAGCAATGATGTGTTGCAAGGGGCAGGACAGGTGGCGAGGTACCAGTTCGTCAGGGCCTTCAAACTGTACTGACAATGCAACGGTCGCAACAGTGAGCGTGACAACCTTGCCATCCGTGTCCTTCTTGTTGTCCTTCTTTGACTTCTCCTTCTCCTTCCCCTTTCCCTTCAAGCTACTGCTCTGATTGAGACAGTTGTTCAGGTTGTCCGGGTTCTGCCAGCAGTGCTCGACCAAGTGACGAGGGGTTCTCCTCTTGGCAGAGCTTACACTTTGGCCTTTGCTGTTGCTGCAACTGCTGCGTCTTCTCCGATGAGGGCGATGAACCCTTCCCGACGGTAGTGGCAGCGGTCGAAGACAAAGAAGACGCCTTGCTGTTGCCGTTCAAGAGGAGACCTCCCGACAATGCCGCGACTGCACGCTGATGGTTGTAATTGGCTTGGACCTTGCCGAGGACATTGCGAGGGGTGAAGGTTGACAAGTCGGACTGGTGCTGAATGGATGTCCATGCCTTCCACTCAGTGTCTGACTGAACGGGAAGACCCTCAAGGATGAAGTCCGAGTAGACGTGTTGAGCATGCCATATTGGCTAAGCTCCACAACTGAGGCAGTTTCCGGGATAGAGCAGACAAGAGGTGAGTCAATTTGGTGAGCGCAAGAGAGGATCTCCTCATGTTTGACGAGGAAGGTGTCAACAGCCTCGAGGACGAGGTTCTTGGCCTTCAGCCAGCAGATCGCGGCAAAGATTGACTGGATTGACTCCGTGTTGCCGACATCGAAGTTGGACATCAGGTGGAACCAGATCTGGTGCGCAGTGAGGTTGAGAAGCTGGCCGGCGATGTTGTCGGGAAGCTTCGAGATCATGTAGTTGATTGCACACGCGTCATCGAGGTCCCACATGGCCTGTTTGGCAGCGGTCGTTGCCCGCGCCGGCACATCCGCATTCGCATCTTGGGAAGCTCCAACTGAGATTCCTGTACCGTGCTTGTAGATGTCCCCAGTCTTAAGTGCTTGCTCCATGCGAAGCCTCCAACCCTTCCGGCCTGCGCCCACCTCTCCAAGAGTGGAGATGTTCTTGAAGAACAAGTAAATGCTCTGCTCACCATCCGTAGTCATGGTGGACAAGGTCGAGACAATGGGTTCTGGGGATGGAGAGGGCGGTAAAGGGATGCCTGTTGCGCGAGAGCGACTTGCACTTTTGGGCAGTCGAGCGGGAGATGAGGACGGAGTCGACTGAATCTTGGCTGAGGGGAGAGGGTGATGAAGTTGTCAAAGAACCAGCCAATAGAGCGCGGTCCGGAGGGCAAAGCTTTCAAGCAGAACACTGCTAGGAACAGCGCTGAGGATCTGGCAATCAATTCAAGTCGATATGAGCGGTCTGAAAGGACTACGTCCGTCACACGCTAGACCCCACAGCCAAAAGGCTAAGGACGATGAATAGCACTGATTCATTGTCAGACAAACCTATATGAAGCCCAAGGCAAGCTTGGATGAAGAAGAGGCTATTGTCATGGCTGCCATGGGCCGTACAACTCCCATACAATCGCCAGCTGGGCAAGGGGCAATGAGGCAATCCTTGCACGGTCCTTGTCGACAGGAGGTCTGACTGCAGATTATCTGTTGGTGGCGTAGTGTAGCCCTGGGACTCTCAACCTGGTGGAGAGGAGAGTAAGACAACAATTGCAAAGCTATACACAAATTGCCAACAAACCTGGTGGCAAGGAGAGTACATACACACTCACTCACTCCCTCACTCCACCACCAATCACTCATCTGACCACCCCCTCACACACACACACAACCCCTTTCAACAACCCTTACACTCCTTTAACAGCAAGACGACAAGGCGAAAAGACGACAGAAGCAAGCGAGACTAGCTTCCTTTCAACAATAGCAAGGTAGCGAAGAACGGCAATGTGACAACATCCACTGCACTTGCACAGAAGGCTCTTTAGCTCTTGTCCTACAGAGGAAGAGTAAAGAGTAGTGGTTTGGCAGGCGAGAGGTTGAAAGCCAATCGGAGAACTTTGACGAAAGGACGAAGACAGTTCGAGTGAAGTTGACGACGAACCGAACGGAGAGATGAAGTAACGATAGCGACAGTTGAACAAAAATAGGTAACGTAGTCTGTGAGAGCATAAGAAAGCAGTTTGATAGCAATCCCCCATCCCATCCACATCCACAACCCCAACCTTCCCAACCGTACACATTGTTCCCCTCACCCCTTAGCCCTTCCCTTCTGATAGCGTTTGGTTGAAAAGTAACAGAGAGAGACTCTTGACTGTGAGAGAGCCTGAGAAAACTAACTGTGTCAGCAGAAAACAAGACAAACAACCACCGGCACCTTGTAGCCTACTCGAGAAAACTCGTGAAGCAGACTTAGGTTTGCCGGATAGCAGCCTATTGACACGAGAGGTCCCTGGTGCAGGAGCCGCGCACTACATTCGAGTTCACCCCTAACCGAGCGACCACAACGGTCAATTCTGCGCAGGTGTGTCGTGGCTCACTCGCGTGGCAGTCAGGATGGACAGCAAACTCAGGGCTTACTTGCAGACTGCTGACTCTCCTCCCCCTGCCTAACCCGGTCTACATGGGCTTAGCCCCGATATGACTGAAAGATGAACTTCTCTCTCTCTCACTCCTGCCTTGGCAGGCTGCAGTTTTGTCCAGAGTGAAGTTGGGATGTCAAGATTGCGGCGCAGCGGGATTTGCTTCTGAGGGCACGCGGTGAGTTGACGGGCATCAGCAGGGGGGTTGGGAGTGCTTAACAAGATGGTGATAGGATAGGATAAATTCCGAGTTTTCAGTCGTTCAGGCCTAGAAAGACCCATGTTGACTTGGGGCCACCTACGAGGGCGAGCCACCAGACATTACATGAGCTACAAGAGGGAGAGGAGTGTATGACTGCGGGAAGCGGTAAGACTCCAGAATAACACAAGATGGTGGGGAGGAGGATGGGGCGGAGGAGGTTGACTTTGTCAAGTGGCAAGGCCGTGTAAGTCCAGTCTCCCTTCCGAAGTGGTGAGGTGGAGATGTTTGCGGTACTGGACTTGCTTATCTGCTTCTTTACTGTCCACCACATTGTCGCCTCTGTTACACTCGCCATCTCCACTTCCTCTCACTTGTCCTTCCTCCTCCGCATCATCAACTTCACCTCATTCAGTGTTTTCCGCTTCTCCCGTCCATGCAACTTCTCTGTCTACTTTGCGCCCGGCTATGCCTTGCAGCTGGAATGCGCGTTTTTCGCCGCCTTGCTTGCCTGTGCAAGCTCCTTGTCCCACCACGCCACGACTCGACCAGTGCAGGCTTGCACGGAGGAGGTTGCGGCCGACACTGCAATCTGTAGGGTGTCAGTAAATTATTCTGCTTGCTTGTTGATGTCGGTGGGGCAGAGGAAAGGCGAGGCTGGCAGGTCGGTGGAGGCTTCGCGAAAGGCGTGCTCGAGGATCTCGGGATTTGTGCAGCAGAAGGCGCAGCGAAGCGAGGGGGGCCAGGTGTTGGTTCGAAGGCAAGGACAAGTCAGATAAGGCGGTGATCGGATCCGGACTCAATGTTGTTGCTACGCTGCAACTGATGACTCAATCTACTGCACGCAGCAAATTGAGCATGAGGTTGAGGGTTTTCTTGCAGTGCTGAGTGCTGTGGGGGGTGCGTGATGGTGTTAGGCGGGAGGCAGTGAGCAAGGTTGTGGTGGGCAACGGTTGCGCACCGCTTCCTCCGCTGCTTCTTCTGGGTCATCTACCACCCCGTCCCGTTCCGGGTGCAACCGGTCACAGCCGCCAGCCACGATAACAAGTGCGGCGGGAATTAGAGCGAGTAGCGACCGAAGCACCTTTGAGACAGATGTGTTATACGGTAAGTATCTCACCTCCTTCCCTCGCTTGTTGCAGGGGTTGTACATGCTGATGACGCGGATTGTTCCGCCATGCTGCAGCTCGTCGCCGACTGCTGTGACATTTCCTGAATCGACCGTGACTTGTGTTGCGACGGCCGAGCCGAGACGGGTCGTGATGAGGATGAGGTTGCGGGTCGGGGCGGGCTCGCCGCTGGGCCGCGAGGTTGGTGGTGTGACGAGTTGCCAGTTGGGGTCATTAAAGGGCATTAGCGGGCGCGGAGGCGTGGGGCCGGACTGTGGGTCAAGTAGTCAGCGTGATGAACAACCCC